CTAGACTATTGATTATACGAATCGTTGGTAGTGACAAAACTATGTCCCTGTGGCACACCACAGCCACCACCATCACAAAAATGGGTGTAGAGTCAAGTAAATGAATGTATGGGGAGAGACAAAGGAATGGGAATGGAAAGTGATGCCGGGACGGAAGTCGCCAAGGTGGACAAAGACGAGCAGCGGGAAGGAGCACCGGCGAACAGGAATTGGAAGGAGAGGAAGAATGACCAGTTCAAGATGTCAGGGAGGGGAGGTAAAGTAAGGAGAGGGACAGAGAGGAGCAGAAAATAAAATGCAGTTGCACATTGCAGTGTGCGCTTCCACAGAGGGGTTGGGGAGAGGGCAGGGATTTCAGAGATGGGGTGGCCACACAAATCACATGATTTTTTGGGGCTTGAGCTGATATATAGATGTTGGTAGTGATGATGATAATAACGCCTGCTGACGATTACGACATTTAAAGTGACGTTGGCAGTCATGAGTCAGGATTACAGTGACGTCGGGAGTGATGTTGGCATTGTTTTAAAATGGTGATTGTGCAGGAACCCAGATGGAGACACGAAGCCTTGGTGCTACACCTTCAATGACCGTGGAGTCAAGGCCTGGGAATACTGTCAGCTGCCTGTGTGTGCTGATAAAGGTGTGAACACGACCCCAACCATAGCATTCTCAATGTCCTAAACGGCCACATCTCAAATGCTTCGATCGTTCGGATCGTTTCTTCTTTTCCAGCCTCACATGACGACGGTCCCACCCACCACATGGGGGATTGTCGGTGCAGTTTTGAAAAATGTTTTTACTCCAACTCAATGCGAGCCCGGGACACAGCACTGATCACAAAAAAAATGGGGGGGGGGGGGGGGGGCTACGGCAGAGTTTGATGAAGAGGGGTGGATTGGGCTCGTGCGAGCCGTGAGCCGCTCACGTTTGTCGCGTCTCTCCCTGTATATTGCCGCTCTCTCCTTCCAGTCCAGGAAAAGCCACAGCAACAGAGACCCAGGCCTAAACCACAGCCTCAACCACAACCACCTCAACCACAACCTCAACCACAGCCTCAGCCTGGAACAGAGTTCAGCACATGTGGATTGCCTGAAGTTCAGGTGTGGACATTGATCGTGCACCCAGAAACACGAGGGTACGTTTAAAAAAGAAAAAATTGGTGTTTTTATCCTCAAATCCATCCCGATGGTGCTTTCGGCGTTTGTCACAAGATGTAATATCCATTCGGATCTCTATGGCGGAGCAGTGCAACTGTTTGTTGCGATAATCGCAAGCAGAAGCACATATCACAGAGCTACCTCCGAAATAACTGTGCTTAACCCCATCCACACGGAACAAGACTCGACACATTTGTAAATAACACTGCCCTAAAAATATATATACAATTGGCGACGCTTTGGGCAATGCCCCTTCTTCATAGCACATAGGTCAGAGAGATGTTATTAAAGAGCGGCACTTTCTCACCTTCTCGACCAGAGTAATGTTCACCGCATGAGTGTCAAAACATCTAAGCCATGGCAGCTCGGCATTCTTACTCCTGGGGCGTCCAACCACCTCAACAAGTACACATGTACCAAGTGTACCCAGAGGCACAAGTCCAGTACACGATCACGTATCAGACTCGTTGGGGACCGAGGTATGGGCAGATGTGTGATGAGGTCGGTTAATCTGCGAAGTCTGGTGTCCTCATTATTCCAAAGACCAGATATTGTTCTATAAGAGACAAGAGATGTTTGCAGACAGGCTCCGCGATTGTGGAATTCCCTTCTTCAGTCCATTATGGAATCTGAATCTATTACACTTTTTAAATAACGTCTTAAAACTCAACTGTTTTCACAGGCTTTCTCCACAACTCAAGCTTTAACGTAAAGCGCTGAGGCCTTGCGCGAATTCCTCTCTAGAAAACTGTTTATTTTCAATATACAATTCCAGTTACACCAATGATTGTGCACCAATACTGCTGAACGTGGACGGTTAATGGGTCAGGGCAGCTTCGCGACAGGTCGGACGTGCGACGTTCCACTGCACACGTTTCACCACGCTGCCCCCCCCCCATCAACTCAAACCCCCAACAGTCGTTCATGGGCCGGATCGTGGGGGGGCAAAACGCGCGGCTCGGCTCGCACCCCTGGCAGGCGTCGCTGCAGATACGGCAGCGATTCTTCCTGAGCAACGCCGTCTCCACCGTGCACATGTGCGGAGGGACGCTCGTCGCACCGTGCTGGGTGGCCACCGCCGCCCACTGCATCGGCACCACGTGCGTAACTCGCGAAGCACAGATCCACGAGCACACACGCACGGATCCACAAATGTATCGTGTTGACGATGGTGGCGGTGGTGTTGTTGTGCTCGTATTTATGTTGTGGTGGTGGAGCAGCAAGACAGAGAATTTCCGGGTGAAGCTGGGTGTGGGGCGCTTGGATCGAGAAGCGGCTGGCTCCGAGCAGGGCTTCGATGTGGAGCAAATCATTGTGCACGAAGGGTGGGGGAAGGGACAGTACGAGCATGACAACGACTTGGGTAATCTCTATGACCATCACATCATCTCTTCGTCATTATTATCACATCACCATCACCATGACCATCATCACATCACCACATTACCGTTATTATATCACCATAACCATCACCATAAAATCACCATCATACACCCATCCCGACACCTACTCTCACCATCATCACCACAAGAATACTGCAACACGACTGCCACGGTTAGCAACATAGTCAATTATATCAAGACAGCTATGGATGCATTCAACCTCCATCAACTTCTGTATTAACAGCACCTCTGATAAGCACGGTTTGCTACGTACAGTGCGATAGAAGTTCAACACACATACATAAATACCACCTCCATGACCATCACATTCATCAACATCGCTACCTCCATCAGCCACTCCATAAGTATTTCCAACATCACCAAGTCCATCAGCATCATGCATCTTCTCACGTCTCACTGCATTGTAATACATCTCTCTTTGCCCCCCCCTCTCCCCATAACCCCTCTCGAATCTTCCTGTGCACCCCCCCCCCCCCCGTCTCCTCATATCCACCTGAGTTTCCCCACGCCCCTGTACCGTACCTCCCCCACCACCCCCAACGTCTCCCCCCCACTCCCCGTGTCCCCAGCGCTGATGAAGCTACGAAAGGTCGGGGGTCACTGCGCGCAGGAGTCGCGCTACGTGCGCACCGCGTGCCTCCCTCAACAGGGGGAGGCGCTGCCCGCCGACTACAACTGCGACATCTCGGGCTGGGGGGCCACGAGCTTCAAGGGAGGTGCGTGCGCACGACGGGAACAAACGCAGCTCTGGGCCAGCGGGCCTTCGACACTTCGCGTGGCCCCAACGTGCACCTGGCCCCAACGTGCACCTGGCTAGCCTTGGCGCATGTTTTGTTGGTTTTCGTATGTAGCGGGCTCGCAGGAGCTGCTGGAGGCGCAGGTGAAGGTGATCGCCACCCCGCGCTGTAACGCGCGCCAGGCCTACAACGGCGGCATCACCGCCAACATGCTGTGCGCCGGCAACTTCGAGCGGGGCGGCGTTGACACGTGCCAGGTGAGATGTGAGCCGACGGGTGGCGTGCGGTGCGTGATGCGTGCGATGTGCGAACCCGTGGGGTGCATTGCGTTGGTGTGAGATGCGTAACACGCGATGAGTTCGATGGATGAACCCGCAGTGGTGTGTGGCGGGAGGTAAGCAATGCAACGCATTGATGTGCATGCGATGTAGCAACCCGTAGTGCATGTGGCACATATGAAACATGCTGTGCATGCAATGTGCGGTATATGTATGTTGAGCTTTTTCGCACCGTACGTAGCCAAACGTTCTAATGGGGGGGGGGGGGGGGGAAGGACAACAACCTAAACACTAAATGCAGTGATGTGAGACGTACGAGTGATTAACCTATGGTGCGATGTGTGGACTCGTGGCGTGCGTGCGTGCAGGGCGATTCGGGGGGCCCACTGGTATGTGCGCGCCCTGGGGGTGCCGAGGGGGCGCCGCCCATTCACGTGCTGCACGGCGTGGTGAGCTTCGGCGAGGGGTGTGCCCAGCAGTACAAACCCGGGGTGTACACACGTGTGTCGCGCTACGTGACTTGGATTCAAAGCAAAATCCGCTAGGCGCACACGCACCGTTATACACAAAGCACACACACATGCTCACGCATACAACACAGCGGTCACAACGGCCACTATTCACCACTATATAACGGTGATGTCGCAACAGCGCTTGTGCCAGGCTCCGTGCACTTTGAGGTATGTAGCCTGGCAGCTGTACACACCAACGCTCACAACACACATCCATCCATGCACATTCCACTCTGGCATATACAGGCGCGCGCGCACACACACACACGTCGGTGCACAAACCGGTACAAACCAGTCCAGAACACATGCTGACACACACACCAACAATGCTCACACAGCAATCTAGAAAATGACGCGAAAACATAAATTAATCTGTTACAAGACTCGTCTCTATTGGTGCAGCGGTGACGTCTTGCTGACAGGTCACATGCTGTATCCAACTTGCAAATTATACGGATTTTAATTCAAGTGATGTTCCATAGGGGCTAGAAAGCTACAATTTGGCACACATAATCAAGTCTATGCTTATAGATATATAAATATGAAGCCAAAATACGTGGAAGTTCACTGCACGAACTCATCGGCCAGGGTCAGCCTAAAATTCTACGTTGTTTTAATGAATCTCAACTAAATATTTACAAATATATTATTGCGAGTATATACGTTGAAGCGTAGTGCAGAACAATGGATTTGTATGCACTACCGGCTGCTGACATAATCCTGCAGCATCCGACAGCACCTGTCTGATGCTTGGCGATCACTCATCCAACCACTATCCAGGTTCAATCCTACTAAGCATCTGAGATCTGACAAGACAGAGCGCATTGCACGTGCGTTTGATCATAGGTCACACACAGCTATATCTGAACGCAAACACACCTTAATGCGTCAACAGACATACACCTGAGAATACACACACGCGCACCAAACGCTTATATATGTGGTTCGTTACAAAAATCCTGAACTAAAAATAACATGATCTTGCCAATGTCTAATTTTACATTTACCATTTGTGACACAGTATAAACCGTACAATTATCGCAGACTGATTTTTAACTTTTAATTAAAAAACATTAACATTTCTTCCGCCGACCGTCCCCTTTTGTTTAACCAAATGTGTGCTTTGTCATTGTGTATAGACTGAAGCCACTGAACAAACCCACCCCATAACACGACCCTGTTGAGTCCACACACACACACGCGCGCGCATAACAGCTGCACACAGTAAGGCAGCCCGTTTTCTACGCCACCAGCTGCATGGCTAGTCCCCTCATTAGAGCTCATTGAGTAAGGTAGCTCGGCTATTCTCCATGGCAATTATTTAGAGCTTTGATCATTAATAGGGTCCATCAGTGGTGGTTATAGTTCTCACTCAATATGGCAGCCGTTTAGATTATTTTAGAGATCAGCGATTCATGTAACTCATATTTTGCAACTGTTCAGCGTTTTCACCATTATTAGATATGAGTGACAGTATAATGTTTATACTCATGGCAACTATTCAAAAGTGTAACGTTATTAAGAGATAATCAGTGATTAATACAACTCTCATACTCTGCGATGTAGTACTATGAATATTTGAAGACAACTGCTCAGTAAGTTTCACAATTATTCTGAATCACTTCTAAAAGTAGAGCCCTTACGCTAAACACATCGCAAATGTTTTGCTATATTTCTCTTACTATGGCTCATCAGTGCAGTGCAGCTCTGCTATCCTATTTCCATGAGGCTTATTTTGGCTGTTAGGCAGACACCCTTTGTTCCCGAGTGGCCTATACACAGAGAATGGCACAGACTCTTTTAAGACTTGAAATAAATCCAACTGACAACCTTCAGGTGAATAACAATGCCCATCAGCAGCAAACAAAATAAATAACAAGTGCAGGCTAAGCCAATCATCTCGCAAATTACATCTTAGCCCTGTGGCATTATTGGGGGGTGGGCAGGGAATCCCACAATGCCATTCCTTGCAAACGAAGTAACGTGAGCACATGTGCAAGTCTACCCTGGCATGGCAAAGCTCAGCGGGGTGGGGTAACAATGGTGCGATGGGGCAAGACACGCCAGCATGATGACATCATTGCACCGGTACGATTACCGATGGGGACATCGTGATTTTACCCAGAGCCCCCCCCCCCCCCAGCAGTCAACAGCGACACGGTCCATGGAGAGAGAGACATCTCGCAAGTCCCGTCTAGTTGCGGCGTGAGCTCCGACGGCGAGGAGAAGCCGTATACGTAGTGCTCATTGTATAGTCCACCAGAAGAGAGGATTGTAAAGTTTGGTTTAGCAGCAATTACCCCGACTCCCATGATCGTTTGCAACAATTTGGCTCACGCTTCGCGCAGCCTCAATACAAAAATAAAAATGCAGCATTAAAATCCTGGCCATAGGGACCGGATAATTATAAAATAAAAATATAAGACTATAAATTACTTTGGCCTTCATCGGTGTAAAAATAAACGTCTTCACAAGTCGGTTTTTTTCTTTACACAAATTAGGCTTCCTGGTGAGACGAGATCAGGTGTGTGCCCAAGACGTCGAGACGGAGGGAGCACGCGGGTTCCGTCTCCACGCGGACGCCTTCGCGGATCGTCGTTGCGTCACTCACACACACTCGGGACTCCCGTGTGAACTTTTGCCCCTTGCACCACTCTAAAAGTGGCAAACCGTTAAGAGATAATTCTGCTTGAGGGGTCCTTACCCTTTGCCTATGACCCAATCATCCGGTCCCACAAGGTCACAGAAGCTAAGCAGGCTTCTGTGAAGATGGCGCTTGGATGAGTCACTGTGATGTGCACACGGTGTTGTCACGGGGCTTGTCAGGCTACGAGGGGGAATGCAGCAACATCCATTGTTGCACTGCACTGACAAACTCGCGTATCTATGCTCCTCATCTTCACCAATCTATACTGACCAGTGTTGTTAAGTATGGTCAAATAATCTCCACAACTTGCCCGGTATGGAGAGGCCCTTATCCAGCACATAAGAGTTATGAATGTACAAAGTGTTCAATGCAACCAGCTCCTGCGATATCGCCCTGATCCCTGACCCACATCCTCCCTTCAATTAAAACACACCCTAGATCGTTTACCCAGACCCTCTCTTTTTCAAAAGATCCCTTTTGTTCAGATCCCTTTTTGCAGGTTTCCTGACGCTCGTACTCTGGTTACTCAAACTTACAAGAACTCAGTACTTCCCAAGTTTAAAGCCAAACACTCCTGGGACCCCACAGTCCCGATCCCTCACCCAAGTCACCCCACAGGGACTCAGTCCTGATCCCCGTACCAGTCCCAGCTTGGTACAGACCTTGAGGAATTAACTTCCAGCTCACACTATAGGTATTTACCACTGCCTGGCCACAGGCTCTCAAACACTGTCTACAGGTGCTGCCTGTATTGAGGCTGTGTCCCGATTAATATATTGCTCAGATGTGTGTACTGCACAGTGTAAATGGACAAGTACGAAGTGCTGTGGGAGAGGCAGACATACACGTAAGAGAAATGTTCAGATAGCTAAGAGGCATGTGCGCATACATACACACATATGCAGACATGTGCTCCCTCACATCATAAACAAATATATCCCGTACAGTCTTATAGACTGTACGGGCAAGTGCTGTTATAGCAAGCACCTAGCAAGGCCAACATGAGAATGTGGTGTGGCCAAGACCACACCTGGCCGGACAGTAAGACGCACACATGGGGGTGGGGACAGGCAGACAGACGCATGTCCTGGTAGACGGACAGACAGAGTAACACCAGTCACACACACACACACAAAGGAGACGGTCACAAACGCATCCTCAACAGCGCCGCCGGTCACGGCGCTTTCTTCGTAAACTTGGGATTTCTGTCGAGCGTCATGCGGCCCGGGCTGACCGGGTCCCGCGTGCTCCGTGCTTCTACGTCGTCATCCTCATCATCCTCCTCGTTGTTCAGAAGTGCGTGGCGAGATGTGCTGTGCTGCGACAGGTCCAGGTTCATCACACCACCACCGCCGCCACTGGCATCGCTGTTCACATTCAGCAGGAAGATCCCGATGACGACCGTGCCGAAACCGCTCAGCATGGCCAGCACGTCCACGGCCCCAACGCCGCGCCACTCTGCATACAACATGCGTGTCACACATGCGCGTCACAAATGTGCAAGACGCACGCGGTACAGGCAGTGTCGCACGTGTGGTACCATGCAAGGTACAGGAGTCGCACGCTCACATTGCACGAGACTCGTGCGGGAGATGCGATGCGGGCGTCATTCACGCGGTACGTGTGGGGCACGCGTGAATTAGGTGCCGCACACGTGGCAGGCAGTCATTCATACGACACACACGTGGCACACTCACGGTGCACCGCAATATATACACACGGTACACGTGCCGCACGGCATACATGAAATATGCGTGGTACACACACCACCCCGTGGCACACACACCACACACACGGCACATGTGCCTGGGTGTCGCACCCTGGAAGAGGATGGCGGAGCAGATGACGACACAGGAGGTGAAGGCGACATAGTAGACGGGGGTCACGACGTGCGTGCTGAATGTGTCCAGCGCCTGCACACCAACAAACAACATCAACAGCATTATCTAGCAACTTAATATCATCTACAATAGTGCTTCCAAACTGTGGTTGGTGGACCAGTGGGGGATAACTGCAAGGCTGTGGGAAGTCATTCGCCAAACTGTTGCAAGTGAGATTTCTTTCGCAAAATACCTTTTTACTATATGTAGTTGTGGGCCCAGAAAGATCGGGAACCATTGATTCACACCAACATTACAACTATCTGCATTAGCATCACCATAATCAACATCATCATCATCTCTACGTCAACACCATCATAACATGCATGCAGTACCTGCACAAACATCTTAATCTTCATCACCATCATTACCAACATTAAATTAATTTAAATTAAAAGATCACTCCAACATATGTGCTAATTAAATATGTCCAGCACCTAGCACCTACACCGTCACCAATACCATCGCCGCCACCATAAAAATCATCTCTTTACCAAAATCAAAACCATTGTCGATCTGGGTGCAGTGATGGTTGGGATTGTGTTGATGGTGGTAATGGCAGCGATGATCGTGGTGATGCTGTCACCTTGTTGAGGTAGTTGATCTGGGTGGTGATGCAGGCGATCAGAGAGATGAGGAGGCACCACGTGAGGGGCTGTGTGAACACGGACTTCCCCATGAAGAGCTCTATAGACAGCAGCACATGCCCATACACAATCATACATACACACATTACACACAGACACACACATATATATATAAAAACGGGGTGGAGCAGTGGGACAATGGTTAGTGCCTTGCGGTATTAACCCAAAGACTCAAGGTTTTATTCACGGGTGATATATGCACCAGTCCCGGATGCCCCTCCTCACCCACCCCACCCACCCCACCCACCCCACCCACCCCCCGTCTCACCAAACCGACAAGGTGTGGGCAGGCCTTAACCTAGCAGCGGATCGACAAAAGGGCCGTTTATTATACCGCTGTACATAACCCAATGTTACTTCACTACTACGCAGTGTCTGTGTGTTCTACCAACGTGTTATACCACTATGTGATTACACAACTCTACAGCTGTGTGTTTTTCTAATGTGGGGGCCACGGTGGCAAGATGTGAACTACCTCGCCAAGTAATATAGGAAGTTGTGGGTTCGATTCCGACCAGAACATCTGTTTGCATGTTCTCCCCATGGTCGCATGGATATTTTTCCGGGTCCTCCGGTTTTTCCCTCCACATTCAGAAACATGCGTTTAGAGTAATTGCCTGCTACAAATTTCCACATAAGCCAGTTCGTTAAACTATCATTTGTGGCCAGGTCGCTTTTGAAAAAGAGCTAGTGGGCCTTAGCTGGTTTAGTAAAAATAGTTTAATAGTTCAAACAAATATATAGTGTTATGCCCCTATTATATATACGACTGTGTTATTGCACTACGCTGTGGCTGTGTAGTACAACGCTACGTTGGTGCGCTACACTTGCGCCTCCGCGTTTGCGCCCCACGATGTGGTGCCGCCCTCACCCTTGAGCACGAGCGAGAGCCCCTTGACGGAGGCGACGGACAGCGAGCCCACGGTGGAACAGATGAGGACGTAGACGAGGACGCTGCTGTTGCCGAAGCGGGGCACGGCGATGACGGCGAGGGCCACGGCGATGCACACCACCAGCACCGCGTACGTGATGAACGCTAATCACGGCAGCATCAACCACAGCATCATCATTAATATCAAACAGCATCGAAATCGGTGTTCCTCGTTATATGTACCGCAGGCTTAAAGTGTCCCTCGGAGACCCAAGGAGTGGCTGCCTCGCACATACACCATGCCTTTCGTATTTATTTAACATTTATACAGTATCCCCTTTTATATTCCTCTTTTCACTAGCTCAACTGTCAACTTCAAGTGGTTATTGTCGGCAATTTTTTGTACTTAATGCAACCGATCAAATGAAACTAAACTACAACCCTACTCTTCTTATTGATAAGCAGAAGTGCTTACAAATAAGAAGTACGTCACAACCCAGATGACGCTGTCGAGCGTTTATGCAGTACAGCAAGTCCTTAAGGCGTGATGTTCACACAACGCATTCTTTCATTCGGAACACTTTTAGCATAATACAGAACACGCTTGTTATAACGCGGGATGCACCCTGTTATAACGTGGAATGCGCGGTTTCTGAGCAGTTAACGACAAACCACTTTCTTGAGCTGCACGGCTGAGCAATATGGTACAGTACGCGGAATGATACAGTATGCGGTGACATAAACTCAGCGATTTGTTCCGCCATTATGCTGTGTGCATACATAATATCTCACCAAACTTAATCGTTTCATCATTTGTGGGGAAACTGTTTTCGCTTAATGCAGTACTTTTCAGGAACACATATACCACATTAAATGAGGAATTACTATTTCTTAATTGGAACGACTGCAGTTCTGATTAAGCAGGAGACTGCTTAAACATTTTTACATGGAACGTTTCTTAATTCGTAAAAAAACCCAACAATAGTTCAAACTGAGGAGGATGCACACCCTTCAACTGAAGTTATCGAGATTGATCCCTGCCAACATATAAGTGAGTCTCCAATGCTTTCAGAAGGCAGTTTGAGGCAGACCGCAGGCCTTCAACCTACACAAGACCGAAAAAATGTGTGATGACAAAAAAATATCAGTCCCTTGCAACTATCGGACTCAACAGCTACAAGGCGATGTAAGGCTCTTGGTACGGATGTTTCCGAGGCTCTAATTACTAAGGGTACGTTTAAAAAAAAATGGATGGGGTAGCTATATGTGGTCCGATAAAATCGAGTTTCTGATGTGGTGGCCCTCCACAATATTTGTGGGGAACACCGACCTAAATCTTCACTGGCAACAGCAACAACGCACACCATCGCCCCCTATCGTGAAAAATTGGCAGGACCCTCGGTGAAGCTTTCCTGGTTAAATGAAAGCATCATAACGATGGTGTTGACGTGGGAGCCGGGTACCTGGGTCCTGCAAGTGAATCAACATCTCATTGAGCGAGGCCACCTCGACGTCCTGTGGCGCGTGGACGACCATCACCACTGCCCCGAGCACACTCAGCAGGCAGCCCAGCCGACCCAGGTGCTCCAGCCTCTCCCCCAGCACACACCAAGCCAGCACCGCCCTGCATGCCATACCATTTCAGCCACACCACTATACAACCAACTACTTAACAGTAGCACACAACACACCAGCACCGCCCTGCATGCCACACCATTTCAGCCACACCACTATACAACCAACTACTTAACAGTAGCACACAACACACCAGCACCGCCCTGTATATTACACCATTTCAGCCACACCACTATACAACCAACTACTTAACAGTAGCACACAACACACCAGCACCGCCCTGCATGCCACACCATTTCAGCCACACCACTATACAACCAACTACTTAACAGTAGCACACAACACACCAGCACCGCCCTGCATGCCACACCATTTCAGCCACACCACTATACAACCAACTACTTAACAGTAGCACACAACACACCAGCACCGCCCTGCATGCCACACCATTTCAGCCACACCACTATACAACCAACTACTTAACAGTAGCACACAACACACCAGCACCGCCCTGTATATTACACCATTTCAGCCACACTGCTATACAACCAACTACTTAACAGTAGCACACACCAAGCCAGCACCGCCCTGCATGCCACACCATTTCAGCCACACCGCTATACAACCAACTACTTAACAGTAGCACACAACACACCAGCACCGCCCTGTATATTACACCATTTCAGCCACACTGCTATACAACCAACTACTTAACAGTAGCACACAACACACCAGCAACGCCCTGTATATTACATCATTTCAACCACACCGCTATACAACCAACTACTTAACAGTAGCACACAACACACCAGCAACGCCCTGTATATTACATCATTTCAACTACACCGCTATACAACCAACTGCTTACAGTAGCACACAACACACCAGCAACGCCCTGTATATTACACCATTCCTGCCACACACGCTATACAACCAACTACTTAACAGTAGCACACACCAAGCCAGCACCGCCCTGCATGCCACACCATTTCAACCACCCCGCTATACAACCAACTACTTAACAGTAGCACACAACACACCAGCAACGCCCTGCATGACACACCAATTCAGCCACACCAATTCAGCCACACCACTATACAACCAACTACTTAACAGTAGCACACAACACACCAGCACCACCCTGCATGACACACCATTTCAGCAACACCACTATACAACCAACCACTTAACAGTAGCACACAACACACCAGCACCGCCCTGTATATTACACCATTTCAGCCACACTGCTATACAACCAACTACTTAACAGTAGCACACAACACACCAGCAACGCCCTGTATATTACATCATTTCAACCACACCGCTATACAACCAACTACTTAACAGTAGCACACAACACACCAGCAACGCCCTGTATATTACATCATTTCAACTACACCGCTATACAACCAACTGCTTAACAGTAGCACACAACACACCAGCAACGCCCTGTATATTACACCATTACTGCCACACCGCTATACAACCAACAGCTGCGAAAGAAGTTCAACATAATACAACCTAACGCCAGCACACACGACACTAGCACCGCCCTGCAGCCACACCATTTCTGCCAGACCGCTATACAAACAACAACCTAACACCAGCACACATCAAACAATCATCTCCCTGCACGCCACTCCATGCCACCACCACAATCGCCACCATTATATGTAAGAGCACAACACACCAACACTAGACTCCATACTGCAGCACACCTGCCACGACACCACCACACCACCTCATGGAGGAGGAATGCAAGGGGGGGGGGGGGTGGAGAGAGATGCTAGATCAAGCAGTGTAGGGAGGAGTGGGTGAAGATATGGGAGAATGCGTTGGAGGTTGAGGAGAAGCGGACAAAGTGGAAGAAATGGAGGGATGTGTGTGTGTTGCCTCGCACCTCCGATTAACACTGTTGGATACGTACGGTGCGAAAGAAGTTCTACATACATACAAGTGGATGAGGTAGTGGAAGGTTGAGACGAATAGAAATTAGGAATTGGATGAGGTGGCAGGCAGGTGTGCCGGGAGGTGACGAGGTGTGGTTCTCACGTGACGAGGATGCTCAGGGCGCCCAGCGGAGTGACGAGCGAAGCCGGTGCAAACGCGTAGGCGGCGAAGTTGGCCGCCTCACCCACCGCCACTGCAGCCAGACACAGGACGTGCGGCCGTTACACTCCGCTGGGGAAAGTGCGGCTAGCGAGTGGCTTCTAAGGCCAGCATGACGCACAATGGGGTGGGTGGTCTGCCCGGTAAAAACATGCCCCACCGCCTTCGTGTCCCCAACGCTAATATTTAACCCACACCATGTACTAATTTAAGGCCGAGTCGACTTAGGGGAGGGCCTAGGAGTGGTTCAGATATTTCGCCACCGATGTCGGCCTTGGTTGGGAGTCAAATTCGGGAGACGGGGATCATGGCGCAGCTCATCAACCACTGCGCCATCGCTCCCCCAACATGCAGGGGCACCCGGGGACACCCATAGAGATAAATACAAGGATACGCGAAGGCACGGAGATACGGAAACACATGTAGGGTCAAAGAGACACGCGGGGAGATGCGCTTAGGAACACACACAAAACTACACATGGGACGTTCACGGAGACACAGGCACACATGCGACATACAAGAGAGAACCGCTAGACGCTCACAAAGCTAAACACACGTACACCTGAACACACCACGCATATATAAACCAGAAAACACAAACACATATACCATACTCAAGAGACAAGCACGGACCACACACATCAGAACTCTCACATACACACAAACGATGCACACAGAATACGCGAGAACACACACGATGCTAAAGATAGAAACACAAAGACATCCACAGGAGATGAACGTGGACAGACAGAGGCCCAACATCGGACACGCGTGATATTACAATGATACACACAAGACACACAAAACACATGCATCAAAACATGGGTACATGGAGACAGACACACACACATGATGTATCCAGAGATTCATACAGGCACACAGACATTATAAAGTACAGAGGCACAGAGACACACACACACGCACGCATGTACAGGCTTGTTCGTGTAAACACCAACACTAGCCGGCGACTTCATATTTGTGTTATTATTATTTGCAGATTTTATTCCTATTAGTGGGTGGAAAATGCACATTCTTATGGAGATGTGGCCTCACTTGTTATAAGCCCTGCCCACCAGAGCCACTCCTTTAGGTAGGCATGACCTCCGTCACCTAGGAGACAGAATGCGTCAATTGCAACACACACAAAAACTCAAGATCTCTATCTTAAATCAATTCTGTGCGTTGTATATCACATGGAACACGTTTACCGACCATGACACGTGTGCAGCGTGTTTAACAACTTAATTTTCATGCCAACAGAGAGATTGGTAAACACGGAAAGAATGGCCCATCGCGAGGACTGGAGTTTAGGAAGCCCTGCGATGAGGAAGATGCCGTAAGTTACACATAAGATGAATAGGAATGAAAAGAAGAGCAATATGCCCAAGTGGCCAGATGGCTCAAGGGTCAGAGTGTTGAGCCGGCACCTGTGTTTGAACATGGGCAGCTGCCACTGATTAAACAGAGCTGTGAACGTCTATCAAACACATGAGGGCCAACAATCTTGGTGTACTTGTACATCAAACTTAACCCTTAAGTCCCATGTCAAACGAACTGTGAGAACCTCTTTTTTCCACCTGAGAATCATATCCTGGCTCCGTCACATCCTAAACACCGCAGACACTGAAAGACAGATCCACGCATTTGTTTTTTCCCGCTTTGACTGCGATGCCCTGCCTTTTGGAACCCCAAGAAATCTCCTAAACAGGCTGCAGCAAGTTCAAAATGCGGCCACCAGGGTGCCAACTGATACACCCTTGAAGGAGCACATCACATCTGTGCTCCTGTCCCTTCACTGGCTGCCTGTCCATACCGGTATTGATTTTAAGATTCTCTTACTGGTATTCAAGGCGTTAAATGGACTTTCTCCTCCCTACATTCATGACCTCCTTTAGCCATATATTCCATCAAGACTATTAAGATCCTCGGATTGTGCATTGCTCACTGTCCCACGGCTTCACACTTGGGGGTGGCGGTGCCTTTTGTAATTGCGGCACCAAAACTCTGCAACTCGTTGCCCTTCGAGGTCAGGACTTCCAAGACACTGCAAATCTCGACTAAAAACAGATCTGTTTAAAATCGCTTTCTCTCTTTAGTTATTTTCAAACGTCTTTGTTACATCACCTTTCCTTGGTTGATGTTAACTATTTCCGCCTTTTCATGCATAGCACCCTGAGAACGAGTGTTTAAATGCACTTTATATATTTAAATAATTATTATTACTGTGAAGTATCATGAGTTGATTAGTCTCAGCCCAGCCACCAATGACTACAAAAATGAATGATCACATTCAATTTGGCTCAATTCATCTTTGAGAATCTAAAAATATGAGTTTGGCTGTGATGTATTGAATATTAGTCGATGTGCCAAGTCAGGTGGTGGAGTGCTGCCCACTCATGTGAGTGGACTAGTGTCAATTGGAAGGATCTCTGAGATAGCTCTGCTAGATCTGCTTCTGGGGGCCAATAAATAATACAAAGAGTTTCACAGCTCTGACAGTTCCAGATGGATTTGTCACCTTACGACACAACGCCGATACAACAATGGGAAAAAAAAAGTTGTAAAGAGACGAAACATTCGGCGAAGAATAAGATACAAAACTATATAAAAAAAATTTGAATACAAGTTAAAACGAATAGGCAAGAGAACAAGAAACGTAAGAGAGGAAGGGAAAAAGGAGAGGACAGTAACCTTGATAAAAATGGAGAGCACTATCCAACATTCACAACCACGTCACAGTCTGACAATCTCTCACGTGGCAGCCAATGGCAAAGCGCCTTACTGACCGGCGCGTGTAGAGCCAGCACGAGCCAATCGCATGAGGCCTTTCTTCTTGAGGATGAAGCTGACACCGATGAAGATGGTGGAGGCGAGTGCCAGGCCCAAGCCCAGGAACGCGGAGTTGTGGGGCCTCATGTGGCCGGGGGTCATGGCCATGGTAGGGATAGCAGTTGAGCTCCAGTTGCTGGTTCCATTGTTGGCGGAGCAGATGAACTGGAGACCTGATGACGAGCATAGTACAGCCAAAGGAGGCCCTAGAGACACATGGTGAGGATGGGGGGTGGGGGGGAAATTAAGATACAAATGAGATACACATGGGAATGCATTAGCCGAGCATAGGCAAGCACATACACTTTTCTACCTCTTCCTTATCATCTCACTCTATACACCACTACAAGCAATCTCCCACCGCTCCAATCTTCTCACCAACACCTCTTCGCATGCTCTCCTACCTCTCCGTCTCATTTCACACTACTCCCAGCAACCAAGGCCTTCTTTTTAAGGCCTCAGCCAACCTTCGCTTAGTGAGAGGTCACTCATTCTCCTCTGCTGCCCGAAAGGTCTGGAACTCCCTTCCCCCAGCACCCGTACCATCAACCCCCTGCCCCTGTTCAAGTCCAGGCTCAAGACCCTCCTTTATTGTCTTCTGCCTGTGACTCACCGAGCCGCTTCGATAAAACAAATACGCCCACCAATTTCTGTGCGGCATTTTTGAGATGCTGTTGGATTAGAAAGCAGATTGTATTATGTTGTATTGAGGTGGATGCCTTGTGACTCGTCGGTCCTGCCCTGGCTGCTCCAACACAGCGAGGCACATTGCAGTCGAGTACAGGTTCACAGGGAGAAGCAATAGCATTCAAAAAGTGCACAGAAAATCGCAACGACACACCTGATCTAAAATGAGATTTATATATAGTGCCTTATTACAAAATTCTTGACAACAATTATAAAATTGTACGTAAGATGACAGTGGTTGAATTAAAGAGTGGGGTTATTAAAAGTGGTGGTGTAGTCATGATGACAGTTAGGAGGACAGGTGGGAGTGGTTAAGGAGGGGTTCTGGGTAGGCCTGGTCATAGCTGGGGGGGGGGGGGGTGTGGAACATTCTCAATAAAGCAATTTGTACGATGCGCGAGGGAGAAGAGATGGATTTTATGGGAGGAACGGAAGCCGGTCAGTTAAAACGACATTTACCCAGGAAAGCATCTGAAGACCTTGTGGGATGTTTGACCAATTAAGCGGCAGTGGAAAGCTGGATTCAACGGTAATAGATAGCCAGGCTCCATCAACCCACCCCCGCCAGCTTCCTCCACTCCTGCACACCTCTACCAAAGGGCACATGCCCATCCATTGTATAGCATTTAAATGTGTTTAGCCATCGAGGACAGAGCCGTCCTGAGTGTACGGCAAATCTGGGCGAACCGCCCCGGACTCCGCGCTTTGGAGGGGGTCCCCACAGCAGGCGTTGCCCGTGCCCTCCATCGAAGGGTTTTCTAGACCTGCATCGAGGGGTTTTATAGACACATATATACATAAGACGTGTAGAGCAGCCGCTTATTACGTTGATTCTGCGTGTGGGAGGAAACTGGAATGAGCATAAAAGCCAATGTAAGGAAGAAGATTCGAAAAAGAAGATTACCCTACAACATTTTCCTCCAAATTATGTCAGCAGCCTTTTTGGTGACGGTTCAGATATCGTGTGTACACAGGCAACCCAGGTTGTAAGCCTCATAGAACAGAGCACATCGTTTGAACACTGACAAATAAACACATTCAATGAGACATGAAGAAAGCCAACGTGACAATACATTGATACACAGGCAATGACGCAAAGACGGGCCCCACATGTACACACAATGAAACTCATACACAGAATGACATACACCGACACACACGCAACACATTAATATACACACACAATTACATACTTGATATACACTTGACACCCACTAACACGTACCCTACCATAACAAACACACACAAAGAATAACAAAGAAAAACAAAGACAAAGATAAATATCCCCCATATAGCCTTAACAGACTGTAGGGGCAAGTGCTGTTAGCAAGCACCTATGAAGGCCGGAATGGTACACAAGGGGGTGGGAGGCCAGCACCACGCCCGACCGCCTTTGTCTCCCCAGTGGCGATGTTTACACACCACACCAAGTACTCATTTTAGGCTGAGTCAACCTAGGGGAGGCCCGGGACTGGTACAAATAATCGTCACTGGTCTTGGCCATGAGCGGGAATCGAACCCGTTCCGCCGGGTTTATAGCGCGCTACACTATCGCCCCCCACAAAGAACAACACGCACAATAACATACACAAGCGCACAAAGACACACACACACATTTACACGTGACATTATGACGTGACAACGGACTTTGGACTCCGTGCCTCCCAGAGATATCACATGGGCCAAATGCAAATACCAAAGTACGCCCCCCCCCCCCGCTCTTCCCAACACCTGCACGACGTCACTTTGTCACACCACGCTCACCCTGAGTCACCACGCTCACCTGAGTCACCAAACTCATCCGCAATGTGTACTGTGCAGCTCTGTGTCAATCGAATGCTAGGTAAGGGCCCCCACACGCAGCGTGGGGTCATGGGATGTTTCCAACTATACTTCACCGTTCTGGTCAGTGCAGGTTGGTGAGAGCAGGGAACGTAAATGTGACCGCTTAAATGTACGATACAACAATGGATCTTCCTTCGCTACCTTCTGCTGCCCAGTACATACCCCACCACAACATGCCCCATCAGCCTATAAAACACCTATCATGCATGTTAACATAAAAATGCACATTTTCTTTTGGGACCGTGTTATTTCTGACTGTGATGAGTTTCTTTGTTCATTGTGCTTGTACACAACTGCCAACGCAGCACCACCAAATAATTTGTCATGCACTGTCCAGGCTCAATTCTGCTTAGCGATTGAGATCTGACAAGATCGGGTGCATTCTGGGCGATATGCTCATGGGGAATCGCTGCAGTCATCACTACAAGGCCATGCACCACATCGAGCCAAACTTATCGCAACACCGAATCCCACACACCACATTACCACTCTCACAAGAACACGGCGCACGCACACGGCAATCGCAATGGACACCACCCGATTGGACACCTGCGAAAAAGAGCGTCATAGCTCATTGGATTCCATCAGTCTGAATAAAAATAAAGATTCTGACCATTCAACACAATCACTATAGAACCACACACACACACGTTAACGAACCCACCACACTCGCCGCCATATCACACCACAAAATCTTAAGAGGGACTTTTTTTATGCTGTGTTAACCTATGTTATGACCCAGGCCAGGTTAAGTGGCTGGGATGATAGAAGTGCAGTCAATACGCACTACACACCAGCACAGATCACTCGCAACGTCTCAATGAGTCAAGACCGCAGAGACATTTTTAGGAGGTGCTGCCTTGGATGTTTGGCCAATTCTATGATTATGAATGTCCTGTGTAGAAAGAAACCTGAGTACCCAGGAACAAAACAACGACACGTGTGAGTAGATAACACAAAAAATGCATCCTACGCATGTCAATATACTGTACTGTGTATACGTGCAGGTGTTGTGATGTACACAGATGTTTAAAGGGATTGAGTGCGCATGTTAAACACATAAATTGCACAAATAGAGAAAGGGCACAAAGGCACACTACCGACATCAACTCAAACGCACCGCACATTCACACCAACATCCCCCATACAGCCTTAGCAGACGTTAGAGACAAGTGACGTTACCTATGAAGGCAGGCACCGCACACGAACGGGTGGTGTGGCCAGCACCATGCCCGGCCACCTTGTTCTCCCCAGTGCTGATGTTTACACACCGCACCAGGTACTCATTTAAGGTTGAGTCGACCTTGGGGAAGCCCAGGACTGGTTCAGAAAATCGTCACTGGTGTCTGTCGTGAGCGGGAATGGAATTCGGGTTGCTGGGTTAGGATGGCAGTCTATCCCTAGGACAGCCACTGCCGACTTCTCCACAAAATGGTACTCGTGTGTTTAGTCCCCAGAAGGATCATCGGCTGAGTCTACCAGCAACCAGGATTTGAACTTGCAACTTTCCGATTGTAAGCGACTTGGTCGACCATTTACGGTACAAAGAGGTGGTGGCTATGGACGCCTGTAACCTAGCATTGTGGAGGTGAGGGTTGGTGGGTCACACAATTGTTGTGAAACTCCCTTATTCTGGCTCGCCAGGAGAAGGCAGTACAGCAAGTGGACAAGTCGCCATCTGTTTCCATCTGTACGGGGATTGAGTGTTGCCCCCTCGCACGCGTGGGGTTTCTCCGACACGTATAAACACATATTCATTGGCTGAAAACATCTTAAAATAAAAACCCAGTGTGCCTCTCCTGGCTAAACAGGTCAATTATTACTTAACTGATCATTATTATAAAGAACACGTTAATTAATTACTTTCCAATTATGTTATTGTATGTATGGATAACTTATTTCGCACAGTGCTAGCCAATGGTGCTAATCGGAGGTGCGGGGGAAGGAAAACAAACGAAACACAAAAAGCAGTTCTAATTATTACGGCTGAACCACCGGACCGGCTTGACACGCACACACTTGCACGCAATCTTATCTACGCATGCACAGGCTCGCACTTGCACACACGCTACAGCCACGCATGCGCCCACAAAAGCACGCACATGTATGTACAGAACACACATGTGGGTTGATACACAATCCTAATACACTCCTACAATCTCCACAAGGGGTGAGGAACCTTTTTTTTTGCCACGAGCTATTTGGATATTTATAACAACATTCGCGGGCCATACAAAATTATCAACTTAAAAATTCGCCTTTTATATTTGGTCAAACATTTAATTAACTCGCCACTAATGCGATGGCTGGAACTGCTTCTCTTTGGTGAGGCGTGGTGATGTTAGCTGGTATTGATGATGTTGCTACTCGCAACTGCTTTTCCAGGTTTGCTCCTAGATTTATTGAATTTCGAGTCCCGCCTGCGGTTGCCTTGGCAGGTCCAGACCAAATGATTTCACGGGCCTCATACGGCCCACAGGCCGGACGTTCCCCACCCCTGATCTACACTTACACAGTCAATCAGACGATCACTTATGTGCACACATTCACACTTACACTCACACGTATAGGCACACACAGGATTGTACTCGCATAACATTCATACAGACTCAGATTGATCACCGACTTTCACACATTTAGGCACACATACACACAGTATGACGAGATGAGATAGATGGTTGGAGCAAGTGCTGCTAATGAACACCCATTACGGTCGGCATGGTACGCGAGAGCGCGGTGTCGTCATCACCACGCCTGACCACAATTCTCTCCCCATTGTCTGATGTTTCCACATCGCACCCATTACTCATTTAAGGTTGAGTCGACTGAGGGGAGTGCCAGGACTGGTTTATATCACATGCCACTGACGTTAGCTGTGTCTGCGGGTCAAACTAAGGTCGTTTGTAGTGCAGTGGACTAATCACTGCACCACCACTTCCACAAAGACAAAAATCCTACATATAGCCTTTAACAGACTGTTGGGGCAAGTGCTGTTAGCGAGCACCTATTAAGGCTGGCCACGGCACATAAGGGAGCGGATGGGTGGCTAGCACCACGTCCGGTCGTCTTTGTCTCCCGAGTGGCGATGTCTGCACACCGCACCAGGTAGTAATTTGAGGCTGAGTCGACCTGGGGGATGCCCAGAACTGGTTGAGTTAACAGTCACTGGTGTTGGTCGTGTGCGGGAACCGAACTCGGGTTGCCGGATGCAGGACAGCACGCTAACCAGTGAACCATCGCCCCCCACACATAGCCAAACCTTGAATCTGACAACCAAATTAGCCCTTTACCCATCCACTGCTGAATGGCAATCTTCCCACGCCTTTTGATCATGGGGTATTGTGGCCACACTTCACCGTGCTGGTCAGATACTCTTCAGATTTCGCTCACCAATGTTCGCCATGACCAGGAATACAGCTCAGGTTTACCAGCTTTAAAGACAAACGCCAATTATTAAAATGATATGAATACAAAAAAGTATGGCTTTTAATCAGCATGTTCTCGACGCCAACTGCTCTCATCAGTGGCAAGTGATATCTTAACTAGTTCAAGCCCCCTACCATGACAAACTCGCACTGACCAGAGTGGTGAAGTATGGTCAACAGCCCTCAAGAACAACGCTGTATGAGGATTAAACTTGTCAACCGAGCCAATGTCCTACATAAGAATGTGAAATTTCCACCAACATTTCAGGGCCAACAAAAATGATCTGCACTCAAGGCCCATAAACTTAGGTCACATTCCTCTGTCCATCCTTAGGGCATTTAGGCTCCAATAACACTACACTTATCAATACTGGCTCATTACTGCAGCAATATAGTCTTACAAAGACAAAGCTCCTCTGTATACCCTTAACAGACTGTTTGAGCAAGTGTTGTTCGCGAGAACCTATGAAGGCTGGCACAGCACATGAGGGGGTGGCTGGCCCCATGCCCAGCCACCTTTGTCTCCCCAGTGCCGATGTTTACACACTGCACGAGGTAACTCATTTAAGGCTGAGGCGACCTAGGGGAGGCCCACTAGCTCGTAGCGAAGTGCACCAACCACTACACTGCCACTCTCCATCTTACAAACAGACAATAATAAAAAGATAAAAATAAATCGGACCACCAAAAATCAAGCAGAATGCACCTGATCTCATCATATCAAGGAAGCGAAGCAGCATTTAAGCCTGGAAAGTGATTGGATGGGTGACCGTGTATTAAACAGGTTCTTATAGTCTGCGAGGAGATGTTGCCGACAGCATAAGGCGGTGAAGCTAAATATGTGATGTGTACTTCTATGCTCCCCGCTTTCACTATCGCCATCTCGCGCTGACCAGTGTGAAGAAGTATGGTGATATAACTCCCATGACCCACAGCTAATGGGGAGGCCCTCATCCAGCAATGGATTAACATATACATAATTGGACCCCCAAAAATGCCATCCAGAGGGTTGATTGGTTTCACTCATAGGGCCGGATCAGGTTCACTTAAGTCCCATGGTAAATACTTTGAAATACACAATCCCCAACATCTGAGAACCAAGTACTGTACTGTAATTTGCCTCCACAGTGAAGTACAACGCGAAAGCTGACAGACAAATTCCAGCTACCTGGTGGCTGAAATTTGGCTTCTATCAGCTTGGATGATTGTAGTTGTGACAGTGATGCTTGTGATGATAGGTGGTGGTAGTGATGATGGTGGTAATGGTGATGATGGTGGTAATGGTGATGATATGTATAGGTCATGGTGATGACGGTGGTCGTAGCCCCACGCCGGTAATCTAGTGCACAGGAGGTGGGGTTTGTGTCGAGCTCATCTTGAGGCTGTGAGACTCCCACCTTCAACGACTGCCAAAGTGGTTAGTTTGGGATAGTTCTACACAGCAAGCACACAAATTACCCACAAGTACAGATTTAAGTTGTGCAGTTTTTTTTCTGGCACACAAAAAGTTGAACAAATAACTGAACAAGTATCCAAAGTAGGACCAATCTGACAAAGTCTGAGAATTCTGCGAGAGTTCGATATTAATATAAAGTATCTCCAAGCTCAATTGATGTTATGTTTGTGACCACACGTCTGTCTTGGTGACGCTGAACCACTGGTGGTGGACATTCCATATTCCTTTGGTGGCACAAGTCTACCCAAATACCAACCACTCTATATTTAGATACTTCCACCAATTTTCCGAGCTTGGCAAGTGACTAACTAAATGAGGGCGTGGGTGTGTGTGCATGTGTCAAGGGGCAGTATTATCACCCAAACACAGTGTGTTTAGCTGTTTATACCACACACACAAGGCAACGGGGGCGATTCAATTATTTACTATTGTGCAACCCTAAGCACAAAGAATGCCACGCGACAAAGACGTACGGAGAGCCTTCACAGACTGTAGGAGCAAGTGATGTAAGCGAGCACCTATGAAGGTCGGCTAGGCACAGCAGGGAGAGGGTGAGTAGCACCACGCCCAGCCACCTTTGTATCCCCGTTTACACATCACACCAGGTATTCATTTGATTCAACTTAGGGGAGGCCCAGGACTGGTTCCGATAATCGTCACTGGTGTTGACCGTGAGTGGGAATCGAACTCGGGTCACCCAGTTCGTCGTGCAGCATGCTAACCACTGCGCCACCGCTCCCCACGTGTCTGTCTACAATCATGCACACACTCTCATACGCACACCTACACACTCAGATTTACAGGAATTACACTCATCTACATTCATACAAATACGTATTAACACTCATCTAGGCCGATAAACTCAAACACTCATGTGCACACACCTATACACAAACGCCTATGCTAGCACTCACCTACATTCACAGTCACATCTACATCAAAACTTTGCTCTCACCGACACTCAAACACGATATAATAAAGCACGTATACTTACCAATACACATGTATATTGTTGCACAACAGGCGAACACACGCACACCTATACCTTAGCACATGTAGACAAACTTACGCAATTATTAACTTTAACCGATACGCCTACATACAAACACTATCTATATACATCCCTATACAATATCACGAAGACACACCGATACAATACTGTATTACCAAGACACACCTGCATACAACGATTTATCAATACACATATATAGCTATACAATAATTAATTATATAGCAAGATACACCTCGTTACACACACCAATGTATTAAAACACACCTATATACACACCGACACAATATTACTAAGATACAGCTGTGCTCTCCTACGCCAGGACAATTACAAACACACCTGTATAAATATGGACCTTTCTATTACCTTACTTGTATATACATACACACACACACATCCGTTTGTAACTCGCACACTCATTATAGGGCCTCCCCTAAATACACCGCTCATCCATTCTAGATTTGAAGCTTTCGTGACTGCAAGGATTCATACACTCTTAGGTTATTTCGGTAAAGTCACGTAGGTAAAAATGAAAAATAAATGATAATAAAAATGAAAATAAATAATAAAATACAGCTCATCCATACCATCAATAAACACACAATACTGTTTTTTTCAGGAAAATCAAGGAGGTAAAAAATTTAAATAAATTAATTCACGACGTTTCGGGCGCAACACAAGCGTCCTTAATTTTAAATGTTTTACCAACGTGACTTTACCGAAAAACCAAAGAGTATGAATCCTTGCAGTCACGAAAACTTCAAATCTAGAATTAAACACGCAATCTTTGCCTACACACTAACCACACACACAACACATAAAGCTCTCATACATTATGCACTCACCTAGGAAACGCGCCTGTTCACACACCCGTCATACACTCCTTACACACACGTAGATTTACACTTACACACACGTAGATTTACACTTACGCACACACTCTCAGTGTACACATTAACTCGCATATACCTTACTGCCGCAAACGTTATACATTATCCCCCTCCTGTGACCTTTAACATACTCTTGGGGCAAGTGCTGTTAGCGAGCACCTCGGAAGGAACGGGACAGCTTAACGCACATCCTACACCAAGACAAACTCACACGCCCCATACAAACTCATTGTACCAGCTCAACCACACACTATTATACACTCACACACCAACCTGCTCACTTGCAAACTCAGCAAACACTCACAATCTCACCTGTGCCGCACACCAAAGTCGCCGCTCCGCATGTCTCATCCATCCCAACTCGGGCACAGCAGAAAAATTACCAAACACACGAAATTATATCTGAACCAAAACTCTTTGACGAAAATTAATCGGAGCAGTTTTCACGACACCAAAAAAATAAATATGTAAACCGAAGCAAATGCACGACCTATCCACACCACGGCACGGAACGCGGAATCCGACGCGAGCCTTGGACAACCACGGAATGATCAACAAACAAGATCAATGCGAGCAAAATACACGTGGCCTGTGGCCCCACCTGGGCGTGACGTCACCGCACTCATGACGGAGCTCCGCCCCCCCCAATCCCCCCCACCCAACCCGTTCCCCCCCGCATCCCCCCACCCAACCCTTCCCCCACCCAACCCTTCCCCCTCCCCCGCATCCCTCCACCCAACCCCCCCCCCGCATCCCCCACCTAACCCCCCCGCCCCCCCCACCCAACCCGTCCCCCCCCGCATCCCCCCCCCGGCCCCCCACCCAACCCCCCCGCATCCCCCCACCCAACCCTTCCCCCACCCAACCCTTCCCCCTCCCCCGCATCCCTCCACCCAACCCCCCCCCGCCCCCCCCCGCATCCCCCACCTAACCCCCCCGCCCCCCCCACCCAACCCGTCCCCCCCCGCATCCCCCCCCCGGCCCCCCACCCAACCCCCCCGCATCCCCCCACCCAACCCTTCCCCCACCCAACCCTTCCCCCTCCCCCGCATCCCTCCACCCAACCCCCCCCCGCCCCCCCCCGCATCCCCCACCTAACCCCCCCGCCCCCCCCACCCAACCCGTCCCCCCCCGCATCCCCCCCCCGGCCCCCCACCCAACCCCCCCGCATCCCCCCACCCAACCCGTCCCCCCCCGCCCCCCCACCGCATCCCTCCACCCAACCCCCCCCCGTCCCCCCGGGCTCAACCCCCCAACCTCAACCCGCCCCGCCCCCCAAGCAGCGCTGACGTCTTCCGGAAGGGGAAGAAGTTTCCGGTAGAAGTCGAACAAACAAACAACAGCCCCCACTCCACACCCCCCACCGACTTTGTTGTTGTTGTTGACAGCTCGCGCGCCACTTCCGGAAGATGATCGGTCGAGGTTGATCCAGGAGACGTGCCCACGTTTATAGAGTTAAGTGTTCTGGGTGCATAACAAGCTGTCGATTTAATTAATTCCCTCGGCAGAGAATTCGCCTTAAGCTTCGAGAGTCACCTATTTCCACGTTATTTACAAAATTAATCCGCAAAACATCATTTAAACGCAACGCAATCTCTGCAGCAATTTAACGAATGCCTCTTCATACCCACCGATTTAACATACCGCAGTTCATGACTATCCAAAGAGTCAATATTTATAAATACTCACATGCTGTGCAAAGCTACCATAATGCACAGCCGACGATGCGGCAATGTGCCTCGTCCCTCGTTGAATGCCCCTCATTTGGGTCACGATCTTCACCGCAAAGGACACTTCAGAACGCGTCGCGATTGAATTCGTCAAAGTAACAACATTGAGACGGCCTCTCTAAAATGTACCAGCCTCTCAGGGCCACTCGATCTTCATCATTGACTTGCTCATTTATCTGCCCCAGCAGCTGCCCCAGCAGACCCACACCTCTCTATTCTAGGCCTCGACACAGAGGCATTGGGTCTCTGTGTGTCTATGTTGTGTGTCTCTCTCTGTGTGTCTGTGTCTCTGTGTCTTGTGTTGTCTCTGTGTGTGTGTCTCTCTCTGTGTGTCTGTGTCTTGTGTTGTCTCTCTGTGTTTATGTTGTGTGTCTCTCTCTGTGTCTCTGTGTTATCTCTCTGTGTGTCTGTGTCTCTCTCTGTGTTATCTCTTTCTGTGTGTCTATGTTGTCTCTCTTTCTGTGCGTCTCTGTGTCGTGTTGTCTCTCTCTGTGTCGATGTGTGTTGTCTCTCTGTGTCTCTCTCTCTCTGTGTTATCTCTCTCTGTCTATGTTGTGTCTATCTCTGTATCTCTGTGTTATCTCTCTCTGTGTGTGTCTCTCTCTCTGTGTCTCTGTGTGTCTCTCTCTGCTTGTGTGTCTGTCTGTGTGTCTCTCTCTGTGTCTGTGTTGTCTCTCTGTGTGTCTACGTTGTGTGTCTCTCTGTGAGTGTTTGTGTTATCTCTCTCTGTCTTATCTCTCTCTGTGTCTCTCTCTGTGTGTCTGTGTTGTGTGACTCTCTCTGTGTGAATCTCTGTGTGTGTCTCTCTCTGCTTGTGTGTCTGTCTGTGTGTCTCTCTGTGTCTGTGTTGTCTCTATGTGTGTCTACGTTGTGTGTCTCTCTGTGTGTGTTTGTGTTATCTCTCTCTGTCTTATCTCTCTCTGTGTCTCTCTTGTGTCTCTCTCTGTGTCTCTCTGTGTGTCTGTGTTGTGACTCTCTCTGTGTGAATCTCTCTGTGTGTCTGTCTGTGTGAGTCTCTCTCTGCTTGTGTGTCTGTCTGTGTGTGTCTCCGTGTCCGTGTTTTGTCTCTCTCTCAAATTGAGTTGTACCTGATGACGGTTGCTTGTGTTGCAATCGAAACGTCGTACTCCATTATTTAATGTATTTTTTTTTGCCTCCGAAACGTCGTGATTTTTTATTTTTATGTTTTACTTACGTGACTTAACCGAAAAAACCTAAGAATATTAATGTATTTTCTTTCTACTTTCTCCGCCACTTTACCCTTCGCTTCAAGTGGCCCCAAGTCTTCCTCTTCCGGAAGAGGCCTTCTTCTGGAAGGGCGACTCCGTTTTGTTGGTAGCGTCTTCCTCTTCCGGTAGAGATCTTCTTCTGGAAGGGACGAGTGTGTTTTGTTGGTAGCGTCTTCCTCTTCCGGTAGAGAACTTCTTCTGGAAGGGAACGAGTGTGTTTTGTTGGTAGCGTCTTCCTCTTCCGGAAGAGCAGAGACGATTGCTCGCTCAAAGAGCTGAGCAACTGATTATTTGGTTCTTTCGGTTAAGTCACGTCTAAAGATAAAATAATAAATTAAATTAAATAATAGCATACGACGTTTCTATTGCAACACAAGCAATCATCATCAGGTATAATGAAATAGCGACATAAAATCTAACCAGAAAACTATAGACAGACATTAGCAGACAGATATCAGCTGAGCAACTCACAAAACACGCAGCAGATTCTTCTTACAAAGGGATATGAATGCTAAAAAAAATGAAGCCTCATCAAACACCCACCGTCATATGTGCACAAATATCACTGCAGTAATAGGAACTTACAACACATCTTCCCCTACCGGCAAACGTTTGTTGTTAAAAAAAAAATCACCACTGCATCTTCCGGTAGGCGTCTTTCTCCTCACACGCTGCGATTCTCTCCGCCGTCTCCTCCTCGTGCATCACTTCTCAGCCCGCGATTGAATGCCTCGCAGTTGGGATAGCGAACGGGCTGAGAGAGCAGAGGGAGATGGTGGGTCGTTGTGTTTATATGCACCTCGGCGCACGGGGATCTCCGTGTAGCTGCGATGGCCGAGTGGTTAAGGCGTTGGACTTGAAATCCAATGGGGTCTCCCCGCGCAGGTTCGAGCCCTGCTCGCAGCGAATATTTTTATTTGTGAAAATTCAACTGCAGTACCAACAAACCGTCCATTTAATTCGTCCTCTGTCATATGTCGTGTATAAATTGAGAAGCAATATGTGCGTAAATTCATACCGCTGTGGCGAGATCTTAACTACCTCGCCTGGGCTATCAGATGGTGTTCGGTTTCGGTCCAGACCCTGACTCATGTAATTTTGGAGTTTGAGTGTCTCTCTCTGGATTTTTCTCCGTTCCTCCGGTTCTGCCTTCCACATGATCAGCCACTTTGTTGAGCTATTATTTGTGGCCCTGCCGTTTCTGAAAAAGATATATATCTCAGTGGGCCTCACCAGATAAAATAAAACATAGTTTTAAAGCCAGGATTGACTGGGCAACAGTTTTTGGATGTATCAAAAGGGAAGGTGTGGTTTGGACAATGTTAATTGATGCCTCCGCCCAAAGACATTTAACCGTCTCATACAATGGCACAGCGAAGTTGGCATGAGCCCTGTGGGTGAAGGGAATGAAATGAGACCCTGTCCTGTTCGTAGCCCGGCGCTTGGGTCCCAAGGGCCACTGTGCAGTTCCACCGCTTGCACAATCGATAGTGGCACTTAATGTTTGGTCTTTGTACTTAGATGCAGTAACTGCTGTCACGAGATCCTCTTATCTCAGGAATACGATCTTTTGCACACGTCAGTGCCATTCACACACGGTCACAAACACACACGGTCACACACACACGCATGTTAACGTGTTTGTGCAAATGAAGTGGCAGCAAGGATGTCTCGATTTAAAGCTTTCGTGACTGCAGGGATTCGTCTTCTTGGTTCTTTCGGTAAAGTCACGTAAAGGGAAATAATAAAATAAATAAATAATGTTGCCCCTTTTGTTATGTTTTATTTCCATTACTTTATTATTTCCCTTCTACGTGACTTTACCGAAAGAACCAAGAAGAGCAAACATGTCCTTATGGGGAGAAAACAGGGTAATTGTGCCACTGAGCCTCTTGGAACCTCTGGCAGTCCTGGCTGCAAGGGGTGTGATCGTCAGGGCTTTAAGATGGTGTTTGGGTAATTTAAGGTATGTTACTGACATAATTATACAGGTCTCCATTATGTATTCTGGGTATTGTTTATTTATGGGTTTCATACAATTCACGTTATGGCAGTAATCAATGGTGATGCGACTTGGTATTTTTATGGAAACAAGTCGCCCTCACCAGTGTTCACGCTGGGTGCGGGATTGGTGAATCATAATCTTTATTCATCCTGCAGAAATCCGATGAGCTATGAAGCTCTTTTTCACAGATTTCCAGTCGGAGCGGGTCAGAAAGTTACAACAGGAAACAATACCAAACAAACGAATGGAGTGCAACGTTTTGAAAAGGTAAGTGGGTGGGTGGTCACGTTGTTTGCTCTGTGCAATGTTTGAGGATTGCGCTATGGCGATTGGCAATGTTTGAGAGAACAAACTTTGTTGAGAGGTTTCCTGTTAAGGCGGGCTTGTTATAGACACATGATAACTTTAGAGGTCGGTGCCGCCTCCTTGACACATCTCGTCAAACACTGCCTTCAACATTGTACCGACCCCCTCTGCAGTCGAAGGGGTGAGTCTCACTGCACTCCTAATGCTGTTTGTACTGCCATTCACTATTCTGTACAAATTGTACTTCCCAACTATGCAAGCTGGGAACCTGTCTTAAATGAGTCATCATATTCCACCAACCCCATCTCCAAAGAGATGGAGCATTGTGCCACCACATGGTGGCAATAGAAAAGAACAATATTTCTAGTTATGAAACTTTTTTGTGGTATTTTTCAAAAAATTGCAAATACTGACACATATGATATCAATGGAGCCAGAATGATTTTTAGTTCATGGGACAATGATTAGCATGATTATGTCTCTGTGTGTTCTCTCTCTGCTTGTGTGTCTGTGTTTTGTCCTCTCAAATTTAGCAATCTTTGGAAGAACGTGATAAACCAGGTGGGATGTTGGCTGTTGTGTTGGCCGACTGTTTGGTTGTGTTGCATTGTATTTCTGAATTTACTATGCTTTTTTAATTAATTCGTGCCTGATGGTGGTTGCTTGTGTTGCAGTCTAAACGTCGTATTCTATTATTATTCAATTTATTTTCTTTCTACGTGACTTTACCAAAAGATCCAGAGTAATTCCTGCAGTCACGAAAGCTTCGAATCTAAATTTAAAAGAATAAATAAAATAAAATTTATTTTGTAAATGTTATTTTACTATTTTAAAATGTTAAACTTGTTCTTGTGGGTTTTTTGCTTATATAATTTCCAATTTCTATTTCTATTATTTAAAAATGTTATTGTATTATATTTTCTTTTTTGTTTTCTATATACGTGACTTTACCGAAAGAACCAAGAATATGAATTCCTGCAGTCACGAAAATTTTCAGTCTAAATTTTATTTGTCACTACTACAGCACACCACTGTTGGAGAGAAAATCCACAACATTTACATTCTGAGTACGACGTTTCACTAGTAATTCCAACTAGCATCATCAGGCGGGCAGGCATTTTGTGGAGAAATTCTCCTGCTTCGTTCCTTAGAGGGATAGATGTGATAACGACACTTGAGAGGCTTTCACGTGCAAAAAGGGGGAATTAATGACTGCGTATAAATTACCGCTTGGATTGCACATTATGCATGCACATTGTTCTTGGACCTCCTACCATTGACGTATAGGCATGCATTTAAACAATGTATTATTTGATTATTCGCTTACAAGAAGCACTAAGCCTGTAGCTATCCGAAAGGTTAAACAAAATTTATTTATCTCAATTTCAATAGAATCTCTAATTATTCTTGGCCAGTAGTTTGCACAGAACTTCAATATTATCAAAATCACGCGTGTTCTGCCACTGCCAACAGTATTCGGGAGTATTTAATATTCATTTGGTGTTCCTTTAGTCTCATACTGATCATTCGTCCTGTCTGCCCAACATAGCATTTGCCACAAAAGCAATTAATCTGGTACACACCTATTGATAGCTTCGGTAATACATCTTTGGTACCAGATATAAAATCTTGACTCAAAGCTTTCGTGACTGCAGGAGTTCATATTCTTTAGTAGTTATTTCGGTAAAGTCACGCAGAACAACAAAAAAATTTGTTCTAAGTAATTTTACCGAAAGACCCAGAGAATACCAGGTATTTGCCAAATCTGACTCGGATGTTTTGTTTTTCCAAAAATCGGGCTAGTTTATCAGTTACTCCCCCAATGTATGGTATTTTAATAGTTTGAATTACTTGGTCAGTTTCAACACTCGTGTCATTTGATTTGGCTTCGGCATTAAGTGCCCTGTTGATTTGTGTATCATTGCAACCGTTCAATTGCAGCGCTTCTTTAACATGTTTAATTTCACTTCTTAGACTATCACCATCTGACACTTTCGTAGCACGATGATCATTTTGATGAAATGATTCCTGTGCGGGGCGATGGTGTGACTGCATTCAGATAGGCGTCAGTGTGCGTTTTTTTTTTTCGGTAAACACTGTGTTATTTTACCAGATTTAATTGAAGCCAACTTTTCCGAATGATGGGAGTCTTTCTACTTCTATACCTTTGAAAAAAACCGTGAACATTTATTACACATACATTAATTTTAAATGTCAACATTTTATTCTTACCATCCTTACAATAATCACCAAAAATCAATTCTTCCAGTGTAAGAGTAAGAAAACTCAAAACACAACTGCATGCTAATTTCGTGAAGCTTGTTTTAAGTTAAATTCCTACCACGGTCCTGGTCGGACAGAATTGCATTAAATGCTCGCTACCTTAGGTTTTTCAACCTCCTCAACCAAACCGAGGAGACTTTCCAAAGATTAAAATTGTCTTCCTGCTCAAATGAGTGTTGGCCTATGCTCATCGCCATTGACAGTCTCGAGCCAGCTGGTGGAAATTCCACATTCCTCTGACAGGGACCAGTATCTGCATAGGGAAACCAGAGCTGACTTCAATTCAAGAGCAACTCACTCATTGTTTCGACCCTACAGAGGTGTTAATATATGGGTCCAATTGACCACGGAAGGGAATTCGCTACCTTTGGGTTTTGAGGTGTCGCTCGGTCACGCGATCAGACAGCCACAATCAAAACTGCATTGTAGTGAGCAATTTGTATAGTCATACAGTACTGTATAGCAAAAACAAAACGTATTTAAGACTAACACCAATGAATTAAATTGTAGAGGGGAGAGGGGGAACACATGAATCAGGCACAGAGCTTGTTTTTTCTTCATGAAACCCTTAGCATTTCACAAACCCATAACCCTCTTTACAGATCCCCGGATGCTTGTTCTCCCACAGCGGTCCATAAACCGTCAAACTGAGAACCCCTGAGTTACCCAACCGCCCATCATCTGTAACATTGCGCAAGCAGCCTTTAAAATCCGCTTCCCCTCACCAACCCTGTCTTAAGAGAGTGGTCCAAAGGCGCACGCTTATCACAGCTATTCGGCCTCGATAAAGAATGCATGGACAATGCCGGTGATGCCACCACACCACCACACCTTACCATTACTTCCTTCCGTCTGCCAGATTGTGGGAACACATGGGCCTGGGGATACCTCTGTATGATTTTAATGTCAAGGAAAATAGGCTTCGGCATTTTAGAGGCCACACTTTGAAAGTGATGGACACACACGTGGGCCTGTGTACAGCAATATCAAGGGAAGGGTCCAGCCCACGTAAAACTTTAACCTCGATGGCTACACCGGCAGTGATTCAGCGGGCTGCTGCAGAAAAGCATGGGCACGAATACACACGCGTCTGTGAATGTGCACGCTGGAAAGACACACGTGTATTTGTGAATGCACGAACACAAACGAACGTGCATTAGTGAACTAATAAGCACAAAGACACATGCGTTTGTGAACACACAAGTACAGACACACGTACACATCTTGGGGTACACGTGCAGGAACACTGACGGATCGCACGTGCACATACAAGTGTGTGCAGCATGCACACACACACACAAAATAGCTTAGTGTGTTCGTAGCAGTGACTTAAATAGCTGGGAATGGGGTTTGGTCCTGGGTGATTAATCAGAAGGCAGGGTCTGGAGCTAGGGTGCATGAGGTTCAAGGGATGCAGGGGGTGATGACTGGACTTCTGTGCGGGATGAGCATCTTGGTGTCTATGTGCAAGGTGTGAGCAATAGAGAGTTGCTGCTGCAAGGTGTGTTGCTGCGGCCAAGAGGCCTTCTGTGAGCGATGTGTGGGTTTAGGCATTTGGGTGTACGTAGTGTATGGGGGGGATGTAGGGATATTGACTGTGGTGTGGAGCATCTAAGTGCATCTAGCTATGTGTTGTGTGAGTGTGCTTATACTGGTAGTCTTTGCATGTCTCTGGGTATATGGTTTTAAGTGTCATGGCGCATGGTATGTGAGGAGCTGGGTTTACGAGTGTGTATATGGGTTGTATGTGTATCCATGTGTGCATGATTGTGTATGGGTTTATACGTGTAGCGATGTGTATGTGTATATATGGTGTGTAAATGCATGTGTAAGGAACATTTTGGGGGGAGCAGGCGAGGCAACTGCCTTTTGCACCCTCCCCCCCCCCCCCAGGTGAACCTCTGGTATATAGTTTGTGCAGCGGTGTATGGTCTGTGCGGTATACTAGTGTATATGATGTGTCCATGTTTGTGCACCGAATTCTTACATGGTACATGTGAATGTGGTTTGTGCATATATATGTATGTCTATATGAAATTTTGATCGTGTGCTTCTGGATGCTATACAGAAGCAGACAATGCCGAGCCTTGAACTTGCTTATTCCGATTGAGGAAGGTAGTATCGTGTAGTAAGGTGTTACAACCCACTGGCAAAACTAGATAAGCACAACCGAGACCAGCAGTTCATGCTTCTGTAGCACATCGCACGCTGTATAATTTATCTAATTCCGCATCTACATCGACTTTCATGTATAGTACAAATACACACATACGACGTATGATGTAACAATGTGAATAGTTGCATGGTGCATGTGTGTATGCATTTGTGCATTTATCTGCACGCAGGATATGGATATAATTAGGCATTTTGAAAATGCAATTATTCATATATTAAGATTTTTCAACTCACGCTGCATGTATCGAACCGTGCATATAAGAATCTATTATTTACGATTTGGACAAATTATGTGCTAGGCTAATGGAGTGTGCAAGACTGTACAGACAAGATGGAATAAATGAGAAAAAATGAAAATAAGATGGTAAAAATTACATAGAATCGATTCTTGAATCGAATCCCACCCCGAATGGTGACAATTATGAATTACTGGAGGATGTATCTTTGTATATGGCGTCTGTCTGTTGTGTGTATCTACGTGTATACAGTGTCTATTTATGTAATTATATTATATGGTGTGTACATGATTTATCTACGTGTACATGTGTGTGAACGTGTGAATTTGGTGTATGTGCATATGTGTATCTCATACGTGTCAACCCATACGGTTTACCTGAATTCTTGTACAGGGGGAGTTTTCAGGCCCATATGGCGTGCAGCCGTTTCAATATGGGCAAACATGTTTTTGTCTATTTGTTTGTGTTTCTCCCTTGTGATGGGACTTTGTAGAATGAACATTGATACTTATAAGGGCACGGGGTGACCAATCAAGTCTGAATTGGTCTGAAATAAGGCAGGTACTCATAAGGGGTTGACAGGTATGGACTATCTACAGCATATGTACATATAAAGTGTGTGTGGATATGTTTGTATATGTATGTGTATTAATGCATGAACCGATATTTGTATGTATGTCGGGAGCGGTAGTGTAGTGATTAGCGCACTGCGCTACGAGTTCGATTCCCGCTCGTGGCCAACACCAGTGATGATGATCTGAACAGGTCCTGGGCCTCTCCTAGGTGGACTCACTCAAATGAGTACCTGGTGCGGTGTGTAAAAACATTGCCACTGGGGAGACAAAAGCGGTCAGGCGTGGTGTTAGCCACGCACCCCCTCGTGTACTGTGCTGGCCTTCATAGGTGCTGTTAAGGTTACACAGGGGATCTTTGTCTGTGTATGTCTTTGTATGTATGTGTGTATATTGTCTGTATTACGTGTGTATCATGTATGTGGATATGGTGTGTGTGTGTATATGTTGCACGTATATGGTGTATGCATGTGTGTGTATAAAGTGTATGTGTGTGTATATCGTGTGTGTGTGTTTGTGTGCGCAGAGCGGGGGCTGCTCTAGGGCTGCTCTAGGGCTGCACGGGCGGAGCGAGGCGGCTGACGAAGCCGATGATTCTCTGAGATGCCGAGCGTAGCACCGCCGGGCACGACGGGTTCGCTGTTGCAGACTCCACTGCCATTCGCAGCTCAGAAAACAACACGCTGCATACACACACACACAACACACACGCGCGCGCGGAAACATGGCACACACAGTCACGCCACGGCGTTTGGTACACACGCATGGTAACACGACACACTTAGTAACGCTGCACGCTGGGTAAGCACACAGTACACACGAAATACAATACATGCGGTAACACAATACATGTGAAGGGTTCCAAGACTGGTTGATATTTCATTCGTCTTTTGACGTTAGCCGTGGCCAGAAATTAAAATAAGATCGACGGGCTCATTGCGCAGCGCACTAACCACTGTGCCACCAGATGTTGACACCAGTGGTCCCACAGCATGACAGTACCATATGATGAGACAACACAAAATAACAAAACACATCGCTACATGTAAAAAACAACAGAACATCCATGTTAACACCAAATATTTGATCAAGTGATAAAAACCAGTTTAACACGTAGGCTTTCGCGACCAATGTTATTCATAATCAACGTTTTTTGGGTTTAGATCGCGTTTATTTATAAATGTGTCATAACCCTCCACCACCCGACACGGCCAATCAGTAAAAATGTGTCACGTTGACAAAGACAAATAGTTCACTGCTTTAGCCCACCGGTGTGTTGCTATAGCAAATTTGTACATGGAAAACTTTGAAACCAGAGCACTTGCCTCGAGCACATTAAAACCATCCTTTTGGTTTAGATATGTGGATGACACTTTGGTTGTCTGGCCACATGGTAAAGATACACTTAACGATTTTCTAAATCATCTCAATGCACAAAACCCGGCCATTCAGTTCACCATGGAAATGGAGGTGAATAACACACTCCCGTTCTGTATATTTTACTTGGGCATGGCCCAAACGGTAAAATAACACACAGCGTTTACAGAAAGCCAACGCACACTGATGCCTATCTGAATGCAGATTCGCATCATCATCCAGCTCAGAAATCCTCTCTTATCAAGACGCTCATACATCGGGCTAAAACAGTGTCAGATGGTGAAAGTCTAGTGAGAGAGATTAAACATGTTAAAGAAGCACTAAGACAGAATGGCTACAATAATGCTCAAATTAACAGAGCACTAAAAGCCAAATCACGATCGCAAAGCAACACTGCTGAAAGCGATCAGATTATTAAAACAATAAAAATACCATTTATCTCAGGAGTAACTGATAAATTAGCCCGTGTTTTGCAAAAGCAAAACATTAGAGTAAGATTTGGTACAGTACACAAAATTCAACAACTAGTAACGTGCACTAAAGACGAATTACCTAAATTATCAACAGAAGGTGTATATCGGATTAATTGTGTATGTGGCAGATGCTATATTGGACAGACAGGGCGTAACGTTAGTGTAAGACTAAAAGAACACCAGAGAAATATGAAACTATCACAAACACAACTGTCGGCAGTAGCAGAACATGCATGCCAACAGGGACACTCAATTGATTTTGACAACGTGGAAGTGTTGTGTAAAACTAGTTACTACTGGCAAAGACTAATTAGAGAATCGATTGAAATTGAGAGAAACAGAAATAACTTTAATCGCTCAGACAGCTACAGGCTTAGTGCGGCCTGGAAGCGTATTATTAAATAAGATACATTACAATTACTTATAAGGGAAACAACCACTAACTGATTACTAATGTAGCATAATCACAAAACAAAAAAAAACATTCCAAATGATTACTAATCTACAACTCGCATCGTAACAATAGCCTGATTACTAATCTAGTATATAATTACAATCACTCCCCCCTTGAATCTTTGCACCTGATGAGTTGATGAGTTAATGATGACGTCACCCTGCTGCTGCTCTATATAAGAACGGGAGACAGCAGAGCCTCACCATTCTGGCGAATTGCCCGATGATGCTGGTTGCAATTACCAGCGAAACGTCGTACTCAAATTGTAAATGTTGTGGCTTCAACACACCGGTGGGCTAAAGCAGTGAACTATTTGTCTTTGTCAACGTGACACATTTTTACTGATTGGCCGTGTCGGGTGGTGGAGGGTTACGACACATTTATAAATAAACGCGATCTAAACCCAAAAACGTTGATTATGATAAAAACCATTATGCACAATATTCAAACACAAAATAAAAACAACACCATTACGCACGTGGTAATGCATCACACAAGACAATACACAACAACACACACTGCTTAACGCACATAACTTGGGGCACAAGGCCTGGGGAAAACAACCACGCACACTGCAAAACAATGCACAATGTAACTTCATACTCTGCACACACACAACCCCTCTCTCTTCACTGCTGCTGCCACCCTCCCCCCACACCGTCACACTTTCTCTCACGTTCCCCCTCTCATACCGGCAGTACGGGTTGCGCCGGGATGCGTATCGCAGGGTCAGGAAGCGGTAGTAGAAGAAGGGCAGGAACAGGCTGCAGTGGCCGCTGCACCCGGAAACACAAAGATGCGGCTCCATTAGAATGTGCGCAGCACCATTATAAAGCACACAGCGCCGGAAGAGCTGCATAGATGTTTTTTTTATGTTGGTAAAGTGCCAAAAGGTATGCACAGGTCAGCCCAAAATCGCCACCCCCATTCGTCAGAACTCCTCTCTAAATTCTCTTGTCAGTCATTACGTGGTGGCCGACGATGAGGATGAGCGAACTTCTAAGTCCTCTTTTATGACGTCAATGAGTTATTTCAATAAGGAGCACAAATGTTTTACGAGTCGTTTTTCTGAACGATATTTCAGCTTTAAATAATACCACCAAACTTCTGCAGAAAATCACCCAGCATAGCACGCCAGGGCACCGGTATTAGGCCCCCACAGCAGTTTTATGTAGTGTTATGATTTCGAGTCACAATTAAATTCAATAATTTATATTTTTAGATTGTGAATGTAGTGCCATGAGTGCTGGAGGGGTAACACGCATTAATTCATCATCAGCCATGATCTAGCAAATGATGGATTTATGGCCCATTCCCTCATGACCTTGTGATTCCATTATTCATCTCGCTCTTGTGCATGAGCTGATCTCGCCATTCTATTTCCGCTGCCACTCTCTCATTAGCCTTGACTCACAGCCACCGTTCCTTCTAGAGACGTATCCCGTCCAAGCACACTATATTTTCAAGAGTGAATATTTTTAACTTTAAAATCGATTCCTACGCTTACAATACATGCAACAAATCGTGAAGATTTGGATTCACATATGGACATTACCAACATTTCGGACATAAATTTTATTGTACATTAGTATAATTACAGTGGATTATTATTGGGCAGGATTTGTTAACTAATTACAACAATAATTCACGCAAATATTTTTCCACCTTTCTTGATATGGGAGAAATTGTTATAAAGTACCACATTGTCAGATGTACTCCGATGAACTGACTTTTTCATTCATGGTGGAATGGTAATGGTGCATTCAGTTTTGTGTTTTGGTCAAACCACTACTTTACTCCACAAATAATCCATATTTTCTAAAACTATAGATAACTACCTGAAGAATTACACCACCATATGTATAATTATGATGATTCTGAAATTTTGGAATATGAATTTGCCCAATTTGTGGAACTGCCCATATGTAACATTTAATTTGTTCATGAAGACACTGCACCTACTGAGAAACCTAAACGGACTGCAATGGTAAAAACAATTGAATAAAATCGTGACCCCCAAATCATAATTAATCAAATTGCAGGGGTGGGAAGAGCAGTGAATTGTTCGATACTTCATCATGGGACCTCCTTTACCAGTACCAAAATATGAGAATAGGTTTTCCTTTTTTTTCTGGCAACAAACAGGTGTTAAGATGTTAAAACACCAAACTGAAACCTTTTACAAGGAATCATGTCTACATTAATCTTAATTTGAAGCTTTCGTGACTGCAGGAATCCATACTCTTGTGTTGCGCCCGAAACGTCGTGATTTATTTTATTTTATACCTACGTGACTTTACCGAAAGAACCAAAGAGTATGTCTGCATTAACCACAATACTTGTGTCAGAATGTTTGCATTCTCCCATATCAAGAAAGGTGTGGTCAGAATGTTTGCATTCTAACCACAAGTATTGTGGTTAATGCAGACATGATTCCTTGTAAAAGGTTTCAGTTTGGTGTTTTAACACCTGTTTGTTGCCAGAACAAAGGGGAAAACCTATTCTCATTGTTCGATGCTCTTTTACAATAATAACCGCAGCCCCCCTCCCCACTACCTGAAGAGCATAAGTAGCGTGGCAGGCATGAGGAAGATCTCATTGCACGCCACCAGCTTCAGGATGTTCTGCTGCTGCGCAGACACCCGTGTCAGGAAGGAGCGAACAAGTGGCATCGAGCCAGGGCCCAGGATCTGCGATGGGACACAGAAAGACACGTGGGGACCCGCGGACACACGGGAATAAGCGAGGTCATTAGAGGACACGTATGCAAGGATATGTGTGGACATACAGGTGGGATACACAGGATTTACGGTCAATCACAGACTCAAGGGATGACAAAACACCGGAACACAGGGAAATGGAGACAAGGACACAAACACTGATGGGAGATGTGTTATCATAAAGGTGTGATCAGATTCAGGTGCATGTAGAGGCGTATACACATATTCACCAGTTTAGACATGAACAGATGTATGTGGATGTTTGTAGGTGTGTGTGTACGAGTGTTCAGGTGTGTGCATGTGTGTAGGTATTCATGCGTGTGCGTAGGTGCGTGTGGTGTGTGCGCAGGCATGTGCATCCGTGTCCAGGTTTAGGCGAATGCTCACGTTAAGCACTTTGAAGCTGTGCGCCGTTGCATGCAGCAGCGAAAACAGGAACACGGGAAGCAAACTCACTGCAGCGCCGTCAAGGAATATCGTCAACAACACGACCAACATTATCAGCACTATTGTCAAGATAGTCACAATTACTACCACCAGGTCTATCACCATCGCCGACATCACCAGCACCACATGCCGACATCCCTTCAGTGTATGCATGGCCACCGCTAGACCTAGGGTTGGACTAGATTTATTGTAAGGGTGAAGCTGAGGTTATGGTTTGTGCAAGATCAAGGTCAAGGAAAAGATTTGGGTTGATAGGTGCAGTGTTAAGAGTGCTAAGGTAGACCATGTCAGTGTTAAGGTTTGCCTATGTGTTGGCATTAGGGTATGGACTATGGCCGATTCGTGAAAACCTTTAATAGATTTTGGTGGATGTTGATGTTAAAGTGAGTGTTAATGAGTCAAGACTTGGCTTCAGGATATTTGTGATGCGACACAATAATATTCACATAAGGATATGATATAGTGCCCTATAGGGCGCGGCTTATAGGGCGCTATATGAAAAACATATCATCAGTTTAAGAGGTCGTGTTATCATTGGAGGTAGCGTTAAGAGTTGGGGCCAGTGATGGGTTGAGAATACTGGCGATAGGTTGAGTTAGTGGTCATGTTCGGGTTACTGTTAGGATTAGATATTTGGGACTAGGTCAAGGATACTTGTCATGGGCCATGTTAGTGTACGGGTTACGATTGAGATTAGGCGCTATGACTGGCTCAAGGATACTGGTGATGGGCTGGGCGTTGACAAAGATGAGCGAGTATAGCAGGTAGTGGCACGAATCCTCAAGCAGCGCCTGGCTTAGAAAGACGCGGCTCAGTGACGGGTGTGGCAGCCGCTGATGTAGGCGCAGTGCGCTTGTGAGCGCCGAGAAGAGCAGCGCTCGCTGGAACCATGCACTCGCCTGGCCCGTCCTAGAGAACGCACGCATTCAGGTACGCACACGTGAGTACACATAAAGGAAACATAGGCAAGTACATGGATGCATTGACACATGTCGGTATACGCACAGATATGAACATTTGAGTTCACACACGAGTATGCACATGCGGATGCCTAAACCGGTCCCAGCCACCCGGGGATGGCTGAGATTCGTTGGCTCTGCTCTGGCTTTCCCGGCTGTCCTAAGGTTTTTTTTTTATTGCTGCTGTGCCCCTGATGCTTCTTACGAGGCTGTGCCGTGGGGTGTTAATCTCTTCTAGCTGTTAAGTTTCTATGTTGAGCTCCCTATCTACCTAATGTATCAATATTTTTACTGATGTAAAGCGTCTTGAGATGCAATTTCATTTAGAAGCTACGAACATTTAATTTGTCGATGTTGTTGAACATAGACATACTGGACACATGGGCTCGCACACTCGGGTACACTTGTGGGAACACACACTGGTGTGCATTTATGAGTTCCCCCAACGGTATGCACATGTGAGTAGACACTAGAAAACATGGAAATTCAGAGGCAAGTACATATTTGAGTAAACACAAAGATATGCCTAGTGTGAATACACAAACCTGAATATATATACACACACGAGTACACTTCCCCCAAACTACAAGTTTACAGGCTTCCCATACTCACCCCAGCAGAGGGATGAAGAAGAGGATGGACGACACGACGGTGGACAACCTGGATACCCACATGGCTGACTCTACCTTGTTTGACAGTAGGAATTGCTGGGAAGGCAGAGATGGGCAGGGAGGAACATAGACAAGTAGGAGAGGACGATAATTTAATTACAATCTCAATTACACACCACTATCATTATCATCAACACCACCATTACCAATATCTAAAATGCAAGCACTGCCATCAGGAACACCATGAGTTACATTGCCATCATCACCACCACAGTCATCGTTACCGCAATCATCACTACCACTGCAACCACTTACATCAGTAGCATCATTTTGAATTGTATTGCGATCATTATCACCAGAATCAATACCAATATCAGTAGCAACATTGTCCTAACAAGCACCAGCATTGTGGAACGGTGTATTGCAAGTGAGGCATTATTATTAAGGAAGGTCCTAGTAATTACCATTGTAAGTGTGATGCGTGTAGCTGTCATTGAAAATAGATCTTGGCACATAGCTCATCAATGGCTGCAACTGGGAACCAAGACAGTCCTGCATACACCTTGTACTGTCGAGTAGGGATGGTTGACATTGGGGTCCCCTAGGCTTGACTGTTGTCGGGTAATGTAATGGTTGAGTTTCAATGTGATGTAAGATGCTTTAAGGTCCTGAGCATTTAAGAATCATAATCAGAATATGTATTTATACTGGAGGAATCTGATGAGCTATAAATAGCTTTTTCACGGATGTCCAATAGGCCAGTAGGGGCATGTCAGAACGTTACAACAGCAAACAATACAAAAAACACGATAGGAGTGCAAAGTATAGGTAAAGTAAACAATTCACAAAAAAGTATACAAATAAAACAACAATTTTTAAAAATCTAACCAGGTAAAGCCCACTGAGCAATTAACTTATTTTTCTAGAAGCGACCCAGCCACAAATGATATCTCTATAAATACAAATCATTCTCCATTACCCCCTAGTTGTCCATCGCCGTGTGGATGACACAGACACGTGGAGGGGGAGACACTCACAGCCACGGTTGGTGCCGCTGCTGCTGCTGCTCCTCCTCCACCTGCTTCTGCTCCTCCTCCACCTGCTCCTGCTCCACCAGGGGGGCCCTCAGTGTGATCGCCCCCGGCGTTCCTGGTGTCTTCTGTCTCCGCCATGTTAATTTGGTTCACCTGCACACAAAAGACAAAGAACCCCCCCCCTATAGCCTTAACAGACTGTTTGGGCACGAGGCGGTGGGTGGCCAGCACCACGCCGGCCGCCTTCCTCTCCCCAGTGGTGATGTTTACCACACACTGCTACCAGGTATTATTTGAGTTTGAGTCGACCTAGGGGAGGCCCAGGACCGGTTCAGATAATCGTCACTGGGTGTTGGTTCGCTGGGTTCGGAGCGCAGCGCGCTACTCAACCGCTCACCTGCACACACAACACACGAAGACAAATTTAAATATTCTGCATGCAACCTTGGGGCAAGCGTTGTTCATGAGCACACCGTACTAGGCATTAAAGGCCGAGTTGACCTTTGGGAGGTCTAGGACGAGTTCAGATCATCACCACTGATGATGGTCGTGGCCGGGAATCAAACTCAGCTGGCAAGTTTGCAGTGCAGTGCACTAACCACAACACTACCGCACACAGGCGTTAAACCAAATTTACCACACTACTGTACGCTGGACCGTGTCTTATCTCAGATCAGAAGGGTTGAGCTGAGACAATAGGCTGCAGGGTTTCGTGGTGGGAAGCATGTGGCAGTGCAGAATACTCAATTGTTTCACTGTACTTAGCCCTAATTTCTATGCTTCCTGCCTTCAACTCGCACTGACCAGCGGCCCCAATCCACAACAAAAAAGGTTGTGGGTGTGACATTGAATTAAACGTGCGTAATATTTTTAACAGTCTTCTGTTAAGTCACAGAACCAGAGCTTTCACAATATTAAAGATTAGAGATCGAAACATGACCGACCAGATGGCTCGATCTCGAGTGAGCGGCTCGCAATCATCGCAAGGCTGAGAAGTTCAAATCCTGGCTGGAGGATGGCTCAGTCCATCATCTCTCCCGGGGTCGATACAATGAGTACCACTGTTTTCGGTAAGTAAGCAGTGGTTGTCCTATTAAAGAATATAAACTCGCCCCGGCCATAGCAATCTAGAACTTTCACGACGGCTCAGGGCTGTAAACCGTCTCAATTTTACACGAAAATCATTGCGATTGACCGCATCCATAGACCTCTACATGTCAATAATACTGCCTAAAAAAAAGAAAAGTATAACAGACGACGTTTCGGACAATGTCCCTTCATCTGTGCTTGGCTCGGTCTGGATATTTAAATCCCCGACGTGGGCTCTGGTTCTCCCGAGGCCTTCACATTCAATGGATTTCAAAAGGATAAAGCCCCAAAAAAGAAAAACATCGCATCACCAGCCAGCACTGGCAATTAAACACATCCAAAACAGAAACCACGCGACTATGCGAATTACATATAAACCCATTCTGCGGTGTCTGTAACGATGTTTTGTTTATAAGCCAACACAGAGAGACGGGGGGGGGGGGGGGGTCTTTCCTAGAAACCGCAACCGGAGGCCTGCCGCAGGCCTCGGGCCGAGTGGACGGGGGTGGCCGTGGGGAAGGATGACCGAGCAACTTGCAAACCCTCACTTCAAACCACACAATCACAATTATTATTAATAAAACAAACTCTCTCTCACCAGACGGAGGCGATTACCGACCAAATAAATCTCTCTCACGCACAAAGCAACGCTACACAGCTTAAATAACCATGCAGTGTTCTTGGTTATTTCGGTAAAGTCACGTAGAAGGGAAATAATAAAATAGATATTTTAATTGTTTAATATTTTTATTATTTTATTACTTCCCTTCTACGTGACTTTACCGAAAGAACCAAGAAGATGAATGCGTGCAGTCACGAAAGCTTTAAATCAAAATGTAATCTCGCAGTGTTCGTATGTTCGTCTCGTGGGGGCAAGGCGTCAAAGAGGGCCCACGAGGGCCTCATGGGGCCACTGCCACCGCCACCGCCGCATTGAAGTCGCCCGCTAGGAACGGGCTCGAAACGTCGGACACGAACGGCACCGATAGAGAGAGAAGAATCTCACCGGCCTCCTCGGAGTTTCTCCCCAAGAGCTGCTGCTGCGGACGAGGAGTAGGAGGGTGGCGATGTGGATGTGTGGAGGGGGAGGAGGAGGGCCACGCTTTGACCGACGTCAGGGGGCGCTCGTGGGGCGGCCTCCAACCCACCGGGCGAATCGATTAAAGAACTCAGAGATCGATCACGAACTCACTCGTTCAGTCGTTTCTTCATTGAAGCGATTTGTATCCCGATGATCTGTTTATTGGCGATCGATATACGCCGATTGTGTTCGACGCGTGCACTCGTTTGTTTGTACACAGGACAAAAAACACATTTCAGAATTTCAGATTTTTTTACGTCCAGTGGGAATGGGGACTGCAGGAAACACGAGATGGGGATGGTTTCGTTTTATTTTGTATTTGTTTGGGTGATTTGTTGACCTATCCTGTACTTTGCACTCCTATCTTATTTTTGTAATTTGTTGTAACGTTCTTACCCGCTCCTACTGGACATCGGTGACAAAACAATTGCTTTATAGCTCATCGGATTCCCCCAGTATGAATACCTGCGCCGAGTCTGATTCTGAACTTATAATAACACAGATGGCTTGCAAACTAAAATTGGGCTCAGAATTGTTTCGGGGACGTCGATTCTGCGTCATCACGCGATTACGTAACCACGCATGAAGACAGGGACGTCGCTCCGTGCGTGATGACGTCGCCCCGTGCGTGATGACGTTAACGCGTGCGTGATGCCGTCACCGCGTGCGCGATGACGTCGTCGCGTGCGCAATGACGTCGCGGCGTGCGCGATGACGTGCCGCGTGCGTGATGACATCACGGCCCGTTTATCCTCCCCCTCCCGCCTTCAGACCGGACCGCGCTCCGCCACCCGGACTCGCTTCGTTTTTCCTTCTTTCCTAAATTTGTTGTTGTTGCTTGTTTGTTTGTCACCTGCGAGCAATGGTGAGCTTTCTTTTGGGGAGGCGAAGGGAAGGGCGCGATGACAGAGGGGTCGATAATAGTAGGGGAGGCATAAGATGGACAGAAGCGCCGATTCATTGGCGCTCAGTCGAGAGCCTGCGGGAGCAGGCCGCAGATGGCGTGGTGGTTGCTGCGCTGGTGGCGGTGTTGTTATTGTTGGTCGTCGTGGAGGCGATTGTGATGGCTGTGACTTGAGGTGGCGATGACAGTAGTGGTGATGTTAATATGGTGGTACCGATGTTGATTGTTGCAGTGAAACGTCTTCGTAATTGTGTCACTCACGACGACGCGTTGTGAACGTTGGAGCGCATTGGCAAGACAAGTGGTGTTGGTTTCGGCCGAGTGATGATGATGACGAGGGTGGTGGTGGTGATGTCGCCCAACAGAACGTCGCGGGCCTTCGTGCTTTGTCCCGGGATACTGAGGCGTTGGAGGCGCACGTGGAGGCGGGGATCTACGGTGCTCACGACACCCTGCGCGAGGGGTACGTTTCCAGCGCGAGGGGGGGGGGGCTGTCATGAGAACAGTAGGGATGATGAACGGTGACTGGGAATAATGGTTAATGATGGTTGACGGTGGGAAGTGATCAACGTCTCACGAGGTACGAGGGCGTCGTGGGCTGTAGCGTTGCTATAAATCACTTGAGTGGCAAATACATGTTCAGACTTTTAAGTATTACATGGAACATCTGCTGGTTTCCAATATAACGTTGCCTTGGCCCCTGATACTGAGAGATATACAAGTTTATTGATGGAAACTTTGTTTGCACCGTTATTGAATACACATTTCCCAAATTGACCGAATGCAAAACCAATGCCACGAGTGTTGCAGAACTATCACCGTGCACGCAACCGTACTGCCTGTCGCACAATCACATCTCTACCATTGTATACAAATACAATAGTGTGTGATGCCTGTGTGGGTTATGGATGTATTGCTTGTGCAGTGGCTGTAGCGTGTGAAGTTTCGTACACCTGTTTACTGGCTGTGATTACGAGTGTTTAATAACAGCAGTGGCTTTCATTGGGTGGGTGGTGGTTTGATCGAATGGTAGGTATGCCTTGGTTGTGTTAACTACTTGTTGGAAGCGAGATTGAGTGGTGGCCACACGATTATATAATTGCTGACCTATATACTTGAATAGCAGCTGTGTCATTGTTGATATAGTGGCTATGCTTTTGTTCGTTCAGATTTACGAGCGTGCGAAACAACATTACTGCTGCGCATCCCTTAGAAGCCTCCGAAAAGCAAGTACGTAACCTTCCTACTCACCCTGCCTTGGTGGCGTAGCTATTGAGTGAGCGGGCAATGCAATTTAACTGAATCCCATAAGCTGGAAGGGCCGAGGCACCAGCACGGTTGGCTACATACGGTGCGAAGAAAGCTCAATATACGCAGTGGTTTTTTAATGAGCTAAAGATTCACGAATCACAGTATCCCGGAATGGAGCTACAGGGTTAGTGCTTATTGTAATGCAAACTTGCTACATTTTTATTGACTTGACAAGAACACATTTTAACGTAAGTAGCGATCACTCAAAATAATCAATTATCTTAAAGTGAAATAATGCTTTAAGAATGCATTTGAAATACATTAAATGACGAGTACTCTGGAATTCAATGCCATTTGCTCTTGCAACTAATTTGTAAAATTCGCTGCGGATTTTTGTAAGGTCTCAATTGAATGTAAAGATTGATTTTGGAGGACAAGGGGGATGTCAAGATTTAGTTATTTTTTTTCGCCAATCGCAGCGCTTGTGTCAATGCCCCTAAATACCCCCCACGACCCCTGTCCTCTCACCCCAGTATGACCTGCAAGAGCAGCAGCTGTCACTGCAGACGCTACGACGGATTCAGGGTCTGCATGCACCACTGCGTCTGCAAATGGAAATGAGAGCTACCTCACAGGTGGGTTATGGGTGAGAACGGCTACGTGAGGAACACAAGAGAGGGACGTCTCGGCAATGACGCCTCCATTCTTCCAATCTAGAGGTGGAGTTTGTGGATCATGCACACATGACCCTGCCTACTAGAAGGGCAGTGCGGTGTTTCCTTAAGGTGGCAGTACAGCAAGTATGTTTTGGAAGATTATATATACAGTCTTGATTTGAAGCTTTCGTGACTGCAGGAATCCATACTCTTTGGTTCTTTCGGTAAAGTCACGTAGGTAGAAATAAAATTAATCATGACGTTTCGATCGCAACACAAGCGGTCGTCATCAGGCAAAGGAGTCAGCCTCTAAAGGCAACCCGTTTATAAAGGTTTGGGGATGGTCATAGCCCAAGTGTATCAACAGCACCAGGAGCATGGGCAGTGCACGAGTGCCAATGCAGCAACAATGCCAATGCAGTGGGCGAGAGAGCTGCCGTGGCAAGAGGTTATATAGGTAAGAAAGAGGGGGGGAGGAGCAAGGGGGGAGAGGGAGAGGTGTGGGGTAGGGGGGCGCTGCATGAGCGCTAGGGGGAGAGAGGACGTGAAGCTGGGGGGGGGGGGAGTGGGTGGGGCTGGAAGTGGGAGGCTGGGAACGCTGGAGATGCGGAAATTAACTTTACAGAAAGAACCAAAGAGTATATATACAGTATAGCATTTTAGTGTGCTCCACTTATCTATGCGTGGTTTTATTATGAATGCAAAATCACGCAACATTGCTCAAACATCTCAATACGGTACCCTTCCAGAAAGTCTTAACCCATTGGCATTTTCCTGCATGAATTACAAGACGTGTAAATATGAGCATGGGGTGATGGAATGGAAGAAGTGTGTGCCTGTGTCAGATGTGGGTGTTCGAGTTGCAAAATCAGATGGGATGCATTGACAGGGAGGAAACTTGCTTTGTTCTGAGTGGATTAGCCCATGCATATGCTTTGTTACCAGGTAATCTGGTTAGTTATATTTTTAATCGGAGTCACTCAGTTGTACAGTTCAGTGGTATGATGACTTAACTATTTTTAATGGGATGACCAACTTGAGTTACATGGGCTGGCACATGGACACTCGGTATTTGTATAATAGCGCTTTAAAAATGAATTTAACTTGTGTGAATGCAGGTGCAAAGATTGCCCTGCCTTCAGAGCTCTCGGGTTGCCTTGGACACCATCAGGGGTTTCGATGACTATTTGGGCTTCGAGCATGTTCTGAATGGTACGTATATTAACCCATGCTGCAGTGTGTGCAAACACAATTATTGCATGCAGGAAACCCTGAGTGTCTACTTGGTACTAAATTGTGTTTGGTTTCTCCTTTGTACCTAAACTCAAATGTGTACGTCTGATTTGTGCAGTAATTTCGATTTTTTTTATGTTAGCTATCATGTGTATGTGGGAAAAATATATATGCGCATGGTGCTGTATGTGATGCCGGACTTTTCACCCGCACCCAAAGATCGAATATCACAAATAATGCAATCCTTAACAATAGCGCTCATCTTATTGAGATTCTCCATCTGAATACCTGACCCCTTCCCTCCACACTGCCCACTCAGCAACTAAGGAAGGCATTCAATTTAAGCTCCCAAGTCGGCCTCATTTTCCTTAGCCGTCCCATCTGGAAATTCCTTACTCCTGCTATCTGTGCTGTTGACTGCCTGCAGAATTCCAGGCTTAAAACCTGTTTAAAATCTCTACGTACGTTGAACTTCTTTCACACCGTACATAGGCAACCATGCTAATCGGAGGTGTGATTGCCTTTATCAAAAATATTATTCTCACTTCCTGTTATTCATCAAGATGTAGTTGCATTTAGATGCTATATATATAGCCGAATTATATTGTGATGGTGGTTTAACTGTGCTTGTGCGCTTATGATGGTGTTTGTACTTGTGTACATGCAGACCCAGAATATGCGGAGGCAATGGGGGAGCCGCATGTGATGATGGAGAAGCAGCTGGGCCTGCTGTAGGAGTCATCGTGGGGAAGCGAAAACATCCAATTGTGCACACCCACTTGTACGTACACAAGTGTACACATCTCCTCAAGAGCACACATCCACCCATACCTATGCTCACAGATCAATTTGTTTTCACGTGTGCACATGCGATTAAAAGTGTTGTACACATGTGCATCTTGCTTGACCAAAGCTTTTCTTGTGATCTCTCCGTTCTGCGCCCCACCATGCCGTAGTTCGATTCAGAGCTTCTAATGTAAGCAAAAACCTAAGTGTATTAAACTGGAGTTAATGGAGAGATGAAGTGGCGTAACCACGTGTAAAGATGTCGCCACAAGAATTGCCTTGCAAAGTTTGTCTGCCACTAAAGCAAATTATTGCAACAAATGCAAGCGGCTTCATTGTAGAGCTAAAATATTTCATACTTTTTTACATACGGATGAGATAAGTGTTTCAAAACAGATCTTACCCCCCACCTCGATGTAAGTGTGATTCCCAACCATCAAACTTTAGTGTGCAGTGAATTGGTTTCAAAAGTGGGAGTAGTGAAAAGGTGGACCATGAGGATCAGTTGAAACACTGGAAGATGATAATTTCCTTCATGCATTTATTAGACTGGTTTCAGGTTCAAAGTTGGAGTCTCAAACGGCAGTGATGTATTCGTTTCACATGAAAAGCACGCGTTTCTAATGTCTACTCTTTCGTGTTAAATAAATGTCAACAAACCACCAGAAATGCCTGATCTCGAAGCAAAGCAGGTTTAAGTTACTGTACTTGTGTAAGAGTGGCTATTGTACATGGCCACATGAGGCCTACCAGAGCACTGCATATTAGCCACACTATTTTGGTAAAGTATTTCAACCTACAAAACACTTGAATTATACTCAGGCCTCTTGCAATGACAAGTGACAGGTTTGTGTTAATGTGTGGCCTGCCAAAGGTATTTTAAAATACTAAATGGGCCTCGTACAAGACAATGTTTCCCACCCTAACATATAGTGTCTTGTTTTAACGCACCTCAGACTCGCGTCAGCTAAAACAGTGCACGGAGTTGCAAACCAGTAAGTTGGAAGCAAAAGTTCGTAAATTCTTAAAATGTGACATCCCACCGAGCAGAGAACGATAAAACAGGTTAACGGACATTACAGAATTAGGAGCATTACCTCCTTAGGCGTAGGAATTTAGCTCGCATGCGTTTGTTCCCACCCAAAAAAATGGCAAAACATCTCCATGGAGAACCCCCTGAAAACGTCTTGTGACTCTGTGAAGCATTCCTACACAAATGACATGTTTATTCCTAAAACAGCATGTTAAAAGTCTTAATATCCCAGAAGCAGCAAATAGTGACCTGACTCTACCACAACAATAAATAAATGTGCAGCTTAAAACAAGACTGCCACTAAAGCATGCCCTTGTCACTACATCTGATTACACAGCATATTGCAAGTGCCAGTTGAGGCCGGGACAGTGCGTGCATGGCAGCAGGAAGGCCAGCACCACACATGCCCATCTTTGTCCCCCACCCCAAATCCTGGCGATTAACAGCAGCACCACATCCACATAAGGTGCTCATATCTAAACTCGCAAATACACGGTTGCATGCACAGGAACAGTGGATGATGCCACTCTCGCCTTGCTCTACAAATCATGGGGGTGACCCTTGCTACGAGATGTTGTTAATCCCCCCAGGCGAGTTGATCACGTCAAAGTCAATCTCGATTTTCTTCATCTTGGGGGACAGCTGCCTGCGAGGGAGACATGGGTTTGTGTGAGAACATTTATGCGCGACACACTGCTCATTTGAAGGATGAGGGTTTTTTTTAAGCCACATGGATCATTGGGGTTATTTGATCATATTTCAATCTTGACTTGAAGCATTAGTGATTGCAGGAATCCATACTCTGGTTCTTTCGGTAAAGTCACGTAGATATAAAATTAATAGATCACGACGTTTCGATCGCAACACAAGGGACCATCTTCAGGTGAGAGAAAGCTACTGAAACAAAGTCTTATATAGGCCTGATCATATCATTTCACCATGGTGGTCAGTGCGAGCTGGTGAAGGTGGGGAGCATGGACATTGGCATAGTGCAGTACAACAAAGGATATTGCAGTACTACCCTCCGCTGACAACGTAGCCCCACAGCATCCTAAAACACCCGCATGGAGGTCACCAATAAAAGCATTATCTCGGCTCATCCTTGCTTATATTCCAAGATATGACGAGATGGGGGTGTATTCCAAGTAATTTTCTTATCACAGGCAGGGCTTGTTCGAAACGTTACCCTTCTGTATTTTACACTACAAAATTAAATTTTCCATGTTTAAATGAAAATGGGGCTGTGTTATTTTTGAGAATCCCTCATTCCTATGCCGGGGACAATTTAACAAGGAGACGATTCATACTGATTTCGCACACATTGGTGATACTGATGTTCATGAAACAATGAGGCATGGAGATGATTAAGGCCTGCATTGATCTCCATCCTTGATCTGAATGTGAACCTGATGGCGGTACCCCAGGGGACCATAGTACCCCGGCTCTCGTATAATGTCCGTGATGCAGTCAGTTTTAGTCTGTCGATGGTCGGCGATGCGGCAGTCGACTCATCTCGACGAGCTGTACACGATGCACTACGGTGCATACGAGCGTTCAGGGTTTCAGCGCAATCGTCCTCGCTGCGTTTCAACATCACGGAGAAGCACTGATTTAGGATTGTTTGGTACCCCAGTTGCAGAGTTAAGTACACCCCTGGAAAAAATTGTGTCCCAGAAATAAAATATTTAAGTGCATCATTGATGCACAAATCTACAGGGCATTAAAACATTGATACCGGTGTGCTGTACTAGTGACGAATTGGCATGTTCTGTTTACATGACAACCCTTACTAGTTGGCTGTATCGATTGGTGGCAGGTTTTAACGACTTTTATATATTTACGCGATCTAAGCCACTTCGTTGAGCTATAATTTGTGGACAGGTCGCTTCTGAAGAACTATATAGCTCAGTGGGCATTACCTGGTAAAATAAAATTTTGTTTAGTTTCGAAAACGTTGGAGGTGAAGAGAGGTCCTCACTTGTAATTAACCCCAGCCATGCTGAGCAGCGTGCGCGATGCCTTCATCTCTGGACGGTCGTGGTACTTGTCCGATAGGTACACGACCTCACGGATACCTGCACAGTCACACAATATTCCAAGTAAACAGATGTATTGAATCGGTTATTGATTCTTACACTCAAGATACGTTAAATAAATCGTCCATGAGAACAGATTACGTGATTTATGCAAATACATAAAATTGAGCAAACAAATGTAGAAAGGACGCAAAAAAATGTGTGATTATTAAATATACACCATTTTATAACAATGCTCCATGTGCCAAAAACAGAGGGATGAGGATGATGATGGCTTGCATTGATGTTAGCACCTTGTGCTACCAACTAACCTGGCGACCCGAGCTTAATTCTCAGCTAAAGCTCAAACCAGTTATGAGTGATATCTGAACTGGTCCTGGGACTCCCCTAGGTCGCCTCGGCTTTAAATGAGTGCCAGGTGCCATGTGTAAATATCAGCACTGGGCAAACAAAGGTTGGCCACACCACTACATAATGTGCCTTGCTGGCCTTAACAGATACTCAATAACAGCACTTGCCCAAACAGTATGAACGTCTGCCTATACAGGGGATATTCAGTAACCAATTCTTATATTATCTGTACATTATGGAAAAACTCACAAAATTGGATATAGCCTTTGAACAAATGAAAGTCATAAAAAGTGCCTATTGCACACACTAATTAGCCCATTGGATTGGTCCTCCCAACATGTCTTTAATGTCACGTGACACCACCACAATCATCTTTGTGTTGCGAATCAACAAACTCACAAAAGGTCTAAAAGATACAAAAAGAAATGTATGTATGTATGTGTGCCAGTGCACGCATGTATTATGTGTTTCTGCTGATACATGTGGGGAGTGGTCGGTGCACTGTGCTACAAACCCAGCGACCTTAGTTCGATTCTTACTCCAACACCGGTGACGATAATTTAAATCAGTCCTAGACCTCCCCTCAATCGAACTCAGGCTACCCAAATTCTATTCTCGGTCACAGCTATATCACAGTTGAGAGTGAGCCTCCTCTTGATCGACTTGGCCTTAAATTAGTACCTGGTGCGGTGTGTAAACACCTCCACTGGGGAGACAAAGGCGGTCGGGCACGGTGCTGGCCACACACCCCCTCATGTACAATGCCGGCCTTAATAGGTGTTCACTATAAGGGAGATATTCGACTGATGCGTGTCTGCACATACATCTGTGCGGGTGTGTCTTCATATGGGTATATGTGTTCATGTACGTAGGTGCATGCATAGTGTGTCCACACATGCATACGCATGGGCGTGTGTGCCTGACCACTCTGGATGATGAGCTTGGCGCACTCGTTGCAGGGGAAGAGCGCCACGTATATAATGCAGCCTCGGACATCTGAACTGTTCTTGTTCAAGATGGCGTTGAGCTCCGCGTGGCAGACTGCTCCCACACACGCGTGCGATGGTATGCGAGAGACGCGGACGGGACACGCGTACATGAGCACAGACACACACGGAACACGACAAGCACGGCACATGTGAACACAGGATGGCAGAGGCCACACAGGTGGGATATACACGTATGGGACACAGTATACTGGCAACCAAAGGGACTGAGATGTGGCGACACGGGTTTTGTATCGCTAGTTAACAACGTAGATTTCTGTTTTGTTTTAAGTGGAGGATTACCACAGCACAAACCACAAAGTGTCTGGCTGAGCATGTGATTAGCGAGCGGGCAGGTGTCTGAAAAGTGACTTAGTTTATGCATGGATGTCCGAGTGACAGAGTCTTGGGAGTAACTGAGTTGGTGTCTTTTGAAAGGTTGGATATGTATCCACTTGGTGACTGTGGAAGCCTGGACAGCAGCTACATGGGTCTTCCCTGAGTGACTGGGTGTATGTCTTCGTGCGTGGCTTGGCAGGCAGTCACACACCGTATGGGTACTTGGTGTCGATCCAGTCGGGTGCAGTGCGAACCCAGGGCAGGCAGTCGTCGCTACAGCCATTGGGCATCCCGTTATAGCCGATGCCAACAATCTTGTTTTCTGGACTTACGATGCACGCTCCCACCTGCACATGTGCAAACGCACGGAAATGTAATGCAGCCTGGCTCCAGTGAGATTTCATTCACGGTCATATATGTTTATGTGAAAACTTGCACATGCGCGCACACACAATGAAGTTACAAATGCACATGTACAGCCCTATTGTTAATTCACGGATAGATGAGGGCCTCCCCATGCAGTGTCAGTCACCATAGATTATTTTACCATACTTGACCGTGCTGGTCAGTGTGGGTTGCTGAAGACGTGCGAGCATTTCAGTAAAATTACAAGTACTAGCGGCACAGCGATGGTGCAGCGGGTAAGCGCACTGAGTTACAAACCTGTTAACCCGAGTTCAATTCCCAGCCAGAGCTAACGTAGATGGTGAGTGATATCTGAACAAGTCCTTGGCTGCCACTTCACCAAGCCGCAATGACCAACGTGTTAAAATAGTATGGTCAAATAATGCCTGCAACTGACGTGGCGCTGGGAGACCTTGGTCCAGCATTGGAATGACAAAAGTAAGCAAATTAGTACGTATATTATCGCTTTATAAGTATTCCACTGTTTGCTAACCGCTCTTGCCTGGGAGTGGGGGTCCTTGCTGCGTTGTGCTGACAGGAAAGCGACTGCCATAAAGTACTCAGGCCACTCCAGGTACCCTTCCCTCTTCTTCAGAGAACTCCTGAGACACGGGAAGATGGGGAACGTTAACAAGCAGTTTAAACTAAATAATGTTTTATTTCACCAGGTAAGGCCCACTGAGCTATATGGCCCCATTTCAGAAGCAACCCGGCCACAAATGATAGCTCAACAGAGTGGCTAAAGTGAAAATTTAAAGCAACCAAAATCAGTGGCGGCTCGTGATATTTCCACTAGGTGTGGCTGTTGAGTGACCTCTACAAATATGGTGTTCTAATTAAGAAAAACCTCGTTATGTTATTGGTCTTACCGTGAAAGTGATATAACTGTCTTATCTACCAACGATAGGCATTTATAAACAACTAGCAGAAGTACCCGGCGTTGCCCGGGTGAAAAATATATTTCTTAATAACCTTACATATATACACAGATGGGCTGCTACCCCTGCCCCCCCCAGCCACGATCTCCTCGGCCGCTGTGCAGTAGTATGTACGGCCTATAGTGTGGTGGGGTGTCGAGGCCTAGTACCGTGCAGAGCCTCCGGCCTCGCCTAAATTTCCCAGCCGGCTGAGGCTGGGTACGGGTGTCGTTCCCCCCCCCCCCCCCCGCGCTACAATTATACTGTGTAATCGCTATAATTTTATAATCTACCGACCCTATAATAGTAATTGCACACATTGTGGTGGGGGGGGAGTGAAGAGGACGTGAAACTTTGATGAATTTACCTCAGAGTCGCGTGTTAATGCGTGCGTCTATTTTTAACGGGAATTAAAAATGGCGTCCACCCCGCGGCGAATGCGTCGCTACCTGTTGCCAGGGGCAACCGCCGGACCAATCGTGTCTCGCAAATCCCTGACATTTCGTCCAATGAAAGTGCGTATGGTCCGATACACAGACACACACACAGACAGACCGACAGACAGACAGATTTGCGATTTTATATATATAGATATGAAACAAAACAATAAAGCACTCGAATGCTGTCCCCATGACCCTCAAGTCCATACGACACAAACCCTGTGACACTACCAAAATCCTAAAGAACAATTAAATATCAGCCGACACGGCTTAACAAATCCTTTCAAATGGAATATGTAGGAGTGACTCCACATTGTTCGTTGCGAATTCTTCATTTGCTGCACCTGCTGCCATCACCATTGCTGTTGTGTTCTCCTAGAGACTTAGACCTAGAGCGTGTAGGCTGTGACCTGCTATATTTGCACAGTGCCACCTAGCGTTGTGACATCGTCATTACAGCAATGGGCTAAAATGCGAGAGGCTCATCTCAACGGAAGATACCTCTCACTCGGACGCCTTCACAGCCGCCTCGAGGCACGGTGTTGCAGCAGTTTCTAATATGAACTTAAAATGTAATCTTCATTAGGAAATTCACATTGAAAGAATAATTATATATATATTTTTAAACACAACAAAATATTTGATAGAAAAGTATTTTTTTATTTGAAAAATGTTTAATCTGCAGCTGCTCGTTGGGACGACGCCCCAACGCCCCTAGCGGACGAAGCGCGCCTGACCAAAACACTCTAAAGCGGTTAATCTGTCCCGCACCTCCGTTTAGCACGACTGGCTACGTACGGTGCGAAAGAAGTTCAATATACTCCTGTATATGCATACAAAGCCCCCCACCTCGCCAATTTTACAGCAAACTTCCCAGTCCCCCGTTCATGTAGACAACTTAAGGAATCCAGCAGTGGACTGAACATGACGAACGATGACTACGATTGTAATTACTTCATTTTCAAATAAATAAAACCGTAAACTGTGTTCGTGTACGGTAAATACTTCACACGCTCCAATGAGTTAAGCCGACCTTGAGCAATGTGGATGTTCGTACCGCGTTATTGTTATGTTGCGTTAACTTTGTTGTTACTGTTAATCGTTAATATTGTTATAATGAGCCATGGTCTATCCACTGCTGTCATCTCCACTGCTGTCGAGCGTGACATTATCTCATCGCCCGCTCCATCTCCACACTGGACATCATCTGGAGATGTTCTCTCTCTCGTTTTTTATTAATAAAGACAACTTGTCCACTTTAAATCCTTAACGTCTCATCCAGGCCCACACGAATTGATGTAGATCGTCGCGTTTCTCTTAGCGTGCCTGCTGTTAAGTTGTTTAGATGTTTTTTTTGTATAGTAATTGCCAAACTATCACTATTATCATTCATATAAAACATATACGGAACATATACTTTTATATACGAACATACGTTTAATGGGGTAAGCCCCTTACGTCTCACCCGCAGTCATCTCGTCCCGGCTCCACTTTGTCCATCGCCAATCGCAGTTAAACAATCAACAACTAAAACTCCTGCAACTACAACGGCTAGAGCAACTTCTTCTTCTAACTTGCCGGCAAAAACGACTGATAGTCCGCGTGTTTTAACGCGAACGTAGAGAGTGAAGCTGCGATTCGCGCGGGAAAGGCGAGGAACAAATGGTTTCCCGCCAAAATCAAATCCCATGTCCGGGTCACGCGGACCAATCAGAGGCGCTGCGGTGAAAACGAAAAAACCAAAATGTAAACAACAAAATATCTATATTTTTTAACTAAATAAACACGCAAAGTTTTTTTTAACATCCGTCTCTTCACTTAAAAAAATTTCTATATACAAATATTTTTTATTCAACCCGTACGCCAGACTAAGATCAGCAGCATTAACTCTATGCTAGTGTAACAAGTTGTGATTATGTGTGTCTGTTCAAAATGTTGAGCGTACTTCCCGACATGCAACAAACTGTAAATTTGCCATGTAGGTACTTTCAGACTGTACACCATGCAAAAATTATAAAAATACACTTTTTTGTGGGGGGGGGGGGCTCAATAATGCATTGATTTTTGGCACGTCAAGTGAGCTGTGACGTCACATCTGTCATGTGACCCGCGCACGTGTTAGCGTAACGCGTAGTGGAGCGGGTAGCGCTACGCTGCGCTACGAACCCGGCGACCCGAGTTCGATTCCCGCTCACGGCCACCACCGGTGACGATTATTTTAACCGGTCCTGGGTCTCCCCTAGGTCGACTCAGCCTCACACGAGTAACTGGTGTGGTGTGTGAACATCGCCACTGGGGAGACAAAGGCGGCCGGGCGTGTTGAATCCAAGTCCCGGGTAGTAAAGCTAGTATTTAATAATTGAAGCGACGGGAACAGGCAGGGTCACGTAAGGACAGCACGGGACTTAAGTGGTCGTGAATAGTAATTGAAGCGACAGGGACAGACAGGGCCAAATGAGGTGAGAGAGTTCGGGGAAAAGGGGTGACAGCACAGAGCGTGGCTCTGGACCGCTTGTGGGGATCTGATCATCCGAAGTTGGACCGCCGTCATCAGGAGTGGATCGTCCTCCCCGTCTGGGAGCGGGTGGTCGACTTATTGTCTAGAACAGGGGTCCCCAACCCAACCAGGCTGGTTGAAGCCCCCCCCCCCCCCCACACATACAACTCGTCCACCACATCAGCCTCCGGTTCTGGTCAAGTGCTAGAATGTTCAAAATGTGTGCGCACGTTCTGAAAGCCACTTATGCTGCACGTGGGATGAGTTTTGGCACGAGAGGTCTCCTTCTCGACCGATGGACGACGCACAGGACAGACCGTCTCAACCACGATGGTGCACAGTTACTAAATCTCTTGAGGCCATTGAAAACGTGGCGATGTTTTTATCAATTTCTAAATTCCACGAAGGCTTATTTCGAATCTTCTATAAGGAAAAACAACCATGTATCTTTGAAATCCTATATACTTAAAATTAAGATCACATTTAAGACGTGAAGTGAAATATGGGAAAATAAGCCATTTATTTGGAATGTAAAACTTGAGCATTGGTTTATTGAAGTTGACAATACGTTGAATGGTTTACACTGACTTGGTGCTTTGTAGTTGTCAGGAAAATGCAGCGGTTTCATTTCCTATTGGCTTTCTTGCCTCATTTATAACATTACATATATTGTCCTTCACACGTGTTGTCTTGCACCTCAGTTATTTGAGCCTTTTTGTAATATTTTCATGAGTTCCATAAGAATTTCATACATTTTGAACTTTTCACAACGTACTTAGCCAACCGTGCTAATCTGCTGATACTGTACACTGAATTTGAAAATTGGCCCAGTTTGCTTGTTGAGCCAATGCTTCTGAGATTATCCAAACCCAGGTTGTGCAAGTGCACAATCGCAATCAAGATCAGCAACACCAGTGGATATGTACACACTGCCAAGCATGGAAGTCTTGCCCTGCACTGCCACCATCACTCCAGTCCACATTGGATGTTTCAACAGCCACCCATACTTGCTGGGGCAACAACTACAACAGAGCAGGTAACCACTATCATGGGGATTCACCGAAGCTCTGCCACCTACTCTACAATATCAAGGGTCAGGACACCATCTGCTCTGGCAAATGCCAAATGTGCTACACATCAGAGCCACTCCTGATCACCACAATGGACATCAGCGATGGGTAGCATGAAAGCTGCATGGCTTGTGACATCCACAAACTGATAAGAGCCGACGCAGGAATAACCTGGTTTCATCCTGCGTGGAATGGGCATTTGCCACACAAAAGAACCTCGCTGAGTGGGAAGTCAATCTCCTCTGCTGCCCCAGTATTCTGGAACTCCCTCGTAAACGTCCATACTGTCGACACTCTGCCCCTTCCAGGCTCAAGTCCAGGATAAAATCCAGGCTCAAGGCTTTATTTTTTTAAATCCATTCCTCACGGACCCCGTTCTTTAAAGGTCTGATTTCTCAAGGTCATATGAGGGAGTGCAATGAACAGTCTCATTGTAATGCATGATGCCCAAATAACCCATTATACCAGCACTGCAGACAAGACTCATGTTATACATTTTTTATTGTTTTTATTTGATTATGTTGGAGTCTGTTGGTACATTTTTCTGTATGCAAGGGAGACTGGTGATAGCCTCATTACAAAATGAGCAGTTAACAGTGTACTGCATTTGTTTTGCGGAATGTGTTTATGTGAACTGATACACAATGAATTTATAAACACCAGTGAGTGTGAAGTGTGAAAGTATGTGTGCGAGTGTGGATCCACAAACAATATAACTGTCATAATTTTGGGTCTTTCGGTAAAGTCACGTAGATAGAAAAATAATATAAAAAATCACGTTTCGTTCGCAACACAAGCAATCGTCTTCAGGTGAAAAATACAGCAAGCGAACTTCTGAGGCAGGAGAAATTTCGTGGCAGAGCTGCTGCAGACAGAGGTTATATAGGTTTGAGATGGGTGCAACCCAAAGGTAAGTGGGCGGGGCTAGAGATGGAATTTGCATGTAAGTGTAAGATCGGAGAGCCTGATAAACCTAGAGAAACAATGATCAGCCACGGTAACCTACTGGCTATCAACAAAGAATACCTCGGCTGATCATTGTTTTAACGCTGTGGGCACACGTGAAATTGATTTCTCCAAGACGAAGGTACTCTGCAAACCTACTGGCTATCAACAAATATTTGTTCATGAAGCCATCCAGATATATAAACACAATTTCAACCGAGATGGGTACAAACTGAGCAATCATTGGATGTTAACCAGGTAAAGTCATAACTGGCTGTGATGCTTCCATCCTACCTGCCGATGTTAGCAGTTATTTCCGACTCTCGGAGTTACATTACCTTGGTAAATGTCTTTACATTAACAAGCTAAATGTCTCACTAACATAGCCGCTGCTCCCGTTTACTCGATGTGGTGGTGGCTCTCGTTGTTTAATAGGCTGAATGTTTCAGTGGCACGGCCACCGTTGCGGTGGTTCTCTTGCGTTGACATGCTGGTCTCTCAGTGCAGCGGCCAACGCCGCAGCTTATTGTTGCCCACGAGGTGGCGTTGTGCCCGGTTCCCTGACCTTGACATGCCAATATTCTCATTAACACAGCCACTGCTGCGGGAGCTGTCTCCCATTGACATGCTAATCTCTAGGTTTATCAGGCTCACCGATCTTACACTTGCATGCAAATTACATCTCTAGCCCCACCCACTTACCTTTGGGTTGCACTCATCTCAAACCTATATAACCTCTTGCTGCAGCAGCTCTGCCGCTATATTTCACCTGCCTCAGCAGTTTGCCTGCTGTATTTTTTCACCTGAAGACGATTGCTCGTGTTGCGATCGAAACGTCGTGATTTCTTTTTCTATCTACGTGACTTTACCGAAACACCCAAGAGTATGAATTCCTGCAGTCACGAAAGCTTTAAGTCAAATTACAACTGTCATTGTACAGGATTGTATGCAGGTGTGTGCGTATGTATCTTCGTGTGTTTATACAAGCCAGAATATGAAATGACAAAGAAATAATGTCTGCACATTTAAACAATACGAGCAATGAACTACATTACTGTTTGAAAGCACAAGTCAATCAAATCCAGACGGGACCACAGGGGCTGCAGGAGCTGAGGCAAACCAAAGACAGGCACGGACACCCCGGGCAGCTACTAGAGGGCCTCAGTCGATGTCGGAGCTCCTCAGTATTTAGGTCGCTTGACGTCAACCCTGCAAAGACACAGGTATGAGTGTTATGAGCAGACACGTGTGCATTTGCGCCCGTTTGTGTATGTGTCTTTGTCAATGCTTTTTATGTGTCTGCATATGTGATTGCATGGTGCTCACCCATCAGCAGCCATGTTTTTGCGTTTCTCGATGATCTGAAATGCAAACGAGTAGCACTGTCACTGATATTCACAAACGAATGACTCGCCTTGTATTTGCCAACACACGATACACTCAAGCATCAAACACGACAATCACCAGCCGCCACAAAGAACAAACATCCCCTGTACAGTCTTTAACACACTGTTGGGGCAGGTGCTTTTATTTAGCGAGTGACTATCATGGCCGGAATAGTGCGCACAAGGGGGTGAAGTGGCCTTCACCATGTGCGTCAAACTTTTTCTCTCCCACTACCGTGTTCACACAGCACGAGATACTCATTTAAGTTCTGAGTAAACCTAGAGAAGGCCCGGATCCGTTTATATATCACTCGCCACTGATTCAAACTTAGGTTTTTGGCTTCACAGCACAGTGCACTAATCACTGTGCAAACGCTCCCTCCAGCAGCCAATGCACATGCCAACACACAATCATCGTGTTCCAACTATTAAGGATTCATGTGACATTTACGTCACTGGCCAGCCAAAACACACGTGTATAATACACTCCATCTCTATTCACTCACACACATATACTTCTGTATTCTATGCCACCAGCCAAGAAGCACACCCAACATTCACCTCATTCACTCACCTTACAAGTATCCATGTTCTACACACACTCGCCTTACCAAAACATACCCCACATAGACCGCACACACAAAAGCAAAGACAAGGCTGGCATGGCCTTAAAGAAACCCATATACGCACACACGTCCACTCAGAATAACTCACAGCACTGATTTTCTTCCACTGTCGATCGAGCTCTGCCTTTTCATTCCCCTCCTTGTGGCGCCGAGTCTTGCGCCCCTCCGCCATCTTGATACCGTACTGGAATGCAGCTCTAGGGGGTGGGAGTGCACAGAGGACGTATTGTGTCAAAATGTGTGCGTGCGAGTGGCCGAGTGATTAGTGCATCGCGTTACAAACGTGTCGACCCGAGTTTGATTCCTGGCTACGGCTAACAGCAGCTAGCATACAGAATCAGTCCCAAGCATCTCCTAGGTTAACTCAGCATAAAAATAGTACTGTGTGGTGTAAACATCAGCACTAGAGTTAAAGGCAACTGGGCATGGTGCTGGTCACACCACTCCCTATTGTGCTATGCTGACTTTAATAGGTGCTCGCAAAAAGCACTTGTCCCCAACAGTCTCTGAAAAGCCTATAGTGGGGTATTTGTGTCTGTATGTGAGTCCACACCAACTGGTGTATGTGCGAGTTCCATATGACTGCATGAGTGAGAGCAAGACTTTATGAAAATGTAACGGACCAGTTTGAGCTCATGTGAGTCTTTGTGAGTGTGGCCAAATGCGTGTTAATCTATAATTTCTGAGTGTGCCTGAGGATCAGCTGTCACAGATCTTCCTAAGGGCTCTGTTGTTGATACTTGGCTCCGGTTTAATTGTCCTGGGCCATGCTGCGGTGTTACTGCCTCCTCTCTTCCAAGTTTTCTTCTCCCCTATCTTAAATGTGGGTTGTTTTATTATGAAAAGCATCTTGGAGATATAATTTAACATTTATTTTATAGTTGTTGAGTTTACGTGAAAGTCTGTGTTTTTGAGTGAGTCAGTATTTCTGAAAAGTGTACACCGTTTTTGTTAGTGACAGTGGCCAAGTATGTGTGCGAGTCTGCATGCACGTCTGTGTTTGGATGAATCTGTGCGATTGAGGCAACATTGTCAACTTGTGCAAATCTGAGAAACGTTTTAAGTGTGCTAGTTTGGGTGAGAATAAGTCTGTACAAGTCCAAACCTTGGGCGAGTAAGTCTGTCCAAGCGCGTCTGTGTACGAGTGTGATCCTGTGAACGAGTAGGCGTGTGTGTGAATGATTGTGTCCAAGTGATGCAGAGTGTGCGCAAGTGAATACTTGGGTAGGGCCTCCTTGTTGCTCATGTAGTCGCTGTACTCCTCTTGAGTCTCAAAGTCCCAGCGTCCCAGAGGACCCTTCTTGTTTCCCTGAAACACATACACACACAGGCTTATGTGTCGAGCATCAGTAGCTTTGTCTGAGCATCAACCAAGATCTAGCCACTGCTATATGAAAAGATCCCCAGCCATCGCCATTTCTCACAATCCCGCCATGTAATGTTCCATCCTGCATCTGCAAAGGACCTGCTTTTATTACACCAACTTCCAGGTGGACACCCGCTCAAGCAAGCATGTTCCCTTGTTTGGTTGTCACAGGCATTATTCACGACCACCAACCATCATCTCATCCAGCAATTTGTCCTGCTTATCCTCACTTACCTATTCTGAACAGTCAATGTCTACAACCTTCATATGTTCTATAATCCAGGTCTTTCCTGTCCTGTCTCAGCATAATTCCAAGCATGTACCTCTCCTTTTTTGTACAATTTTCAGTTATTGTTCCATTTTCTTCGTCAATGTTTGTGATCTATTTTATAGCAGACAATGAATACTTGTTTGCGTGTATGAAAGTATACCTGGTCCATCTTGCTGTAGTCGACCTCATCATCGCTGTCCACCCCAACATCCTCCATCAACCTGACAGCAGACAAGTACAACAAACATGTCCATGCACCGAACTGTAATAACTACGTCATTGACTGCAAGGCAGTGGTGGTGTCAAAAGTTTGACTCTGCCATGTGTTGTTTACTCAAGAGGCCACTTTAAGTCAAGGCTCATGGAGGAGATGACCGGGGTGGCTCAGAGGTTAGGCCACAGAGCTGACACTGATGAGATCCTGAGTTCAAAAACAGGAAGCTGGCTGCGATTAAAACAGGTTCCCATGGTGTGAAACTGGTCACCAATGACTGAAAAAAATATCTTAAATTTGGCTGTTCCCTCATTTTAGCTAAATTCCACTGCCATTCGACAAACAGTACTCTTATAAAGAAGAGAGGGGGGGAAAGTGCTGCTGTGTTTGGACAAAGCCAATGGCTCAGTAAGATGCATCATTCACAAACCTCCTCTACTCAAAAGCCAATCTTGACACTGCTTGTACCAGTCATTGACAAGCGCACTCAGATGATCCTGTACCACATCAGCCCATCTTTTTTCTATCTCATGTCATGTCTATTTGCCCACCCCTTATCTGGCCAAGCTGAATCTGTAACATTGTTCGGCCCACACCACATGCACGAGGGGCCACACAACAACCCCCAGTTAGCATGAAGTGGCAGTGACACCGCCAGGGCGCTTGTGCCAGGTTAGGTGCACTTTGAGGTCACAAAACATGTTCGATGGTTCGCTGGCAGGTCACATAACAGAACCAGGTGTTAATGATGTTATGTGTTACCTGTGCTCTCCAGTGTTACCTAAGATCTGTCAGGGTCCCTGATCATCTGTTCATGATCATTAAGGATGTGCAAACATGGACGTGCGCACTCACGAGTTGGGGTAGCACTCGGCGTAGCTGTTCGAGGTGCCCAGGAAGTCGCCTCCCGTGCGCCCGGAATCGTGTCGCTTGTCGGGCGTGAGGTCGCTTGCGGGTTAAGGAGCCTCGCACACGCTTGTTCACTCCGGTCAGGCTCACTCAGCCAAAGCGGACGCTAAATTACATAATTATATTCATATTCTCAAGCCAGAGATCATTAGATGCTTAACATTGCACAAATATCCATACTTTTTTCCATTCAGGAGCGTCACACACTCACAAGCAGACACATTCACATCAACCATACTTGCACTGTTGCATGCATGCGTGACACTGGTGTTGCATGGATGAGTTTCGGCACACTCCCTTGTGGTGTGACGCATATGTGTGAACAGTGTGCGAGTGCTGGGTGAGTGTGTGTGAACTGTGCGTGTGTATGAACTGTGTGAGTAATCGATGAGGAAAGGATATGCTGTAGGCTCGGTGCCCGCAGCTGGTGCCCAGGTGGAGCCTGCAAACTTTTCATTTATCGACTGGATCAGCTCTTTGGCCGGGAGAATCACTGCATGAAAAAAAACAAATGGCATATGAACCCCATTGCACAGTATGAGCACTACCACAGCGTTTAAACCATATTATCAGCTTCATGAACTCCACACATCAGCATAAACCACATTGCGCAGATATCGTATTAACCAAACAAAATTTATCAACCAAAACACCGTTATAAATTTTTTTTGTGTTTCTCCTAATTTTATCCCAACTGTGCTATCACAGTCTAATATTGGAACGCGTGTAGAGCAGTGCGACCCTTCTTGTTAGAGAGCAGCCCACAGAAGTGGATATCACAGACCTACCTCTGAGATCCCTTCAAGTGACTTATAGTCCACGCACAGTACGGGGCCGAAATTTCCCACCCACCCTACGACAGGAAGTAATGTTCACCGGAAAAGTCAAATTTATATATATTTTTTTATTTCTCACAGCTGAAAATTTTCCACATTAAATGTAGACCATAAACTCACTAAACTTGAAAACCCAATTTAATCACACGCTACCTGGATTTGAACCAAAAAATCTCAGTGGCAACCTCGATATTATACCATTTACCCACACCACCCGTATGCACCACAGCAAACTACTTATGAGCACCAGGATACGCAACCATCAAACATATGCAACAAAATGCAAGCACATGAAAAGTATTAACTTCACCAAAGTGGACGAATCATACGTAACTGCTAATGTTCAAATGGTCCACAGGAAATGCTCAATTACAAATCCAGATTGTATCCACACATTGGATTGTATACACCATGCAGACCAAAATGGCCCGTGCACACATACAGCACACGGGCAATCACTCTCACGCAGGCTCACCTTTTTCAGAAGTTGAAGGCTGCACGCACACAAGCAAACACACAGAAGAATTACACAATCAACTTAAATATCATTATCATTGTTTAATCATATTTTATTACAATAATTAACGAATTGATTAAATGAATAAAGCGCTCACTGGCTCATTAATTTTACCGAGGAGCAATGATGCAGGTGCGCCCCAAACGATGAAAGTGCTGTGTAAAAATAATAATGTCCATTATGCAGGAGAGCCTCACTGAGTCACTCTTTTCAGGAGGGTTCTGCATTGGGATATTTGGCCGATTCCATTCATGAGGATTTGACACGTGGGCAGAAACCAGACCACCGTGAGAAAACCTATGTGTACAAGAAAGCACTCAAAGCTCCTCACAGATGGATTCAAACATCCATTTCCTCTTCTACATTGGATTGCCCACCTTGTAGCCCAGCAGATTCAGGACTTTCACACATCTCACATAGGACAGGGATCCTTTAATAAGCGTGACTCACAAGAAAAATGTGGTCCACGAAATATTTGAGTGTGCCTCAAAGATGAAACTGGCGAAATGAACGGGAAATACACAAGAGACTGATATGAGAGAATCATGGACAAAGGTACAGATCAGTAGTCCCATTTATAGGAGTTGCATCACTACACCGATGTGCTGCTGTAATGCCTGTGCTCGTGACAAGATGTGACTTGATAATGTCATGTAGCCTGACAAGCACGGGACAATTTCATCAACCTCAGGCCGAATTTCAGTATAGTCACCTCCTCATCCTGCGATGGCTTCTCAAAGTAGCTTGCACGTGCCACGGCTTTCCGTTCATTCTCGATCTCCCTCTCCTTCTTCTCCCGCTCTCTCTCCCTCTCCTTCTCTCGCTCCCGCTCACGCTCCCTCCCTCCAGGCTTGGCGGCTGTGGTCACGTACTCTCCAACATCATCAAAGATCCTGGTGGTGAGACGTTGCAGCCATGAGGGAAGACAGCATTCGTATTACTTCCCGCCCCAACAGTATAGCAAAGTTATATGGCTGATTCTGTTTTTGTGGATTGGTGTATGGACATTTGTGTGTGCGTGTGCATGCTTGCGACACTCACGTCAAGTCGGCCTCAGGCAGCTTCTTCTCATCCACGACCACCTTGCCTGTGCACCGGCACGCCATTCCACAATCACCATGAGACAACCAAGGCTTTCCTGTCGAAGCCTCCAGTCAGCCTTTTGCACAGTTGAGTCTTCTGCTACTCCGAGTTAGGAACATCCTTGCTCCCAGCCATTTGTACTATTCCTGTTCAAGTCCAGGGTCAGTTTCCTTTACCAATGACTGAGTGATTGTCTATAAGATAAATGACCTGGACAGCATCTTGAGATGTACTGTATCGTATGTGTTCCATGCTCAAATACCCCCGTGCCCTACGAATCCCCATGTGCCATATACGTAATAGCTAAGATGCAAGGATCTTAGCTGAACCAATTTAGTACATAGCTTATAATTGTATCACTTTTAGAAAAGGTCGCAAGTAACTAAATTGTGTGTGTTAATGCATTTGAATGTCATATTTGGTCATTGGTAAGGAAAAGTTTCCCAGTAATAGCCGAATCAATTTATCACTGTTCTTCCTGTACCCAACCACCACACCCCTCGTGCCCACCTCTCTCCTTCTTCTTGAGCTTGCGGGGCCTTGTGCCTTGACGCAGGTAGGACAGGATCTGCGTGAGTTTGTTGATGACGATGTCGTTGGTGGTCAGGGTCGTGTGAGACTGCATAGAAGGGGAAATATGCAGGCAACCTTAAGGCATTTGAGTGGCATTAGGCAAAAGCTGTGTTTCACAGGAGAAGAGTTCTGCACCAGATAAAAGTTCTGTATTGCACAAGACGAGTGTTTTGTAAAACTATAAACATTATACAATATTTTTTTATTGTACCAGGTAAGACCCACTGAGCTATATAGGTATTTTTCAGAAGCGACCTGGCCACAAATACTAGCCCAACGAATTGGCTTATCATGTGGAAATGCATAGCAGCCGAATACTCTTTAATGCATGTTTCTAAATATGGCCGGAAAAACCAGAGGACCAAGAGAAAAATCCACACGACCACGGGGCGAACAGGCAAACTCAAAATATAAAGGCGTCAAGGTTGGGATCGAACCCACGACCTCCTGCGAGGTAGTTAACATCTCATTACCGCGGCGCCCCCGTACTGATGAACAAATATTTTTTCATGGTAATTATACTATTTATTTTTTGCATGAACGCCTTAGTAAGTTTCAGGACTCCGGGAGAGCGGGCGACCCGGCCGCTCCTCACCTCCAGCGTGGGACAGTCGGCCTTGCTGCGGATGAGAGTGGTGGGGATGTCCGTGTCAGCGTAGTCATCCTCCAGGTCCACTACGTACGCCATGCGCCCAGGCAGGAACAGCTCGTTCCTCTCGGGCGGCTTGTGCCGGAACAGGACGCGGAACACGTTCCGTCCTGAGCAACGTTGTGGTGTCACAATCGTGGAATAAAATGATTAATTATTTCACATTTCATGGCAATGACTTGGCATTAAAAAGCTGATGAGCCCAGGATCATTCCAGGTGATTTGGTCTTAAGCAACATTAACAGCAGCAGCAACATCATCAGTAGAAACAGCTTCATCATCATCAACAGGAGCATCGAACGTAGCCTAACCAGCACAATGGAGAAAGGCACTTATCTAGCATTGGAATGACAAATGGTTGTGCATTATTATTATTTTCATTGCACTCATGACATATCTATACAATAGATAATGTAAGGATGTATTATTTTTTGAGTTATAATAACTGTACATGTGAATGTTACTGAAAATAACTGTATATGTGAACGTAAATAATCTCAGTCAAGGGGGTTCGTCATTACAAGTTTATATGGATTGAAGAACCGAGGCATTTTCAAGTGCCCCATCCTCACATGCCCCCATATATCCTTGTTTCACATAATCCACAGTCCCGTGTCTCACGCCCCCGTACTATGATGGGTTATGTTAACAGGCTACCATTGAGACAGGGGGGTTATCATCTTGATGAGATCTTGATTTGCTGAAGAACTCACCCAGGCGAGTCCGAAATTCAATCTTATTTTCGGGGTCTTCCTCCTGCCTGTGAACAATTCACCAATGCCATTAACATGACAATCACTTTTACCATTTCATACCATTACCAATAGATATCAGAACTACTATTACCAGGTAATAGGTTCACACACTACTGTATAAATCACACGGTGTTGCGTGATGATCACCTTTTCCTCTCTGGAATCTTCTCCAAGGCATCCTCGTCATCTCTTTCCTTGCTTGTAATCTCGGCACGCACCTTACAATCATACGGACGCATACATGCGGACACACGCACGTGAGCACATATACACACACACAAATGCAGGAACACATACGCACTCGCCTGCACGCAGAAAGCACTAACCCGTGCATCCAAAGAGATGCAAAGTAACACAAAAATGCCTGCTGTGAGCTTGGATAGACTTGTGACAGAACTGCAATTTTTTTAAAACACAGCATTGGGTGGAAGATAAAGGACACAGTACAGACAGCATAAGAAAAATAGCAGAGGACATAGGGCATATAATTAGGTACTTAAAGATGCGTCAAATAAATTAACCCAAGATGCACGTACCCAACTGCGCATTTAACAATTAATAGGTTTAGGCAAATTATATGCTCAAAGTGAACGAGTCATATATGAGCGAGTACAAACAAGATGGACAATGCAATTGACTAAATGTGACAAAAAAATAACTAATCTTGGCATCCAATCATGACCCCGAATTAGGACAACTGAACAAATCGCAGGGGAGGGTAAATAATTTGTTCATCTCAAGGAACAGGGAATTGGGGGGAAAAGGTCAGAGGCCAGGAGGGCAGAGAATAAAGTGAAAATATCAGAACACATGCGATATAGGGGGCAGGTGGGGGGGCATGAGTCAAGGAGCAGAACAATCAAACCAAGATTGAAAGGGTTGGGGCAGGTCCCACCTTCTGCAGCAGAGCGAAGTCGAGCCCCTTCACCAAGTGGGTGTGCTCCATGTCACCTCCCAAGAACTTGGACTCCTGGATGAGTTGCCGACGCTTCTCGGCCGCGGACTTATCTCTGGAGAAGGTGCGACACCGGTGACATGCATGCGAGCCAATGCCACTACATCGTGGTGTCTGAGTGTTTGTATATGGGTGCAAGTGTATGCTATACAGAGTTGTGTATAAACATTTCTTTGTATATATATCACCATTGGCCATGATCTATCCAATTCTGGATGAAGGCCTCTCCAAGCCATCACCATCTCTCACGGTCTTGCGTTGCCACACTATCCAGCGCCTGCACATGAGCCAATCTCATTGCTCCATCTCCACAGTGGAGATCCTCTCAGGTGAAACCAGCGTGCAAGTTAAAAACATGGCTCAGTGTATTCCGTCTTCCAACCGAATAACCCGCCCATGGATAATTAATTGGAGTTAACCCAATGTCTGTCTGCATGTGGTTGTGAATTGGCAATCACACTCAACATCGAGTAGCAAGTTGACAGAGTTTGGAGCACAGGCTTGAATTTGCCAGTTATCTCAATCAGCCAAACCAGAACACCCGTTATTTCTCATCACCTCTGTCCAGATACCCTTAAGAAACTTCACACGGCCTGAAAGTACATCTAGCTTGCACAAGAGTTGTGGTGATGCCGCCGTCAATTAGTGGCGAATGGCAGTTGTTGCATATATATGTTTGTACGTGTATATATCGGGGCACGTGTGTGATCGTGCGTGCTGTACGCCTCGGCGCTGGGTCCCACAGCGCGGTAGTTGGCTGTTGTGGAAATGGTGTCGGTCTCCTCGTAGTCCTTGTTGAGGCCGTCGCGGCGCTCGCGCGCGCGGTCCCGGTATTTCTCCGCAAGCTCCCGCTCACGCTCCTGCTCCTGCAGTTTGAGCTTCGCATAGTAACTGCACAGGGACAAAAACACCATAATCAGCATCAGCATAAATAGCAGCAACTCGAACAACTTTAACATCAAAAACAGTACAACCATCTGTATCGTTTACTAAATGTTCATCTGCACCACTACTATCATTAACAGATCAACACAATTAATATCACAGACATGAAAACAATCGATGACAGCACCATCAGCACAGGCCTCAAAGCCACATTTTTAAAATCTCAGCAGCATTGACATCATCAATGTAATAACCATTACCATCACCAATATCATTATTATCATAATCACAGTTAATGATGCATAATTTTCAACAACATCCCACAATCATCACGACCATCACCAAAATCTACCAACACTCTCATTATCATTGCACCAACCTTTTTTTCTTCCTCCTACGAGCAGCTGGATCTTCATCCTCGTTGTACTCACGGGGCATCCTGCAAGTATGCGTACACACGCACACAAGAGCCACAGGGCACATGCGTTAACACGTATATGTGTACTAACCTGACTTCTCAGTGGCGTGTTCTGATTTGCACGTGTGAAAACTCACCCTTGTGTGCATACCCACTCGTGTTTGTGAGTTAACTCAGGTATGTGTAATCAGTCATATATGTAGGTGTACTCTTCTGGGTGTATAGAGATACATTTATGTATATATGTGCTTCCGTACGTGTATACTCACTCATGTGTGCGTGCCCGTGCGGTGGGGGGCGCCGAGGACGGCGCAGTCCGCGGGGTCATGAGGAGTCGTCGAAAGTCATCATTGGTGAGTCGAGACGCACTGAGAGAACACGGAGACATTCCCAATTTAAACAGTGCCATTCCCATTGGAAACACAATCCCAATGAAATGGTAATAAAACCCCATAATACACAGTAATGCATGCAACAGCATTGAAACATTCCCAACAGTAGTTCCAGGTGTAGAACGTTGAGATTTATGATGTACTCGTATAAGTAGTTGATGTGTAGGTGTACCAGGGGCATGGGTAGATGGTTGAAATGTAGGTCTAAAGTGTTGGCGTGTGGTAGTTTAGAGTTGTTTAGTTTTTGGTGTAGGAGATAAAGGTGGTGGTGCAGGAGTTCGATGTGTAGTAAGTTATGTGCAGTAGGTTGGGGTGCAGTACGTCTCAGTGGAGTCTTTTGGAATACTGTCATGGCTTTGTAGTTTGGGCTGTGGTTAAGTATAGGTGTAGGAAGTTGAGGTGTTGCAATTAGTATGACTGTAGGTGTAGGAGATGTTGTAGTTTCAGGTAAAATTTACGGTGTATGGTTATGCAGATATAACATCAACGTGTGTGCATGCGATTGGGTAGGATGTTGCGACTGCTCACTTGAAATCGTCAATGTCGTCCACATCAATGCCATCAGGAGCCAGGGGGTTTGAGAAAGCCTCGTCTGCTCACGCACACCAACACAAACATCCAGTGACTCATTTTAAGGTCGAGTCGATTTCAGCAAGGCCCACTGTCAGTTTAGATATTAGATATTGATGTTAGCCGTAGCTTGGAATCGAACTCAGGTGACCGGGTTGGTAGCACACGTTCGCTAACCACTACAACACCACTGCTCACACATATGAACGCTTAAATATATACAAACACGCACGTACACATTGGAACATCAATTGTCGGCCACTTCTTGCCTACTCCCAATCTCGCTGACACGATGCCGGTGCAATTCTCATCCGCATCACATCAACATCCTCGGGTTACAATTGGCTCGAAGAACTGGACGTTAAGACTGATCCATAACAAACACATAACATAGTAATAGGTTTTTACCCTTTCAACTGGTACAAAAACTGACACCTTTATACAAGGCATCATGTTTGCAATAACCACAACACAAGCAGTCAAAATGCAAACAAAAAGAAACAACTCTGATGATGATAATGCTATGCATTGTCCTTGAAGTTGATTGGCCCACACCTGAGACAGCTTTTCTTAGAGCCTAGTCTCCATTGGTGTTGGACCAGATGAGGTCTCATAGTGTAAAAACATAACAGTGCCTTATTATGGCTCCCATTAGTATGGCTGAGTCTCAGGCATGAACATGAAAACCGACACACTATAACTGTCTGTCTCGACGAGCCTCAGGCATTACCACTGAACCATAAGAATGATGTAGTCTACTAAAAACATTATTAACCAGCACCTCCGATTAGCACGGTAGGCTACGTACGGTGCGAAAGAAGTTCAACGATAACGGTGCCTTAAGTCTGGCGGCACCACCAGCCTCGGACATTCACACCGAGTCCTAAGAATGCTTGAGTCTGACTCAACGATCCCCAGCTATTAACTACAAGTGCTTTAGTCTGATGTGGGTCAGAAGGCGATGCAAGTGGAAGGGAAGAGTTCAAGAGGGAGGCAGAAGAGAAGATGGGGGGGGGGGGGGGCGATGTGGTTCGATCGGAAACGGTGGCCCGAGCAGCGGATAGAGATGGCGCAGGACAGGGCAGCGTGGGGAAGGTTGGCATAAACAGCGGGACCCCACGTGAGTGGGTCAAACGCGTGGAGGAAGAAGTGCTGCTTTAGTCTGGCTCCACGAGCTCTTCGACGTGAACACTGAAGCCTGCGGGACCCGAAGGGAAGGCCCTCGGCTGGGCCTCGAGCGACGACGCGAACGCATTTCCCGCGAGAACGAACTCACGCTCGGCTGCCTTGGACGACATGTCTCGCGGATCGTCGCAAACGTTCTTAGGAAGCGGAAGAAAACAACAAAAACAGAAACAACGAAGGCGAAATTTCACTAAAGACACAATAAGTGGAGTGCCGCTTGAACCCTCGGCGAAGTCAACCGCGCGCAGCTATCACGGGGGTCAGACTAGTGGGACGATTTCAAAATGAGAAGCGCCCCCAGGGCGCAATTAGATAGGAAGAGGCGAGGGGGTCCCCAGATTCCCCTTTTATATTTTGCCCCGAGGGCGTGAGTGTATCACACTGTCCGTGGACGGGAAGCGAGTGGTTTGTTTTGAACGCTTGGAGCAAAAAGGCGATTTGTGAATGTCGTCGTCGAACTTCTTTCGCACCGTACGTAGCCGACCGCGATAGTAGGAGGTGCGGACTGGGGTGGGGGTTCGGAAGCACAACAAACTAAACAGTTACAAAGAAATTAGTTATCGATTGAGACGACTTAGAAGAGAAAACCGAACATCTTAAGAACGCGTGTGTTCAGTGGAGCTTTGTATGCTTGAGCGACTTGAAAACGTATGAGAGATAAGATATATCGAAGTGTATTGCTACAGGACACTGCATCTAATCCCGACCCAAAGAGTGACCAACATCGAAGACAAATGTTGCACATAGAAGAAGACCTGATGCAGGCAGTTATGATAATGAAACTGGCACTATTTGAACAGATGTAGGATGAATTTCGATTTAAAGCTTTCGTGACTGCAGGGATTCATCTTCTTCGTTCTTTCGGTAAAGTCACGTAGAAGGGAAGTAATAAAATAATAAAAATAAAACATAATAAAATAATTCTCACGACGTTTCGGCCACAACGCAAGTAGTCGCCTCGACAGACCTGGTTTCACCTGAAGACGGCTACTTGCGTTGTGGCCGAAACGTCGTGAGAATTATTTTATTATGTTTTATTTGTATTATTTTATTACTTCCCTTCTACGTGACTTTACCGAAAGAACCAAGAAGATGTAGGATGAACAACAGATACATTAAAAGTGTGTTGTTGGGAAAAATGGAAGGAACAGGAAGAGCTTAGAGAGAATGAGATTAGTGCTGGAAAGATGTGCACTCCTTGAGCATATTGGCACATGACAGAGCAAAGTGGAAACAAATGACAATGTGCAATGGACACCTATGGGCTATCTGCCCATGGATCGTGATGTTGATGCTGTCTTCGCGTCACGGCTCATCTATATTTGATCTATATAGAGTACACTATGCACATACACAAATGTGCTTACATTTGTACCAGCATTCCCTCTCCATGATATTTCACCCGGGGCTGAGCACTTTGTTGGAGTTATTGGGAGTTCAAAACAAGCGATGTTTCAGGCAAAATGCAGTTTCGGGTGATCACGGTCCCCCGGGTGCTGATTGACAGGTCGCAATTGGTGAAACAACGCTTCATGCTGACGAAATTCCGATTTGGGCCGCGAATAAGCCATTGCATTTTGTTGTTACCAGGAATGAACAATTTGGATGTTTTAATTTTGGACGTTGTGGCGATAATTCCGTTGGCCGTTGGGAGTATTGCCCCCAAGCGTAGATGACTTTTAATTGTGGATGAATACAGGAATCGTGTGGAAATAGCAGTCTAAAATCCAAATTTCACCGCAAATAATTAGAATCCATCAAAAATTCATCGTCGCGATTCTCCCCCCCCATCCCAGAAGAATATTTAGGGTAAAATAACACGACAGTGCATACATTTTACTTTTTATTTCAAAACTTTTGACCGTCATTACTGCGTCAACTCAACATAACCAGTATTAACATCACTACAATAGTCAGCAACATGTTTATCGTCACGTCTCGTCTCGGTTTAGACAATGTATCCGAGCTCGCTATGAACACCATAGGAATACCTAGATAACGACAAAGTAATGCCTATATCTGCACGACTGCTGCATGCATGTCTATAAACATGTGTTTGTATAAGTGGGGTTAGTAGTAATTCTTATAAGTGCACTGCACATTAATCCTCTCTACCAAGTTTGATTCCTGGCCACGATGCACAACATCAGCGGCAAGTGGTATCCAAACTTGGTCTGGGCTTGCCCTAAGTCAACTCAGTGGTAACCGAGTCGCTTGTGTGGTGTGGTCATCACCAGCACCGGTTGTGCATGGCTCAGGCAACATCACTCCTCACTTGCAGTGCATTTCTTAATATGTGCTCACTAACAGCACTCCCACTCAGTCTATATTTAAATCTAAACTGGGCATTAAAAAACATAAGTATGAGTTACGAAAAACAACCAATCATTAATGTCATTGAAAATAAGGCCTTAAATGTGTTGTAGCCGACTTGCTCTGTGAGGAATAGACATTAAGTGTGCAAGAGTCTAACAGAATAGGGCAGGGTTTCTCGAAACTCAGTCTTTGAGACCCCCCACGGTCAGCCTTTCCACATTTATCTATCTTCTCAGTTCAAATGGAAGTAGTTACACCCTACATTCATCGGACGATTGCTAAATACAGCCCATGTGATGTATGGAACATTTCATTAAGGCTCTCTACAGGTCACAAATTTCCTCAGCCCAATTAAAATCAGCACTTTCTACGTCATATGGAACGCATTTAGCAATCATCAGCCTCGCGCAGTGTGTATACTTTAATTGTATTCGAAGGCAGAATACTGGAGAATATATAAATCTCGATAAAGTATTACGAGACCACAAGGCAATGGTCGACAGTGAATCGTATCTGGATTCCTTGGCATGAGACTGAGGCGGTCCGAGCCAAACAATAAAACACGCCGTAAATGCCTGTCCATTACACGCATTTCTAGTAAATACAGAGCGGCATACACTCATTATCTCCCAAAGCCATCAACTGGATTTAAAATTTGGATTTCGAATTGTTTGCTACACAAACCGTATCCGTACAAAGAAGAATTCTTGAAAGTGTGAAGAGTCAGACGCATTCTAGAGATTAATGTGAAGTTTCACAAAGGCTGGTTGTGGCTGTTTAAGGCTCTTCTGTTTATTGGGATGTTTAAGGCTGTTACAGTCAAAAGATCTGTACAATAGGCGTTTACCTGCATATATTTACGAAAGTACAGTAAAGCGCAAATCTGGGTGTGCTCTGCTCATGGGCTTGTTTGTGGAAGACAGCCTGTGTGTCAGTGGAGAGCAGTAGCGTGGTGTATAAATGTGTCGTTAAACCCGCCACCACCCGACACAGCCAATAAGGTTTGTCACGTAAACAGAACATGCCAGGTAACTCATGTGTTTAGAGGATATCTATATTTTAGAGGTCAGGAGCATGTGTGTATTTGGTACAAAGGTTTCTGTGTTTGGGACACATATGTATGTTAGGGTCAGGGAGCTGTGTGTATTAGAATCAGTGGCATGTGTTTTAGGGGGCTTGCTGTTTATTGGGATGACCTGTATATTCCGATCAGGGTTTCCTGTGTATTATTATTGGGGGGAGAGGGGGGTTGTGAAGGTGGACCTCTGTGTATGAGGATCAGAGGAGCCCGTGTGCGCGTTAGGGGGCGGGGTTCCCTGTGGGTCCTGGGGCCCGGCTGTGGCTCCAAGCCCTCTGTGTGTCCTGCAGAGCGCGTGTTCTGCGATCGTCGAGCTCCACGTAGTGCACACGATCCTCCAGCGCCCGGGTACTCGCCTGCAGGTGGAGATAGGGGGACGGGACATGGGGATTGACACAATTACCCAGAGTGTACTCGAACTCGGCTCTTGCACGTGAATATACAGAACAAACTAGGAAGGGCAATGGACAAAGGTGCGCTCATAAACAGCAGGATAGCATGACATACAACATGGTTTGCATGCATATCATGTGACCACCACATTGCTGTACATAACTCTCAGGCTTTGTTCAACCCCCAGCTAAAGAGCTGAACGTGTAGCCATATTATTGTTTAGACCTCCTACTCAAAAAGATGTGGCTGTCATCAGCGAGCAGTGAAACAACGACACATATCCACATTATTTGGGTCTTTCGGTAAAGTGACGTAGATAGGTTCAAAGAAAATAACAAAATAACAAAAAACTACGACATTTCGATCGCAACACAAGCGGTCATCATCAGGAAAAGGGGGGTTAGCTTCTAAAGACAACTGTTTATAAAGGTTTGAAATGGGCATAGCCCAAAATGTCAGCAGCCAATGTTAATGTCAGTGGTGGGCGGCGACTGCGGTGGTTGGTGGGTTTTCCACCAATCAAAGGGCTGGCAGGTAAAAATTAGCATGTTAATGTGAGATCGCCGATCATCCTCTACGGCGAGCGCGCCGAGGTGGCGATGTTAATGTGAGAGATTAGCATGTTAATGTGAGAGATTAGCATGTTAATGTGAGAGATGAGCATGTTAATGGGAGAGATTAGCATGTTAATGTGAGAGATTAGCATGTTAATGGCAGATCGCCAAGCATCCTCCATGACTAACGCACCGCTCCCACTCAGTGCAATATCCGTGCATGGCGTAAAAAAATTCTAAAGATGTTCATGAATACGACTTTTTCACGTACAGTAATGTGTCCTTAATCTCATGTATATTCACTTACTTTTAAAGTGCAGTAAAGCACAGTGGAGATAGGGGGGGGGGGCATGACATGGAGGTAGGTTAGTGGACACAGACATGGATGAGCACGAGGGACGTGGGATTACAAGCGAGAGACAGGTGACTGCCACCAATTCCAATAAAAAAACATAGACTGCGCAGGTGCTATTAGCAAGCGCCAATAAAGGGCCACGACAAGGGATGAGGTTCAATTATGGTGAGAGTAGGGGGGTCAAGATTGTAATTCGTGTGAAGAGTCAAAGATAGGGTGAGGGTTAGTGTTACAGTCAAGGTCAGGGCTAGCGTTGTACCGTGCTCGGTGCAGTATCCGATCTTCCCAGGTCGAGATCCAGATATTGCAGGTTGTGTTCCTTCTATAGTGACACACAACCACAGACATATATGACCACACATGCAATGAGCAGTGCTGAGAGTAAGCTGTAAACAAGTGTACAAATAAAGCAGTGTTGTGCAGAAGGCGCAGGATGTGTATTGTAAGTGGCGTCAGTATTAAAGGGTGTGGAGTTTTTATGCAATGCGCGAGAGGATGTGTGGTATGTCAGGTATGGCACAGGCAGTGTAGCTACAGTGTTGTGTGCATGGTAGTCCTGGCATGAGGCGTTTCAGATGGCAGGGAGGTGATGTATGCATTCTACATTATATATTTTAAGAAGTTTATGTCAACTAAACTATTTTTATTTTACCAGGTATAAGGCTCACGGAGCTATATAGCTCTTTTTCAAAATCGACCTGGCCACAAATAATAGCTCAACGAAGTGGCTTATCACGTGAAAATGTATAGCAGCCAAACTCTAAAAGCATGTTTCTAAATGTGGAGGGAAAAACTCGAGGACCCGGAGAAAAATCCACGCGACCACAGGGGGAACATGCAAACTCCAAATATACAGGTGTCAGGGTCGGAATCAAACCCACAACCTCCTGTATACCAGGTGAGGTAGTTATGTGGTGGGTAGCACAGGAGCGGTGCCACGGTCTTGGATCTGGGTTCCATTTCCAGCCATGACATATATTAGTGGTGACATCTGAACCGGTTATGTGCTTCCCATAGATTAAATGAGAGGCTGGGCGTGATACTGGCCACAGCATCACTCCGTGCGCATTGCAGGCCTTAAGCGCTTGTTGACATCACTTGCCCCAACACTCTGTAGGCTATCCGGGGGATTATTGTCTTTGTGGTGGGTGGTATGCAGCGTAAGTGAATGTTTGTGATGATGTATGCGATGCAGTTAGCCTCACCGGGGGCTGCATGGCCACGTAGCTCTCATCCTCTTCATCATCGTGAGAGTCGGAGCTGGAGGCGGAACTATGTATGGATGGAGGGCGTGGCTGCGGCGGCCCAGCCAATCGGAGCGAGCTAGACAAGCACACGTTATTATAATCAGGTACGTGTATGAAAATGACACGAGAGGGGTCGGGGTAGAAACCTGTTCAAGTGTGTTTCCACTGGTGTGTGAATGTAACCCTGTGTATGTGAGTGTATCTAAGTGTGTGCAACAGCGTCTGTGTGCACATGTGAGCGAACATATTTGTGCGTACCTGTGAATGTGCATCCCCATGTACGTGTGTATGGCAGTCTCCTTTATTTAACCAGCAGATGATAAAAAGAATTGGGCCACGTGAAACATTGCCTCTTTGCAAGGGTGATATGGACTACATCAAGATATTTTAAGTACACAATATTTGAAGAATATTTCAATATTACAAATCTTGACTAAAACCTATAATAATTTAATAAATATCTGATTAATGCCAAGTAAGAAGGTGAATTGCACCCAACATGTTTAAGTCAACAGGCAAGTGATTGTTTCGGGAAAGGAACGTAACTAGGCAAGTAGGTTTGTGATGACCCATGTGTGAGTGGTTGTCTGTATATGTGTGTCCTTGTGGTGCTGGCATGGTGCTGGCCACAACAGCCCCTTATGTGACGTGTCGCCTATACGAGGGGTCTGTCTTTGTGTCCATGTGAATATACCTGTGTGCGTATCTATGTATGTGTTTATTCACGGCCTGGCACAAGCGTCGTGGTGACGTCACCGCCACTTAGTGGCGAATGGCGGTTGTTGTTATTCACGTGCATATACCTGTGTGTACCCATTGTGTACGTGTCATTTGTGTGTCCCTGCTAGAGTATGTGTGTACCTGTGTGAACGCACTTACCCAGGGCGTGTGAAAGTCTTGGTGATGGGGGAGGGTTCTGGTGGGGGGAGATCTCCATTTGCACCAATCCCGGATTGGAGTGCGAGGGGGGGTGGCCTCCGGCCTGTGGGCACCAAATAAGCACATGTGCATATACATGTCACATGTACACACGTACCCATGTATGTATGTATGTATGCTGAACTTCTTTTGCACCATATGTAGCCAACTGTATACACTTTACGCTTACTCGCCTTCCTGGAATTGTTTCACTCGTGTGGGGCCTGCTTTTCTGATCCTCTTTCTCCACTCAACCCATTCTTGGGCCATCGTTTCCATCTCCACTCCAGTGTCCTTTGTATTCTGATTCCCCACTTGGAACCATCTCTTTCTCGGCCTGTCTCTTGGTGTCCGCCCTGGTGCTTCCACGTTCATCACCTTTCTTCCGACGGGGGGTTTCCTCTCTTCTATCAGTAAACTTTCTTTCAGCTTGTCCAGGCTAGTCTAAGCTGGGTACCACTCTAGTTTCTTAATTTCTGACTTGATACCGATACATTTCTGATGTATACTATACAATTACATAAGCATACTTCTTCAGCACCGTAGTCGTGGGGTTACATTAACAGATTGACATGCTAATCTCTAGCAATACAATGGCCGAGGTATATCTGGCTCTGCGATCTTACATTTACTTGCAAATTCCATCTCTAGCCCCGCCCACTTACCCTTGGGTTATGCCCACCTCAAACCTATATAACCTCTGGCTGCAGTAGCTCTCTCGCTATATTTCTCCTGCCTCAGCAGTCCGTCTGCTGTATTTTTTCACCTGAAGACGATTGCTCGTGTTGCGATCGAAACGTCGTGATTTTTTATTATTATCTATCTACATGACTTTACCGAAAGACCCAAAGAGTATGAATTCCTGCAGTCACGAAAGCTTTAAGTGAAGATATAATTACATAAGCGCTAACATTTCTCCAAGTATAACCTTTATAGACTGTTGGGGAAATGTTTTTAGCAAGCACCTTTCAAGGCGACCACAGTGTGCAGTGTGGTGTGGTCAGCTCATTCTCACAGTCCCTCACCTGACCGGTTGGGCTTTAGTTCCCTGTTGACTGGCGGTCCCTCCTGGAGTGTCTGTGGAGTTCGTGGCGTGCGGGGCGAGTGTGGCGAGCGCGGCGATTGGAGGGCACGTGGCGTGCGCGGCGATTGGAGGGCGCGCGGTGTGCGTGGCGACCCGCCCTCCAGTGTGCTGGGGTTGCTTCTAAACCCAACGTGGGCCGGCGGGGGCACGACCCCTCCGAGCGCAGCCCCGCGCGTCCCCACGCTGCTCGCTCGCATGGCCCCTGTCCTCCGTCCCCCAGGACCCCCTCCGGCCCCATCTAGTCCAACCTCCGTTCCGGGCTTCGTAGCAGTAGCTGATGTAGGTCCAAACACGGAGCCAGATCCGGCAGGCAGCGGAGACCAGCGTCCACTCATCTCCGTGGTGACGGAGCGTGAGTGGGAGCGACTGCTGATCTCGACATAATGCCCGCCGGTCTCCATGGTGACAGAGCGTGATGAGGACCGGCTGCTAGTATCCAGGGTGACAGATCGCCCACAGGTCTCCATAGTGACGGAGCGTGATGGGGACCGACTGCTGGTCTCCATGGCTACATAATTCTCCGGAGGGCTCAGGTCATGGCGGTTCTTGGGTCCGGGCTAAATGTGCGCACGTGCGCACACGCACACACACACAAGAAGGCCACAATTATCTTTACAGAACATTGGAACAAGTGCCGTTCATGATTACCTATTCAGGCTGTCATGGTCCACGAGTACGTGGTGTCAGCAAATATTGGTTCCCCGAAATGTTTTTTCCCCCAGGAACAAATAATTGTTCAATATTTGTAACCTCAGGGGGACAAATATTTGTTCCCACCACTGAACATTAATTTGGGCTTGGTTTAAGTGCTACTTTACTTTTGGTCCATTGCAAAGTACATACATATAGAGAAACTGTTTAAAAAATTATTTAGGAAACTCGTCAGAAAATTAAAGTTTGAGCTGAAAATGCATGGATATAGAGCTAAATACAAAGACAGATTTACCCTGTAACAAAAACACTAAAGTGGTACAAATATTTTGAAGGAGAACCAATATTAATTCCTGAGAAGGGACCATTCTCTGACATTGACATCATCTCTCTGTGGCTGATGTTGACATATTGGCATTGACATAGGAGAGACCACAGCCCAGGTCTAGATTCCAATGATGGACACTGTAGCCAGGAATCAAACCCTGTTCACCAGGATTGCGGCACACTGCTCTCACACACACCACTTCACCACACACAGAAATGCACGTGTACGGCTGTGCACGTGTCATTATGTGGGGAATGGTTACACACTGTTTAGCGCACTGAGTTCCGTGTGATTTATAGCCACAGCTAATATCCGTGGTGAGTGTTATCAAAATGTATCCTGGGCCTCCCTTCGTTTGACCGAGCCTTCAGTACCCGGTGTGGTGTGTGAGTACCTGGTGTGGTTTGTATGAAACACATAAGCCCTGAGAATAACAAGGTGGCCAGGATTGTTGCTGGCCACAACCATCCACTCTTGTGCTATACCGGCTTTAAACAGGTGCTCGCTAAACAGCAATTGTCCCAACAGCCTGTGTAGGCTACACGGGAATCTTTGTTGTAAGTGTGTGTGTAGTCATTATGACGTGGCTTTACCTTCGGACTGTCCCAGCCCTTCGGCACATCGTAACACTCGAACCCCACCTCTTCTTCTGCCTCATCTGTGGGGGCACACACATCTGTGAGCAAAAATAATGACACCCATGCATTTATGCACGGTGTGTGTGTGTCTGTGACTGCAAGTATACCCTTTGAATCACGGGATTCAGAATTTGTCCAAAGCTTTCCACAGAAGCCTGACGCCACCTACATGAACACACACACACAATAATTATTATTTTAATTTGTATGGCATCATCAACATTAATGCTGCCACAATCACCATCCCCATGTAAGATAAAGTTTGTATGCCTTGGCAGCCCCCTCATTCAGTATTTTCTCCAGATGAACACCAGGCCATGCAGAGAGATGCCTTTGAATGCTGCCGCAACTCCATATGCACCTGGTGCTCTGCCTTCCGTCACTTATTGCACAAAATCAGATGACTATTGTGGACATTATACCAGCCTTCCATCCATCCATCATCTCCAATGACCCAGTGAGCAAACAATCATCCTGAATGCCTCTCGGTAGAAGTTCCCACCAACCGTCCCTTGTTCAACCAACCTGTGGTGTGGGTGGGAGAGGTCCTTGAGATAAACGGCCGGTTGCACAATGCCACAACGCCTGAACATCTGCCAGGTCATTTTCATCAACCTATGAAAATGAGGTGAGCCCCGGCGGTTGATAATTTCCACTCCAGTAGCTATGCTTGAATGGATGGGGACCTAATTTTCCTGAGACTGCCCCCTGATAAGGGCGCAGGGTGTTCTGAATTTCCCTCTGAGCTACAGTGTATGCATCCTGTCTCTATGCTGGTGCACCACCTAGGTGTGTTCCCCAACCCCACCCGCTTGCAGCCAAACTTCAAGACCGGATGAAAGGCGCCAAGTCCTCCCACCAGGTAGATGGTCATTTAAGCTGAAGGTGTGACAGCTGCACAAGGCCTATCCATTGTCGATAAGAACAAGGGGGTACAGGGTAAAGAATGAAGGGCTGAAAAATTGGTGTAACAGCGGCATTTACATTGGCAGTGATGAGAAAAAAGTGAGGAAGGTGGAGTCCTTCCCTCTTATAGGAGCAGGTGGAGGAGAGGCAGCCTTCCAGGAGAGTATACCTGTACCCACTACCACCATCAACATAACCAACATCACCAGCGTTAGCTCCATCACCTGGCAAGGAGGAGGTGGGATGTCGTAGCACTGAAAGGAGAGCCGTGATGACGATGTCACTTCCTGTGAGCTCCCTGTCTTTGGGGATGACATAGCTTCTTGGTCAGGATCGGACCGCGATGGGGGTGGAGATGTCCCTTCAGGCTGTGATGTAACTTCCTGGGTGGGAGATGGCAGTGATGATGGCACGTCCTGGGTGGGGCTGGCTGGTGATGTCGCTGCCGGGTTATAGCGGCGCGGCACGGAGTAGAGTTGATCGGGAACATCACTTTGCCTGAAAAATGAAAACATCACAATTGTCACGAACCTCACCACCCTCATCAAGATCATTATTATCGGTGTCATCTCCAGCAACATCTCCACCACAAAATCTCAAGAATGTTCCCATCTCGATTTCCTTCATCGCCAAAAGCACCAGTGTCATCTCAACCACCACCTTCGTGAATGTTATAGCGCCTACCTTCCTCTCCCCTCTCATCTCGCGTTACTTTCCTCCACATGTTCTCTGTTCCAGCTGCCAAGGTCTTCTGTCAAAGCATCCAGTCAATCTGGGAGGTCACTCATCCTTCATTGCTGCCAATGCAGTCTGGAACTCCCTCCCTTTGGCCATCCACATGGCTAACTCCCAATCCAGGCTGGCTTAAGATTTTGCTGTTCCCCTCTAATATGACCAACCATTTCCATCAATCTACGTTTTCTCTTTCCCTTGTATCATAATAAAACTCATAATGCATCTATTTTTTCTTGTAAAGCGTTTGTAGATGCGGTTGCATTTAGATGCATTACAATTCAAAATGTATCTCCAAAACCACTATCAATCACCACCATCTATTTCATCACCTCCACCTTCACACAACTATCAACACTACAATCATCACCAACATCATCAATACTACAACCACCATACAATTATTACCACTTCCATCACCATAACCGCCATCAACAATACCACAATCATCACCACTGTCACCACTTCCACTAACACCAAAGATCATCTGTATAGCCTGGAACAGACTGTTGGGGCAAGTGCTGTTAGCGAGCACCTATTAAGGCCGGCACGGCACACGAGGGGATGGGTGGCCACCACCACGTCCGACCGCCTTTGTCTCCCGGGTGACGATGTTTACACACCACACCGGTTACTCATTTGAGGCTGAGTCGAAGTAGGGGAGACCCAGGAATGATTCGGATAATCGTCACTGGTGGTGGCTGTGAGCGGGAATCGAACCCAGGTTGCCAGATTCGTAACGCAGCGCGCGAACCGCTACACAACCGATCCCCACAACCATCATACGTGCACTTTGAGGCCATGTGAAGTGTCGAACGCCCGCTGGCAGGAGGTCACGGGGCAGACCCAAGTGCCATGGGTTGACTGAGACGACTGGCCCGATACACCACCTGTGCCCCCGACTGTGCCAACCATCAACACCACCATCACCACAACTCTCCACTGCCACCACCGCCATCACCCCACCCCCAACCGCATTGCTTACAGATTGTCAGGGATCCGGCTCTCACAGTCGTACAGACACAGGTAGCCATTTGGCTCCTCGTTGCCCAAGCGATGCCCGTTGACCCTGCCTCCCCCAGGTCCCATTGACCGGTGGAGTGGGGGCGTGGCCTCAGGCTGCGCCACCGTTGGCTGCAAGGAGATGGGGGGCGTGGCCTCGGCAAGGTGTGGCGGCTGGGAGGGTGGGGCCTGGGGTCCGGCGTCCGATTGGCCGGTTTGGTTTCCAGCCTCCAGTTCGTTCCCTGTACAGGGAGAGAGACACACACATACTCGTGAAGCACAACGTAACATTTCAAATCAAACAACCCCCAGTTTAACACGTAGGATTTCACGACCAAAATCATCCATAATATAGATTTTTTTGGGGTTAGATTGCGTGAATATATAAATGTGCCGTTAAACCCGCCACCACTCGACAAAGCCAATTAGTAAGGTTTGTCACGTAAACAGAACAGAACAACCCCAGCTTGGCCGGAACAATCCCGGTGTCAAAAAATGCATTCCGGCGTTTCCACATGCATAGGGTGGGACTACTAGAGTAGTGGGCAGGGTTGGTTATCGGAGGAGTGGGCCAGGACGTAATGAGCAGAAAGCAGGCAGGGCCGATATCATGAAGAGACCACTCACTGTGAGGGTTGTGCTAGATATAGTGGGCTTTGCGATTGAAGAGTGAACAGGGTTGATGGAGGAAAGAGTTGCCAGCTTACCATGTGTCCCCGTTTAGCATCCTAAAAACGCGGTACCCTTGCCCAAAGCTAACAAAGACATAAGGCTCACCAAGGATTGAGGGATTCCAACATCAACAATTTTAAATAGCATCTCAGGATGCTTTACAAATGAAATTATCAGTGTAGAAAGTGGAGTGTGGGGGTGGAGGTCAGGGCACAGAAGCGGGGGAAAGAGAGATTGACACTGGGGCACAGCCAAATGCAAAAGCAACTGGGGCCCTGCACAAATATCAATAGGCCCCAGAGGGAGGGAGCCGGGACAGGAATATGAGCATCAACGAGTCTTGGGGCGTCTTCATGAGGGCAATTCTAGAGCCCCTCACGCGTAGAAGTGGACAAGCATGATGCTTGTCATCCCACCCCATTGCGTGCCATTTTAGCTTTAATGCACAATTACTAACAGCACTCGCTCTGGAAGTTTGTCCACCAGGTTAACAGATGCATATTTGACAAGTCCACGCTCAGGCCATTTCCTTTATTTCACAGCCTCTCTATGAAATGAATGCCCAGTTTCTGTACAGCATTCTGGGATGTGGGCGCAATTACACCCTATATAAATCCACATAGTACAGTATTCCCACCCATAGGTGTGCACTTGTGTATGCTGGGTCGTCCAGTATAAGTGCAAATACTATGCACAAAAGTTGATTTGTAGATGGCAAAAAGTACTCATGTGACGATAAGCTCGGTCATGCCAGCATCCTTTTCATGCTACATAACGTCACCATACTTTGTGCACCATGCACAACAGCATTGAGGCCACTACGATTTAAAATTGTCACTGTACAATTTTCGGTAGCAGTAGGACAATGAAATAACTGTACACTGGTTTAAACCTTGTTACGAATCATCAGTACAGTACAGCCATCATTCTCTGTTCAGTTTCTCATCATTCATATGGTGTTGGGATACTCTTCTGTTGAAGGGAATTGTGAAAAACACTACTCAGCATTTGACAACTGCTGTCCTCAAGCAACAACAAAAGGTGGGGGGAGAGGCAATGTTAACAACAATGAACAGAATATCTGGAAGATAATAAAAAGCACAGTGAGGAGCTGTGGCCAGGGGCGGAGGGGGGCAGTGGGTTAGAGTTGGGTTGGAATCTAACCACTCCTGTCTGTCAACCCAGACTAACCAAGTTTCCTCCGCCAGCCCTCACCCAATGGACTTGGCCGCAATGCATCATTCCGAGTGTATGTCTGTGTGTGTCTATGACGACCTGAAATCTTTCCTAGTGTATCAACTCGGAGAATCTAAGCAGTGCGAGCCTATAAAGTACCTGGATGGGTGACGACCATGCAAAAAGCAGGTGTTCATAGGGCTTGCGGGGCACCATGTTGATCCATTTTTAAACTGTACTCCTATGATTTTAGGTCTATGTTCTCTGCTTTCACTAACCCGCATTCACCAGCATGGTGAAGTATGATCAAATAACCCCCACCAACAGGCAGAAGTGCAGAATGACCTTCATTCAGCAGGGGATTGAAAAAAGGACCGTACATATACACATATATACATATGCATATGTATGCATATGTATATATGTATACACTATGTATATATGCATATATATATATATACATGATGACACTACGATTAGGACAGTAGGCTATGAGTCTGGAGACCTGGTGTTAATTTCCGACCGTGGACAGCAGTGTTTCAACCTATCATATTTCCTCCCGAGGTTTACTCAGTCTTAAATGAGTACCTGAGGCAGTGAGGAAACCTTGCCACTGGGGAGATGAAGGTGGTTGGGTGTGGTGCTGACCAAATTACCCCCCTGTGTGCCGTTTCAGATTTTAAATAGGTGCTCACTAACAGCACTTTCCCAGTGGTCTAAATGGCTATAAAGGGGCTCTTTATGTTTGTATTGATGTGTGCTAGAGTTTGCATGCATCTATCAATAACTTGAGCCTTGTTAATCCACAGCACCTGGATCTGTCCAGTGAGTTTGTACCAACGAGTAAAAATATATCTAGCCTGGCACGAGTGCTGTGATGAAAATTCCATCATCTACATGGGGAACAGCAGTTATTGACTGCGCGCGTGCACCGGTATGCATTTGGGTATACAAAGAGTGTGTGAGTGTACATGCATAAGTGGGGAGCAGTGATGCAGTGGTCAGTGCACTGCACTACAAACTTGGCCATCAGTCAGAATCTCGGCTTCAGCTAATATCGGTGCCAAATGTTTTTTTGCCGGTATTAGCCCTCCGTGAGGTTGACTCAGCCTTAAAGGAGTACCCAGTGCGGTGTGTAAACAACAGCATGGGAGAGATAAAGTCAATCAGTAGTGTGCTGGATACACCACCACAGCATTTTTTCCCCAACAGCCTAAAGATAATAAGAATTTAGACTTGTAATACGTAGTTTTTGCTCGTTCTCAAAGACCGAGAACAACTCAGCGGCACAAGGAACCACAGACAAGCGATAAGGTAGCCAGGCGGCACCAACAATGCTCCATGGTTCTCTATATATCAAGATGTTTTCGGCCAATTAATGAGAGTTCCTACACAAAAGGAGGAAACCACAGTTCCCGGAGAAAATCCACACATGCGAGGGAGGAACCACTCTATCCCCATATGGATGGAAACAGATGGAGATGAATCCACTTGCTGTACTGCCATTTCCCTTCAAGCCAGGGTATGGCAACTTTGATGCTCACGGGAAGTGAGTTTCACGATATTGGTGTGTTCTCCCAACCCTCCTCTTCAGTGCTGGATTACAGGCGTGCACTATTACCGCCCCGCCCGGCTACAGGAAGATCTTTGTCTTTGTACATGTGAAGTACCGGTGAGGACGCTTGACACCGAGGTGGAGGCACACGTGTATTTATTTTACAGTACAACAGTGGGCATATAACACTCGAGGGGGTATCGGCCCCCTCACCCGTATAACTGGGAATACACCCCTAGCTATCCCTGTCCTACCCCCGAGTCCTCCACTAACGGGCTAGGGGAGGCTATCTGGCCCGACACTGGTAAGTCGGGCCCGGTACCCGGAGTCCCAGACCAGCTCTTACAAGAGCACCGGCTCTGGCTTTCGGGACCACGCCGCTGGCTCAGTCCTGTTCGGCCCTGATAAGGACATCGAACTAGGGGAGTCCAGGGCTCTATCTAAGACGTCTTCAGTCTTCTCTGGTTAGCTTTTAACTCTACTCCCGAGCCCTTTGATACATCCCCTTTTATACCCAACCCCTCCCTGAGGGGTGGGGCCCCGGGGGATCATAACGTTCGAACCAGCGCCCCCCAGGGTGCCTGGCTCGGACGTCGTAGAGGGCACCTCCCCGTGCACTTACGTAGCCCCGCCCACTGTGTTTGTTTGCCATAGACTGCCATGCATAACGGCTCTCTCTCTAACACCCCTACACATGTGTAAGTGCGCGTGCAAAGCTGAAGTTAACCGATGCAACCTTCCTGCACTTAACTTTGCTTTGTGCAAATATCGCGCAACATCCTAGGTTAAACACTGGGTGAATGTTTATGTATGATAAAGTAGAGGCCAAGGCTCATCCCTGCCCTCCCCTCTTGCCTTGGCAAGCTGGCCCGACCAAGAGCCTTACAGGGAATTTATGCAAAGAAAGGTGCTTACTCAGCTACATATACAAATCTTAAAAAAACGACTAATTAATCTATAAATTGATGTTTTAACTTGATTAAATCATAAAGACAAGTTACATATCTTGGTAACAGTGTTCTCAATACATATATCTACACTGTTATGCATAAAAAGTCGGCCATGTTGAAATTAGCATTGCCATGATGGCCACATGACCATATCCAGCCAAATCGGTGCTTGATGCATTCGCAACAAGAAAACAATTTCAAAATCCCAATGAAACTTTCTCCAGTGTTGCAGCCTTTGTTAAGGGAGCAACACAGATAACAACACTTTTGCAAGCAACATTAATCATCAATCCCATCAACAGTCGTAGGGCCTCCTTGGCTGTCAACTCTCTCCACTTTTGTCTGCCCTTAGTAGACTTTGGGTAATCCTCTCCAATGTTATTGCAGGTAAAATGCATAGTTGAACTTTAGTTGCAGTGCATGCATACATGCATGTGTGTGTGTGCGTGCGCACCCTGTGCAGTTTCATTGAAGCCGCAGAGGGAGCAGAGCGCACGGACCCAGGCCACCATCTCCTCCTCGTTCTCGGCCACCAGGTAGAAGGTGCGTGCTTCCGTGCGTACGTCAAACACAAAGCTGCCCTTAGCGCCATCCTGCACACACACACACAATGTTGTGAGTGCGTGCCGTGTGCAATTGTGAATACATGGGTGCGTGCATCCTTCCCCCCCTAGGCCTCACACTCCCAGAGTACCTGTGACCTCCTCTGCGTCTCACACGCTCTTATGCCCCCCTCTCTCCACGTCCACTTGATTCCTCATGACGTCTCTACCTCTCACACTCCTGTCTCCCCCAGAACACCCCATTACGCCTCCCCGTGCTGTCCACGACCCCTGTAACCCTTTTTGCTCCCCAGACCTCCAGTGCCCCCGCTCCACCTTGCTGAAGGCGAGGCCAGAGTCGACCTGCAGGCAGGCGGAGAGGGGGATGGTACGGATCGGCTTGCGTGCGCGGTCATTGCGGAAATACAGCAGCTCCTCCTGGCGCAGTACGAACCAGCGGCGCCGCCACGCCTGGCTCGGGGACATGGGGGTGATACAGGGGACACATGATGGGACATGGGGGAGGGACGGATGGGGAGACACGGTGGGGTGGCATGGGGGGGGGCACAGACAGGGGGGGGGGGCACAGGCAGGGGGGATGTGGTGGGGACATAGGGGACAAGATGGGAATTCGAGGGGGGGGTCAATACAGGGGACGACATGGAGGGGATGCAGAGGGGACACAGGGGGGGGGGACATGGTGGGGGGGGGGGGCACAGAGGGGGGGTACAGGCAGACAGACACAGGAAGACGCAGATAAACACGGGTTCATGGGAAGATAGAAGGGACAAGCAAACACAGGGGTAGGGGGAGGACACCGGGAGACATGGAGGGAGGCGGCAGTGAATGCGGGCACACGACAAGGCATTCAGATATACCATACATATGCAGAACTCAGATCCACTGCCATGGAGAATTATCGATAACAAATTGAAAAGACCTCTGGTCGTCTCGCACTGTCAAAGTTAAATATATTTTAGTTTGTTGCTCCAGCGGCTATCCCAAGTTAAGATTATCCATTCAAACTTGTTAAAAAGAACGTGAGATAGGTTTATACCTTCTGAATCTCATCAACAGCCATGGTTATACACATTTATGATATGTACAAATGTAAATATATGCACATGATCACAAGCACAATTAAACACACTTTTACATAAACACCTACTTGCACGCGTTACATGTATCACACACCAACATACACAGATAAGCACAAACAAGCACACACATGCAAGAACATGAAGACAAAGCTCCCCTTATAGCCTTATCACACTTTGGGCGGAAATTGCTGCTATTGGACACCTATGAAGGTCAGCACAGCACACGAGGGATGGGTGGCCAGCACCATGCCGAGCCACCTTTGTGTCGTACCAATTTTTACATACAGCACCGGGTAGATATTTGAGGCTGAGTCGACCTAGGGGAGGCCCAGGACCGTTTCGAATAATTGCCACCGGTCTTGGGCGTGAGCTGGAATCGAACTCGGGTTGCCGGTTTGTAGCTCAGCGCGATAACCATTGCACCACCAAGAACACACACACATACACTTGTACACACTCACATCCATAAACACATACATACTTGTACACAATAGCCTCCATACACACATGTACACGCTCGCATCCATGCACACACACACACACACTTGTACGAAAACTCTCATCCATGCACACGCACTATAGATTTCTCACTAAGCTGCCTCAACCGAAATAAATTATTCAGAGAGCAGAGCGGCTTAATTTACACGCGTGCACACACACTCACATCCGTGCTTGCACGCATCCACAATCATACACTTCAATGCACACAAAAACCACATCAGAACACGCACACACAAATGCATATGTTCACGCAAACACAAAAACACAACACGTGCATTCGCATTTTTTATAAACGCAAATACACAATACATACGCACACACAATGCAACCCTTATTCAGAGCTTCAGAGCTAAAACGCTAATCGGTGGTGATGTCAGCATTGCACTTCTGCCAAATTTTGTACAAAACAAGGCCACATGTAGTGATGGAGCCTTGCTGACATGGGGGGGGGGGTATAGGACAGACCCAGGCAAAATGGGCAGACAGATAGAATCCAAGCCAAATGTGTTCCCGTGCCCCCTGCCACTGTCACTCGATATCTTTTAACTGCGCAACCGCTCTGCCCGATCTTGTGAACGTTGCTCCTCTGCCTACTTTTGTTGCTGGAGGGTGGTTGCCACCATCCACCCAGTATCATCCTTCACGAGCCTCCTCCACACACACAGGCCGGTCTTGACATTGCTGATACTCGTGTCGGTAAAGCCATTCTGCTCCAGGTCCCCCTATCCCACTTCCTGCCCTCTATTCTCTAACCAATATAGGGCCTGTTTAGCTCACTTTATCCAGCAAATCAGAAGCTGCTCGGGCATGCGGTGGCTGGGATATGGGCTACATGACCCAGCCATACAATTTGTACCTGCAGGAGTCAACCAGAAACCCTTATGTTTCACACATGGTCAGACATGGATAGACCCAAGGACGGAGCAAAGGCCAGCCTGTGGAAAACTTGGCAAAAGCACAGCTGTTAATATACACAAGGAACCACGTCGCACATATCTCGTACCAAAGATCCCCCGAATAGCCTTTATAGGCTGTTCGGGCAAGTGCTGTTAGTGGGCACCTATTAAGGCCAGCATGGCTTACGAGTTATTGATGTGGCCAGCAACACGACCAGCTGCCTTTATTTCTACAGTGCCGATGCTTATGCACTGCACCGGATACTTATTATAAGCCGAGTCAATTAAGGGGCAGCTCAGGACCGGTTCAGATATTTGCCAATGTTGTTGGCCATAACGATGAGCGCGCACACAGGCATAAATCACCAACATGTCATCTACGCCTACTGCCAAGACGCATGCACAATGGACTCAACAGCCACGGAACAAAAAGTTACTGTCATAAATGTCAAGCGTCTCCACAGTCTGTTGAGCATTGAACTGTACCCGCTTTGGCAGTTCCGAGCCACTGGTGAAAACTTCACATTCCTATTACCCCTGACAGGGATGGTGATGATGCTGACGATGGTTATGATGATGATCCTGGTGATAACTGTGATAACAATGAAGATCATGATAATGATCATGATGATGACCGTGACGATGATCGATAATGGTTACGATGTTGATGGGAAGGAATAAACCTGTCTGAAATTTGAACTCGCAACCTTAAGATCGTGAAATGAGTACATAATAATCATATTTTTTATTTATATAGCATCTAAATGCAACTGCATCTCCTAAATAATAAACATCGATAATGACTACGAGAACACATCTAATAAGTATAGGCAATTGGTAGTCACTAATGTAAATATAAATATTTTGGACAGGCTAGAAAGCTACAATTTGGCATAAGTATAGTAGAGGTTATAGTTATAGCTAGAAAAATCTGAAACTGAGAATTTTCTAATTTGGACACCCACAATCAGGGTTGCGATTTCCGCATGGAAAATGCGGAAGGAGGGTTCAAATTTTCCCGCATTTTTGCTAAAGTCAACCGCAAACGGTGGAAAGACAACTCCTATGACCGCGCGCTTTTAACAACACGTTAATGCGTTCTATTGGAAAGGATACATCATGTACATGTGCTCGTAATCACGGCTCCGCATTTGAATAAAGTATGTGGTTCTTGTGCGGAAATGCGGAAATCATATATTCATTCCAATCAGTAACTCAAAGCCCTACGTGATGCTGGGCCTTGCATGTATCCTTTCCAATAGAACGCATTAACGTGTTGTTAAAAGCGCGCGGTCATAGGAGTAGTCTTTCCACCGTTTGCGGTTGACTTTAGCAAAAATGCGGGAAAATTTGAACCCTCCTTCCGCATTTTCCATGCGGAAATCGCAACCCTGCCCACAATATTTGGCCCAGATATTGACCGATTTGAATCATAGGGAATCATCAGCCTAAAGTTATCTATTTCCCTACGTTAAGTGCTAGACTCTTACAAACATAAGAACTCCATTACCATCATCATAAAATAAAACCACTTCTTTTAGAGTGTGATGCTAAAACTGACAGAATGCGAACAAGGTTCACTACCAGTCACTAGTGCATTTGACTGTTAATGTACAGGTTCGACACAATGTGTTTACGGTTACTAATAACCATGCAGATTCCCCCAGCTATGGATTCGAGGGGCTTGTGCTGTTAGAATTCACCTATAAGGCCCCACGATTCCCTTATATACTAGCAATCACCTATCAGGCCCCATTATTCCCTTACATTTAATTTAGATAAAAATGTACAGCCCTTTGTTCAATCTCCATGTTGTCAGCCATCGGGGTTGTTTGACCACATTTCACCACGCTGGTCAGTTAAGGATTGTTGAGAACGTAGAGGTGCCCAATACTGGTTCAGATATAATTAACAATTGATGACAGCCATGGACAGGAATTGGATTCAGGTCCAAAGAGGAGTGTGCTAACCACTGCACCACCACTCCCCTAACACATTCCAATACTTTGCAACACACATGCACATACTTGAAAGCTGACCCCTAAGGCAAGCACAAACACTTCTTTACACACCCCAACGCACACCTGCTAGATACACCTACATAAATTGAATTATACGTCGTATAGCCTATACAGGTTGTTGTGGCAAGCACTGTTAGCAAGCACCTATGAAGGCAGGCACATCACATAAGCTGATGTAGCCAGGACCACGCCTGCCCCCCTTTGTCTTCCCAGTGATGATGTTTACACAATGCATCATGGCTGAATTATCCTAGAGAGGGCACGTTCAAAATCTCACCACTGATGTTGGCCGTGAGCAAAAATCGAACTCAGGTCACCGGGTTCATTGAAGTGTACTAACTACTGCACTACCGCTTCCTTACAGTCACACACACCTACATCCATACATCAGCCACCATTTACCACTAAGTCGTGGCGACGTCAACTCAGCACTTGTGTCAGACTAGGTGCACTGAGGCCACCTGAAGTGTCCAAGGCTCACAGGTAAGTCATGAAACAACCCCAGTTGTTATAGGTTCACTGTCTGGCAGATGCACCTTCTGCATTCCCCACTGTACCAACTTGTATGCGTTTCATCTGCCCAGTGCTGTACCCCCTGTTGTGAGCGTTGTTCCTCCCTCGTTGTCGCTGGAGGACAGCTGCCTCTATCCAGTTGTGTCCTTTATGAGCCTCCTCCACAGTGGCCAACCTTGACACTGCTGGTACGTCATCGGCAAGTCAACACCTCTCCAGGTCCTCCTGCATCACCATAATCTCAACGCTTCTCTAGCCTGTGCCATGCTGTTTTACTCGGAATATTCAGCTAAACAAAAGCAGCTTGGGTATGTGGTGGATGGGCATGTGGGTTACATGACCCAGCCTCGCCTGCCGGAGGCTCACTCATGAGAGAATGTCAAGATCTTCCGAGGATATGTGAGATACTCGCACAATACAGTCTCGATAAACCCTCGATGGATTGTAGGCACGCCAACCTGCATTTTTTTAAAGCCACATTTAGCAAGTGTTAAGGAGTGATTGTGTGAAGTAAGACGTGAGCATTCATGATGAGGACACTGCCCATGTGTGAAAAGTCTGCCCCCTCTACCACCACCCAATTACTCAAGAAGAGATGAGGGGGTGGAGTGCCCGATTACATATATGATGTACTATTGTACCCAGAGGCACTGTGTTTTGTTTTGGTTAGGCGTAAGCTACAGATAGGTTCAGCAGCACTGTACTCCAACACCTTTTCAGAAGAGCAATTACCAAGTCATCAGCATGCATACTATCGTGGTTGCTCATTAGGAGACATTCCTAAACCTCACAAGGACATTGTTGAACATTTTTTTTTAAACTATTGTTTTATTTTACCAGGGAAGGCCCACCGAGCTATATCGCTTTTTTTTCAGAAGCGACCTGGCCACAAATGATAGCCCAAAGAAGTTACGTATCACGTGCAAATTTATAGCAGGCAAATACTCTAAAGGCACGTTTATAAATGTGGAGGGGAAAACCGGAGGACCAGGATAAAAATCCACGCGACCACGGGGAGAACATGCAAACTCCAAATATACAGGCGTCAGGGTCAGGATCTCACCACCCACGACCTCCTGTATACCAGGCGAGGTAGTTAACATCTCACCACCGTGGCGCCAATTGTATCAGTATCAGATTTGAACTCCTCTGGTACAGCAATGGCCATTTTCGGTGTTGGCCCCAGATGATATTCCTGTTGTCGTACTCCAAAGGTCAACAGGGAAAGACTCCCGGACTTCTGGCCACGCAGCTTCACCGGTCCTGCCCGTCACCACCATGAAGGTCCTTAATGATCATGAACAGAAAAGGGTTCAGAGACCCCATAATCACGGAGAACAAGCCAAGAAGCCCTAGCCTCCACAAACACATTCACTCCAAACCCTTACGCACACTCACCTTTGCACATAGATAAACACAATCGCATCAACACCGTATCAACTTACACAAGCCTCTCACACACATACAACGAGTACACTGTACTGCTAACACTTATGCCACATGTCAGCCCCTTCCACAAAGACAAAAATCCCCCCTATAGCCTGTAACAGACTGTTGGGGTAAGCGCTGTTAGCGAGCACCTATGAAGGCCGGCACGGCACACGAGGGGGTGGGTGGCCAACACCACGCCCGGCCGCCTTTGTCTCCCCAGTGGCGATGTTTACACACCGCATCAGGTACTCGTTTGAGGCTGAGTTGACCTTGGGGAGGCCCAGGGACCGGTTCAGATAATCATCACTGGTGTTGGCCGTGAGTGGGAATCGAACCTGGATGGCCAAGTTCATAGCGCAGTGTGCTAACCGCGACACCACCGCTCCCCACACATTTATACTCACACCATTACACACACTACACACACCCTTAAACACCATTACACACACACACGACTCACACACACCCTTATATACACACACACTACTCACTCACACCATTACACACACACTACACACTCACACCATTACACACACACACTACTCACACACACCATTACACACACACACCATTACACACACACACTACACACTCACACCATTACACACACACACTACACTCTCACACACACCCTTACCAAACTCTACACACACTACTCACACCCTTACCAAACCCTACACACACACACACTACTCACACACACCATTACACATACACACCACACACACACACACTAAACACTCACACCATTACACACACACTACACACTCACACCATTACACACACACACTACACACCATTACACACACACTACACACCATTACACACACACACTACACACTCACACCATTACACACACACACTACACACACTACTCACACTCTTACCAAACCCTATACACACACACAACCTTACCAAACCCTACACACACATACACGATGCACAGTGTCCAAATCCTTATACACTTGCAGTATGAAGCCTATGCTGTGATGTAAACAACCATAACAAGTGCTCACATATGTAGTGAACAGTAATCCCTTACACTAATCTTACACACCAACACATAGGCTACCTTTGTACACACTACCCTCACACACCTACATACGCACACTCACGGACTATACAATATACTGTGGTATAAATAACACCCTTACTCAAAGAAATAGATCCCCCGCCTGTAACAGACTGTTGGGGAAAGTGATGTTAGTGAACACCTATGAAGGCCGCCTTTGTCTTCCCAGTACTGTACTAATTTGAGGTCGAATCGACTTAGGAGTGACCCAGGGCCGGTTCAGAACACCCCGACACACACACCCTCACACACGAACACCCTCACACCTAACACCCTCATGCACCTAACACCCTCATGCATCCTCACACACACACCCCCACACCCTCACACCCACACACCCTCACACTCACACACCCTCACACACCTCACACACACCCTCACACACACACCCTCACACACACACCCTCACACACACACCCTCACACACACACCCTCACACACACACCCTCACACACCCACACACACACCCTCACACACACACCCTCACACACACACCCTCACACACACACCCTCACACACACACCCTCACACACACACCCTCACACACACACCCTCACACACACCCACACACACACCCTCACACCCTCTCACACACACCCTCACACACACAACCCACACACACAACTCTCACACACACACACCCTCACCACACACACATACCATCACACTCACACACCCTCACACACCCTCACACTCACACACCTCACACACACACGCCCTCACACTCACACGCCCTCACACTCACACACCCTCACACACACACGCCCTCACACTCACACACCCTCACACACACAGACCCTCACACTCACACACCCTCACACACTCACACCCTCACACACCCTCACACACTCACACACCCTCACACTCACACACCCTCACACACTCACACCCTCACACACTCACACACCCTCACACAAAGATAAAGACAAAGATCCCCCGTATAGCCTGAACAGACTGTAGGGGCAAGTGCTGTTAGCGAGCACCTATGAAGGCCGGAACGGTACACGAGGGGGTGGGTGGCCAGCACCACGCCCGACCGCCTTTGTCTCCCTAGTGGCGATGTTTACACACCGCACCAGGTACTCATTTAAGGCTGAGTCGACCTAGGGGAGGCCCAGGACCGGTTCAGATAATCGTCACTGGTGTTAGCCGTGAGCGGGAATCGAACCCTCACACTCACACACCCTCACACACTCACTCACACACACAGACCCTCACACTCACACACCCTCACACACTCACACCCTCACACACTCACACACCCTCACACACACTCACACCCTCACACACTCACACCCTCACACACTCACACCCTCACACACTCACACCCTCACACACTCACACACCCTCACATACTCTCGCATCGAGGCACTCACAAATGGCCGGCGTAACTTCCTCTCGGGGGGAGACTTGATGAGCCACCCGCAGCACACCACGCCGCCGTCTCTCTCCATCTCCGGCGCTTCCCTCTCCCCCCTCTGTATCTCCCTCCCTCTGTATCTCCCTCCCCCTGTATCTCCCCCTCTGTATCTCCCCCTGTATCTCCCAACCTCTCTCCCTCACGGCCCCCCTTGGGGGACCCGGCTTGGGGGTCCGGGACTCTGGAGGCCCGGGAGGAAGTCTCCCTCCATGAGCAGAGAGACACACACAGGGAGGGGAAGGCGGCGGAGAGGGAGGAGAGATGGAGATGAGGGGAGGGGGAGGAGAGATGGAGATGAGGGGAGGGGGGAGATGAAGGTGAGGGGAGGGGAAGGAGGAGGAGAGATGGAGGGGAGGGGGGAGATGGAGGTGAGGGGAGGGGAAGGAGGAGGAGAGATGGAGGGGAGGGGGGAGAGATGGAGATGAGGGGGAGATGGAGGTGAGGGGAGGGGAAGGAGGAGGAGAGATGGAGGGGAGGGGAGGGGGGAGAGATGGAGATGAGGGGGGCGATGGAGGTGAGGGGAGGGGAAGGAGGAGGAGAGATGGAGGGTAGGGGGGAGGAGAGATGGAGGGGAGGGGAGGGGGGAGAAATGGAGATGAGGGGGAGATGGAGGTGAGGGGAGGGGAAGGAGGGGGAGAGATGGAGGGGAGGGGGGAGGAGAGATGGAGGGGAGGGGGGATGAGAGATGGAGGTGGAGGGGAGGGGGAGGAGAGATGGAGAGGAGGGGAGGGGGAGGAGAGATGGAGATGAGGGGAGGGGAAGGAGGAGGAGAGATGGAGGGGAGGAGAGGGGGGAGAGATGGAGATGAGGGGAGGGGGGAGAGATGGAGATGAGGGGAGGGGGGAGATGGAGGTGAGGGGAGGGGGGGAGATGGAGATGAGGGGAGGGGGGGGGATGGAGATGAGGGGAGGGGCTGAGAGATGGAGATGAGGGGAGGGGGGGAGAGATGGAGATGAGGGGGGGGGGGAGATGGAGATGAGGGAGGGGGAGATGGAGGTGAGGGGAGAGGGAGGAGATATGGAGGTGAGGGGAGGGGGAGAGATGGAGATGGGGGAGGGGAAGGAGGAGGAAAGATGGAGGGGAGGGGGGAGGAGAGATGGAGGGGAGGGGGAGGAGATATGGAGGGGAGGGGAGGGGGAGAGATGGAGATGAGGGGAGGGGGGGAGATGGAGATGAGGGGAGGGGGGGAGATGGAGATGAGGGGAGGGGGGGGGGAGATGGAGATGAGGGGAGGGGGGAGATGGAGGTGAGGGGAGGGGGGGAGATGGAGATGAGGGGAGGGGGGGAGATGGAGATGAGGGGAGGGGGAGAGATGGAGATGAGGGGAGGGGGGGGAGATGGAGATGAGGGGAGGGGGGAGATGGAGGTGAGGGAAGGGGGAGAGATGGAGATGGGGGAGGGGAAGGAGGAGGAAAGATGGAGGGGAGGGGGGAGGAGAGATGGAGGGGAGGGGGAGGAGATATGGAGGGGAGGGGAGGGGGAGAGATGGAGATGAGGGGAGGGGGGGAGATGGAGATGAGGGGAGGGGGGGGGGAGATGGAGATGAGGGGAGGGGGGAGATGGAGGTGAGGGGAGGGGGGGAGATGGAGATGAGGGGAGGGGGGGAGATGGAGATGAGGGGAGGGGGAGAGATGGAGATGAGGGGAGGGGGGGGAGATGGAGATGAGGGGAGGGGGGAGATGGAGGTGAGGGGAGAGGGAGGAGATATGGAGGTGAGGGGAGGGGGAGAGATGGAGATGGGGGAGGGGAAGGAGGAGGAAAGATGGAGGGGAGGGGGGAGGAGAGATGGAGGGGAGGGGGAGGAGATATGGAGGTGAGGGGAGGGGAAGAGATGGAGATGAGGGGAGGGGAAGGAGGAGGAGAGATGGAGGGGAGGGGGGAGGAGAGATGGAGGGGAGGGGAGGGGGAGGAGAGATGGAGGGGAGGGGGAGAGATGGAGATGAGGGGAGGGGGGGAGATGGAGATGAGGGGAGGGGGGGAGATGGAGATGAGGGGAGGGGGGGAGATGGAGATGAGGGGAGGGGGGAGATGGAGGTGAGGGGAGAGGGAGGAGATATGGAGGTGAAGGGAGGGGGAGAGATGGAGATGAGGGGAGGGGAAGGAGGAGGATAGATGGAGGGGAGGGGGGAGGAGAGATGGAGGGGAGGGGAGGGGGAGGAGAGATGGAGGGGAGAGGGAGAGATGGAGATGAGGGGAGGGGGAAGATGGAGGTGAGGGGAGGGGGGAGATGGAGATGAGGGGAGGGGGGGGGAGATGGAGATGAGGGGAGGGGGAGAGATGGAGATGAGGGGAGGGGGGGGGAGATGGAGATGAGGGAGGGGGGAGATGGAGATGAGGGGAGGGGGGAGATGGAGGTGAGGGGAGAGGGAGGAGATATGGAGGTGAGGGGAGGGGGAGAGATGGAGGTGGGGGGAGGGGGTGGAGGAGGAGCGAAGCGGTAAACGGGAGAGATGGGAGGAGAGATGTGGATAGCGAGGCGAGGGAAACGAGGCTGGATGGCTGAGATGGGGAGGGGACGGGCAGGAGAGAGGGAAGAGCGAGACGAGAGGAAATACTAAAAAGGGGTGGGGGGGGGGATAAACCATGTAAGGGAGAGAGGAGGTATGGAGGGGGGAGTGGCGGAGAGATGAGAGAGTATGGAAGGATAGTGTGACAGATGTGCAGAGGAGGGAGAGGTTTCAGAAGCTTGACGAACAGAGGGAGGGCAGGAGACATCAATGCCGGATCGAGTGTTCACGAAGAGATGAAGTGAGTGACTGAAGGAGTCGCCAGGTAGTGGGGGGGGGGGCTAGAGATGGTAAACCAGGGGAATCGAGAGGCTCGAAACGGAACTCGGCGAGAGGAAGAGCTACGACAGGGGGGGGGAGGAAATGAGTCTGCGAAGAAAGAGAGAAGCGGGGACACGAGCGGATATCCAAGAGGGAGTTTTGTTTCGGACGTGAGAGACCGCGACAGCCACAGCAGAGAAGCACAGAGGTAGAGCCAGGGAGGGAGAAGAGAGAGAGAGAGATTGGAGGCAGGGGATCAGATGAGAAAGAGAGACGGAGAGCATTGAGATAGGAGTGCGAGACAGAAACAGATGGGAGAAGAGCGAAGTGACACACAACACACAGCGGCATGGAGACAGTAAGAGAGAAGCCGCTGATAACAGTAAACACAGCGCACACTCAGATAGGGAAACACACGGGAAGAGGCACCCCGACACAGACAAGACAAATGCACACGGACACAAACGCACAGAGACACGTAAGCTTGGCAACACGATTGCATGCAACCGAATCGCCCGCATGTGGACGTCTCTGCAACCGATTGCGTGCCCGTTATTCCATCGCGTACCGCACACACACACGGCAAACTATGACTGGTTGGTGGTCACCATACTCGTCGGTTTTTTTCGGTAAAGTCACGTAGGTGAAATATAAATAATAAAAATTAATAATAATAAATAATATAAAAAATTATAGAAATAAAATAATAAATCACGACGTTTCGGAGGCAACACAAGCTTCCGCCTTCAGGTGGAACCATCACAGCACAATTGCTGTATCTTGATATAAATTTTTATATTATTTTATTATTATTTATTATTGATTTTTTACCTACGTGACTTTACCTTGCAGTCACGAAAACTTCAAATCTGGTGGTCACCAATTCTGCGAATGAGCGGTCTAATTTCCTTACCGCGCAATCACGCGCTCAGATGCGGACAAAGCAGTCGCGGGCGATCGTGTTGCCCGGTTTCGAGAACGAAGATTTGGTTGCGCGACTGTGTCGCTCAGGTGTGGTTCCGGATTCAGACTAACTCATCACAATACCAGTCCTCCGGTTTCTCCCCCTCCACATTCAGAGTGTCTGCTATGAATGTCCACACGGCGACGAAGCCACTTCGTCGGGCTATCATTTGTGATGGCCGGGTCGGCCTCTGAAAAGGAGCTACCACCTGTGTCAAATAATAAAAAAAAGTGTCGTTCGAGTTTATACCCGTAGCGTTGGGGTGAAGCTGAAGGGTTGCTGATCACCTCCAACTCCAACAAACCTTTTTTTTCTATTTTTCTTTCGACCTCTTAACGTGCGTTTTGTTTGCCAGGGAACCGATGCCGTTGTTTGACGAACGGCGATTCAAGAGCCTCTTAGCTCACAGGGGACTTCAAAAACAGGACCCTGCGGGGTGGGCTGGTATGAACGAATAACCAAAGAATATTAACAATGTATTATTACACTTGTTTAGCCAGGAAAGCCCCACGGAGTCAAAAGGTTTTTGTAGGGTCCTGCCAAGTGTTTGCAGTAGGGGGCGATGTTGCTACACCTAATCGGACGATACGAAGGGAGAGATTGAGGCCTAGTTCTAGGCTTAAGGCCTAGCTGTAGGCTTTAGGGTGCTGTGAGTTAATGTTTAATTTAAATGTTTTAATGATTTATGTAAAAGCTTTAAATTTAAATGTTTCTATTTAAAAACATGAGGGAATGTAACATTGTTAAACATTAACTCCCTTTCACACACGCGGGGGTACGATACGAAGGGAGAGTTTCAGGCCTAGTTCTAGGCTTTAGGCCTAGCTGTAGGCTTTACGCCGCCGTGAGTTAATTTTTAATTGAAATGTTTTAATTATTAATGTAAAAGCTTTAAATTTAAATGTTTCTATTTAAAAACATGAGGGAATGTAACATTGTTAAACATTAACTCCCTTTCACACACGCGGGGGTACGATACGAAGGGAGAGTTTCAGGCCTAGTTCTAGGCTTTAGGCCTAGTTGTAGGCTTTAGGGCGCTGTGAGTTTTTTTTTTTAATTTCAAAGTTTTAATTAAACTATCTCAGGGAATTATAAGGGAATGTTACACGTGTTTAGCCAGGAAAGCCTCATTAATTTAAATGTTTTAATTAAAAGCTATCTGAGGGAATTATAAGGGAATGTTACACTTGTTTAGCCAGGATAGCGTCACTGAGTCTAAAGGTTTTTGTAAGGTCATGCCAAGTGTTTGCAGTAGGGGGCGATGTTGCTACACGGACGGACGGACGGACAAACGGACTGACGATATAATCTATTGGTGTCTGGTCCACTTCGTTCCTACCAGTATTAACTAAACAATGTAAAACTGAAGACGAGCGGCGCGTTTGCCTCCAAAGTTCGCACCAAATGTCGCTCTTGCTCCGCCGCTGCTGTTCCTCTAGTAGTAATGAGGAGCGAGCTGCATGTGCACGTGGTGATGATCCGAACCGTGTGCGGCTCGTG